CAAACTACTTCGCACCCTCGGCGACGATCTTGTCGAGATACTCAAAGTCGTCAGTAGAGACAAATGGCGCGGCCTGAGCGAAGTTAAAATATGTGATTTGAGTATCTTTCACGGGAATTCGCACGAGAATGCGGGGGGAGATACGGTCGTTCCATTTGAAGCTCCTCCCTCCTGACAACCGATGCTGAAAAGATACCAATAAGTCAGGGTCTGCGTGGATCCAGCCCTGTCTTCATTGTCTGGTTTCTCGAGGACAGCTCTGGGGAATTCGCTTGAAGCTGATTTGGATGGCTTGGTCCGACTGAGCCTCAAGTGAGTCAACGCAGACAATATACTAAGCGTGGCCATAGTACTAACTATTTTACTCAAGCTTTGAATACCGGAGCCCTCGTCTCTGATTTCCTAGTATTAGTCCTTTCATCAAGAAAGTTCGGTCTTTGACACTTTGCGCTCCCGCGATCCGACTTACCCGCCGTCAAGATCGTCGAAGGCGGACCAAACCCCGAGACGAAGCTTTATGACTTTGGACGGGAAAGCCTTCAACCCGGGCACATGCGGCGGACAACGTGGTCGATCTGGGGCCCGGTTACGCCGCTGATCGAGGCGGCCAGTGGCAAGGTTCCTGGCGAGCGGGGAAGCCGGCATTTCCATCAGGGATATGACTTAATGACGATCAGGTCTAAACCTTAGATTGACAAGGGTAGGGATGGAATAATGCCGGACATGGAGGTGATCAAGGCGGGGGGTGCGGTGACTTGATCACTTTCACAAGCGATAGCGTTTCGAAATCGTTCGCTTATGGACATCAGCGTGGGGAGATGCGGGTAAAAGCTAGGATGCACTTCGTTGTGTGACAGCAAGATACTTGTTACGATCACAAGGGCTGGGAGCTGTCACTGTGCGGACACTAGTTTATGTAAAGTAGTTTCTCGGTAAGCCCTCGAACTCGGATTCAAAGCGATAACAACAAGACTTGGCGAATGTACTGTTTCTCGCTACCATGCTCGCGTGCTACGATTTCCATCTCTGCTTATCAGCATCCTTTTCCGTCTGCGAGAAGCTTGAAGACTTCTCCACAAGCATATCGCAAGCCTACTCATCGTCGATATTTGCGTGTTGCATCCTAGCAAAGGGTTTCCGAGACCTCTGGGGGAAGCTATACCAACTTAAGTAGGAACGTTGTCTTCCTGCCACCAAGTAGGCTTAGATACTCAAACCCCGTATAGTCTGACGAGGAGTGAGGCTGCAACATTTCGTTCCGTGGACCGTCAGTGACTCTATGAGACCAAAAGCGAATGAAGAGGGGTTCACCGGGGGGGAAGAGATTAGCAAGGTTTACATTGCATCATGAACGAACTCAAAAGCAGAAAATCTGCTGATACATGGCGGTGAGCAAGGATGGAGCAGGAGGCTCTGCTGCTTTGTCCTCTGGGCGCCATATGCTTTTTGTCGAGACTTCACTCGGCCAACTTCATAGTAGAATCAAAGGCCGTAATTTGCATGGTGATTTGATCTCTTTTTGTAATTATCTCCATTTCTGCAATTCAAGAAGGAACCCAATTGAACTTCAAGAGCATGGAGAAATGGAAGGTCTCGAAGACACGTGAGGGAGTAAAAATCGTAAAACAATTCCCTCGAGTAGTAAAGACTATGAAATTTTGCGTTAACGCGGCTGGTCTTATCTCCATTGAAGTCAAACAAATGGAAAAATTGCCAGCTAAGAATGAGGTTCGAAGCTAAATATCTCGAAAACGATGCTTGAGAGATCGATATGGACACTACAGCTATCTCGGCAAGACTTACAAGGGAATGAATCGAAATCTTGCAGAACCAGAAATATTGCAATGAAGCATCCGAGAGATAGCCGTGCTTGGCTTTGCGTTCCATCTCACTCTCTGATGCCAGATCCTAGCTGCCACGCGGCTTGGACTCGCCGTCTCCCCCGCATAATTCGTAGGTTTAAATGAAGTAATCTAAAAGTCCATCAGAAAAGGCATGCTGCCGACCGGAAACTTGCCTGCATGAAAAGGTGCTCACTGAGTTCACATACCTTGCAAAAGCTTGTTGATGACGGGCTTGCAAAGGCTCACCATGTCCAAGCTCCCGATCTTGATTCGCTACAGGGACACTGGTCTCAAAGTTTGCTCTACATCTGTGACACCTCACATGGCAAAGATCAGAACGGATCGATCTGCAATAACTATGCTCTTATCAGTTGGTATACATCACAGTTGATAAAGCGGCGTTCGGTCGCCCGTCCATCTCCGTTGGTCGGCACGCTAATCTCCATACCCAATGTCCATGTTCATGGTTATCGCTCTGCCCGTGTGCTAACGTGTCTCCCAATGGAATTTTCGGTCTCGACAACGGCTTCATGGCGGACAGGAGTGTCCAAATTGTTGCCACTGCCGCGGCATTCCTCCTCCTAGCGTGGCTTGCCGTGGGTCTTCGAGTGTATTGCCGGAAGGCTTTGGTGCGGTCATTTGGTGTTGACGATAAGATCATGGTGTTGCTCTTGGTACGGTACAATTCAATTGGTACTAGAAATGACGGGGAAAGATTGACAGCTTCTAGATCATTTTCACTGGGTATCTCGTGTTGCAAATATACGGGGCCACGCATGGAATCGGGCGCATCGACACCGCGATCACCGCCGGAGACAAGAGGACCATGCTGCTGGTAATCCATGCCTCGCAGGAGATATAGGCTCCTTGCTAATATTACTGCTTCTCAGTTATGGTGGATCCTCGAGCTACTCAACGTCATATCCACATGTCTCCTCAAAATTTCCGTTGGCTACTTCCTCCTTCGAGTCGCACTCGATCGACCGCACATATGGATCATTCGGACTCTCATGGCTGGGACTGTTGTATTCGGACTGACATACCTCTTCATGGTTGCTTTTCAGTGTAGGCCAGTGCCGACATACTGGGAAGAAGGGCCAAGAACGCCGGAGAAATGCTGGCCGTCGCGGGTCATCTACATCATGACAATTACCGCCACGGTCATCAACACGAGCGCGGACTTTATCTTCGGTGCTCTCCCGTGGTTCATTGTCAGATCCATGAACCTGCCTATTGGGACAAAGATTGTGGTGGTCTGCATCTTGGGACTAGCCGCTGTGTAAGTGGAAATAATGGCGCTACGTGTCGAATGGTTGGGCAAAACTAATATGCTGAGCACAGAGGAAGTACAGCCACGATTGTCAGAGCCTTCTATATCCCGACTTTGCTGGATGGAGAGAATTTCCTTTGTAAGCGCGTCTTATGTCTTGCAAGCTAGGTGGGCTCAAAAGACGCTAACAGAGTTGCTTTTCCTGGAGACGAGACAGCGAATTTTGCAATATGGAGCACAGTAGAACCAGGCATCGGCATCGTGGCAGCATCGATAGCCACCCTGAGGCCTCTGTATCAACTGGTTCTCACCAAGATGGGTCGGTCGACTGTCTACCGCCAACAAAAAGGCTGGTTGGAGAGACAGCAAGCAAGAAGAAACGAAACGAGCCGCATGGTGCGGCAGGCACACAATCTCGACCCTGAGAATGCGCCAGCCGACTCAAATATCACCTCGCCGCAAGGGATTCTCGAGGTCAACCCACCTTTTCATCAGGCCAGCAAACAGACACAGTCAACTCTCAAGACAAGCTCATCCGAGGCTGCGGCTCCTCGAACGAGAAAGAGCTTGCTGGACGTGGATGTCCCGACAGCGAGCTTGAGACTCAGTGCAGACTTTCGACGGACGATGGACCGGCCTCCTGAGGAGTGGCAACGATGATTCATTGAAGATACAGAGTTGACACGCGCTGTGATTTAGATGTTCATCATGGAGGAAAGGTCCACATATCTGAGTAAGGTTATAGCAGTGACGACGCGCCTCTGGTGAAGGCACCCAGGAAAGCCGCGTCGTTGAACTTTGTTAAACTCAATATACCCAAGAGCTTACAGGAAAGGTGATCAAAATGAACTTTTCCAGTTGAAAACCAAGGAATAGTAGCCTGGTTTGGCATCAGCGCCAATTTTACGGTGGATGATGAGTGATTTCTATCCTCCAGTCAAACCATGATGAATTGATACGTTCCCTCATTGACTTGTTTATATTTCACATCTAAACGTAAGCTCCACAGACATGTATCCGGACTACGTGAAAACGGATCTCGAGACCAATGTAAGTGGACGTACGGAGATGTATATTTCTCTTGTTGACCAACGGATCGAGAGACTTGAAATTTAAGGGCCAGCCGTCGGTGTATCCCCCTTGCGAAAAACCAAAAAATGACTTCCCCTAACCTTTCGAAACCTGAACTCATGCCTCCTCCTCCCCCGCCTAGGAATCTCAGGCAAGACCTTCAACACCCTCAACCTCGGAAACGCAACGCCTCCTCCGCCTCTCCCCTCAGCCTCAGTCTCAAACCAGCAGACTTCCTCCAACCCGTCAAAAAAGTCCATCTGGTCAACCCGATAAAGCGCCTCTCCCGCCGCGGCGTCAAAGCTCCCCTCAAACCCCTCGTCGTCCAAGTCCCACAACCTCACCCCCAACACCCTAACGCCGGCAAAGAACCCCTTCAACAACCCAAACACAAGGCCCCACGGCCTCTTGACCCCATCCCTCAGCCCGTAGTCGAACCTCGCGTAGCGCCCGTCCACCAAGACAGTCCTCACACGCTCACAAAGCCCCTCCGGCATCGCCCACTCCTCATCAATGTTATTGTTGTTGTCGTTATCGTTCAGGTTATTCCCGTCCCCGCCCTCTCCACACCATGGACCCGTGATGACGGGCCCGGCCAGCCTGTAGTCGCCCACCTTTCTCCACGTGGTGGGGAGCATAGACCCATCCCACGCCAGCTCCACAACGTCCCGTGCGGGGCTGAACGGGAAGGTCCGCGGGTCCGGGGCGCCGAAGGCGGTGGTCGCCAGCGATCTGGTCTCCCGGCTGACGGCGTAAAGGGGGATGGCGGCCCACGACCTGATTCGGCGGCGGGAAAAGTGTGCTTGGGGCCCTGCGCGCCACTCAAGGTCAATTTTGATCCAGCCTGTTACGGTGATGGGGTTGATGGCCCCGAGGAGGATGCTGTCTCTCAGCTCTCTCGGCAGTTGGTTGAAGAGAGTGAACGTGGGCTTGGCTGGTTCTATTTCTGGTTCTGGTTCTGGTTCTGGTGCTGGACATGGTGGAAGTTTATTCTCGTCTTCGTCGTCCGAGGAAGACTCGACCAAGATGCACACTCTTCCTCCGTCGCGAACCCTTCCTGGGTGCTTAGGGTGGCATCGCATGTGCTTCCGAGCTTCCAGAACGATATCCGACCACCTCTCCCGGTTAGACGCGTCGACAACAATGCTGAGCGCGTCCTTAATCTCAGGTGCGTCTTCTTCCTCGGTAAACAACTCCTCAGATTGCCCACATTCGGAACCCAAATCTTCTTGAGAGCTAGTAGATGCCGACGGAGTGGAGTGCGCCATCTCGAGACTCGAGCCAGTTTGGTGGCGGCGGCTTGATAATCGAGAACTATATTCGTCTCTAGGAGTTGGCGCCGACGAGCAAAACGAAAACAGTGGCTTCATGAAGTTTTCTTCCTAGTTTGACGGTTGAGTTTTACTAAACTCATAGTCCGAGGGGTAAATAAAAAAAAAGATGACGCTGAAAAGCTCGCCACTTCTGAAGAGGGCGAGGGATTCGCGATGTTCGACTCATGATGGATCTAATCTGTGGGTCAAAGGATCGTGATAAGGATCTCGACGTGGATGCCTAATTCCTACTTTCCACGCACCAGTTTCCCCCTTTTACTCTTCACGAAGAATTAGATGCTTATTGTCAAGGCAAACCTGACGATACCTCACCAAATGGGACGACCATTTCCCGCGTTGATGCCGTCGACGATGGGGTGGAATATTAAAAAAAAAAAAAAGCCACTCGTCAGCCATATCAGCCACCCCAGTTTCATCTGCCCACGCGCGAGGCGTCCAAACAGAAAACGAGGCGTCTTCGGCAAATCTTAGCGTCTTATATCTTTACAATAGACTTGCCCTTGCTTATCCAAGACATTCCTCTAGCCTCAACCATTTTCGGGAAGGGGTTGCTTCCCACACTCTTCTTATCTTCTTCTTCATTCTAGAGTGACAGTGAATTCAGGTGAGAGTTGCTTTGAGTGCCATCGGGTCGGCGTAAGGCTGCAGGACGGGAGTCACTGCGTATGGGAACCACTGCCTTGGGACGAGGTCCAGACTCCTTGGCGCAGTATCTCAACCCAAAGCCATAAACCTTCATCTTGTAATCCAGTCTGTTCAGAGCTACAAGCTCTCTTGCAAGATCGCAAGCCATTCGACCGCGGCCTTGGCATCGAGGACAAACACATTTGAAAAATCGAAATCAAACACCGGCGGCATCTGTTCTCCGCGACCAGGGAATCATGGTAGCCGCCGACCGACGCCCACACGCCCTCCCCATGAGCCGCGAAAGGGACGAGCCACGAACCTGTGTCTCTGTCGTTTCACCGTCGAGCTCTCATCCTTCTCCATCCCGTCTCATCCAAACCCACCCACCTCCATTCCCCACAGAGTTCGGCATAACCCAGGCTGTTCCAGCCGCCGTTTCCCTAGATAACAGGCGTGGCGAACCGAACCCATAGGAAGCCATAGGAGGGGATCACCCGGTATTCAATACAGGTGCCGTGTCGCATGATCTAGAGGTTCGCTCGGACCGGGATGGTTCTTGGCGATGGACTCTCGCCAGAAAGGCGGTTCGAAGGGGATAACTTCCATACCGAGCGAAGGGGGTGTCGCGCCATTGCAAGGTATGTGTCCAGTTCAACACCAGAGAACGTCCAACTACACGTGCACTTGCGGGAAGATTGTGACTTCGACTATCAACCCAGCGAACCAAAAAGAAAAACACCACGTCCCATTTCGACGAGACCAGTCTCAGCACTAGCTGCAGCACTAGCTGAGCAAAAAAAACGTGGGATAAATTAGCGAACAATCGGCTTCTCCCTGCCTGTCTTGTTTTCTTTCTATGGGGTGCACGTATGTTGGCAAATAGCCCGGGGTAGCTTGACTCAAAGGTGAGACAAGCTACACTCTACCCAAGAAAAGTCCATTTCCCAATCAACCCACCCATGTCCCATGTCTTTGGCGGTGCCTGGGCCACTTGGGCGGCATATGCATAGAGACACCAAAAAAGAAAATGAGCCTATCAGCGCCGTCAGAGAGTGAGTGAGGCTGAACGGCGCGCCCGGGCTGCCCTTTGGGCTGGGCCCCTCTCTCCCAGCTGGCTTTCTCGGCCGGGGTCCATGGTGAGGAAATCCCTCAGACCTTTTTGGGCCCCTTACCCCTCTCCTCTCCTCTCCCCTCTGTTCGTGAGACCTTGCTTGAGCGTGAACGTGGGCGTGGGAAGGACGTGGGCGTGGAGGAGCGTGTAGGAGCGCGAACATGTCAGAAAGGATGGGATGATGAATTGGTTCTAAAATGTGGTTCTTTGGTGGATTTCTAGTCCTAAGTATATACATTGAATTTAAAATGTTGCGGAAATTAGTTCCGCTGGGTATCCCATGAAATCGAAAGCTCCTTTTTCCCAAGTCTCCGTGATGGTGTTGAAAAATATTCTCCAATCCTGTGAGCCGCGACTGCTGTGACGCAGTCGACTGTCTTCGTCCCCTTGCCCAGAAATGTTCTCTCCCTCCTTGGATGCATCCGTGCGACCAATGCCGCAATGAAGAAGAGTAGAAAAGTAGAAAACAAAAGAAAACGTTCGTGAAAGAATCGTGAGCAGGCCGCACTGAGCTCTAAACAGCCATAATCTCCTGCCTCATGTGCTGGTTAATCGCCATGGTGGAAGAACCCTTGGTCGCGAGCGTAGGGCGTCTGAGCCTCAGCTCAACAAAGTGTCCAACCACGCTGCGGACCTGCTCCTCGAAGCCCTGGAACGTGAAGCCAAACACCTTCTCTGAAGCCGAGGCGTCAAAGTCGATGTTGACCGTGCCCACCGAGCCGCTGCTCACAATGAGCTTCCTCTCCACGGCCTCGGGAAAGCTCCTCTTGGCAATGAGCTTGGCGTCGTTCCACCGCGACTTTGTGCTGAGGATGTAGCTCTTGTTGCCCGGGATGGAGGGCAAAAGAGCCTGGACGTGAGCGCGAGCGACGTCGTCGACGTGGACCGTCGCGCCGGGGTAGCTGCAGCCCATCTTCTTGCCGCGGAGAGTGGCGAGGATGACGGCGTTGGTGCCCTTCATCGCCTCGCTCGCCGTGGTCGCAATGTCATTGCGGCCGATGACGAAGGACGGGTGCAGGTGCACGACCTCGAAGCGGGGCTGCTCTCTCGCGATCCATGCCTCGGCGCCCTTGAGGGCGGCCACCTTGGATGCGGCATAGGCGGCAAACTCGCTCTCGTACGGCTCGGGCTTGAATCCCGTCCGCTCCGTGGGATGGACGGCCTCTTTGCGCTCGCGGCCCTCTAAATGATCTACGGATGTGAGGGCGACGACTGAGCTGGTGATGACGACCCTGCGGACGGTTCCTGCGCGCTTAGCGGCCTCGAGCATGCCGAGGGTGCCGCGCACGGCGGGCTGGATGAAGTACTCCTGGTGCAGATCGCGGGGTACTGAGTCGGCGGTCGCAAGTGGTGAGGCAACGTGGATAACTGCGGAGACGCCGCGGATGGCATCGTCGTAGGCACCGTCGGTGGTAATATCCGGCACGATGGTGAAATTGAGTCTTGCGCGGGGGAGGTTGAGTGCGCGAATCTGTGGCCGGGAGCGGATGAAGGCAGCCTTTGCCTCTGAGCGGACGGCGCAGCGGACGGTGTGGCCTGCTCTCAGTGCATGAGTGAGAACGGCGAAGCCAACGTGGCCGGTGACTCCTGTGATGAGCAGAAGCTCGTCTGGGAGAATACACAGCATGATTGCTGAGTTCTTGGTGGTTGTATATAGGTGTTGAGGGGAGGTGATGGACGTGTCGATGAAACCGGACGTCCTGAGAAGGGAAAGAGAAGTGAGGACCAGAACGGGCAGGGCTATGTAACAAATAGTCAGTTGTCCGTCAAATGTCGTTTGATCAGGAATGACGAACCTCTCTCAGTTGGGAAAGTGGTGCGAATGGGCGGGGGTCATATATCTATTCGAGGAAGTCTAAGAAGATGGGTGTTCCCACTACTTGCCTCCCCTCTCCCTGCGTTGCTTGAACCTTCACTTGTGGCCACCTCGGAGGCTCAGATAGACAAACGCCACGTGAAGAGGGGTGAGACATTGAGGGTCCCTGGTGCCGCGTCTGGACACACCCTCGCCGACCCTCGCACACACCCCCTCCCCCTTCCAAGCCTCCAGGAACCCTTTCTCGCAAGCCGGGTACGGGTATCAACCATAACAACAATCCCGCGACCGAATGGAGGTGGTAGCTTCTCCGTGCTTGCGCGGTGCTAGCGTCAGCAGACATGTGTATGCCCATGCACCAGCGCCTCCTCCCCAGTTCTTCTCCTCTGTGAATCGATGAGGTGGCACAGCACCCGCTGGCAGGCTGCTAGGTAAACTGCATTCGCTTGCACATGTAGGGCTGGCGTGGCTCCCCCACTAAAAGATCTAGAGGTTACGCAGCTTCGAGTAGCATGTTAACTGGTCGGTTAGCTAGCTGGTCCTTGATACCCGACTGGTCGAACCCAGGCGTGTCGTGGGGCCCATCGTGCCGCACTGACGGAACCGTCCGGCATGATCCCTTCTCCGTCAGCATACAAAATCTGCGGGGTGAGGGCGGCCAAGAAATCCTGATTGGGGATGTTTAACGAACCAACGGTCATGGACAAGAAGAAGAAGAGACAATAAGGGGCAAATGAGCCAGCATAGCCTTCTGCCAAGCATCTCTGTACCGTCATACCGTCTAACCCGAGGAGGCTGAGGGTGGGCGAACGCCTCACAGAGCCTTGACTCGCAGACACGGCGAATTAACTACCTAATATCATGCGCATCAATGGTGAACCCAATGGTAAACTCAATGGTTCGTTCGTGTACGGACCCGTATTCAGCCCCCAACCCCAGCAGAGATAGGTACTCTGCCTGCAAGAGGAGGGAGAAGACTCAGAACAGGGGGCTGTATCCTATGGGAAGTGCCGCATGGTTGGAGCTACGTAGTCTTGGCCTGTATCAGAGTATCTCAAGCTAAGCACCAGCGACCAACGGTGCGAAGACTAAGGAAGACGCCAGCCATCAAGCTAAACTGAATCAATGAGACACTGAGTCGGCTGGTGGCGCTGTTCTGGGCCGGCCAGCTGGGCAGCACGCAGCAGGTATCCAAGCTAAGTTAACATCGCGACGCGACTTGCCATAGGTAAACTGGCGTCCACGAAAGAGAACCCAGGAAGGGGAAGGGATGGTGGCGCAACCGTTTGATTGGTGGTGAGAGTTCGTTCATCGGGCGGGTGGGCAGTTAAGCTGAACTTTTTTCCTCCCCGATGACCTTGCGATTCGCTCACAGCTGGTATGCCTGAGAAGCAAATAAGTTGAGACGGTGACTGTGGCAACGAGGCACCTGCCATTGTGAGTCAAGAGAGTTCGCAAGTTCCCGACAATATGCTTTTGAAATTTGCCACCTTCAATACTTGACTTCGGGCCCGGTCGATAGTTCCCTGTAGCCGAGTACGCTTGGGTCGATGACTTGTCGACGTGTGCCTTACTAGCTATTCGCGAGGTAAACCTTCGACCGGCCACTTTCCCTCATTTGCCTTTCAACGTTCGTCATGGCCAACCCCTCCCCGCAACCTTGCTTGCCATGCCTTTGTCGACACCGGGAGATCGGCGGTCTGCCGACCAACACAGGCTCGGTACCGACTAGCTGGGGCACCAGAAAGCGCCTCCCTCTCAACCAACACAACTGGCTGGCCCCTCCCACCCTTTCCCCTCTCCTCGAATCTTTTGGCCGCCCCCCTCTTCCGACCTCTCACTGCAGTAAAGCAAGGGGTTGACAACTGCAGGAATTTTCTACAAATGAGAGAGAGAGAGAGAGCCGACTGGACACCAGGTCTGGACCGTTGTGGGCCGCTCTTGGTGCGGCTACTGAGACAGAGACGACCCAGGATTCCAGGAACGCTGGGTGAGACAGCATCGCGCCACATCGTCTCATCATGAACGCCTCTAGGTCCAAAAAAAAAAAAAAAAAAGCAGTAAGCATCCGACGCTGAGAAAACCACAAAAATCTCCGCGGAAACGATATCTAGAGGTGTCATGCTTGTCAGCTGAAAGCGCCGCCGGCACGCGGGGCGTGGGTGGGATTCCGGGAGGGAATGGCACAGAGGAAAAGCGCGAGAAAGGCCAGATAGACCCCCAACAAGAAAGCCAATAGAGTCGCTGGCACGGGCCCCTGCCTCATGGCCACACTGGTCTCGCGCTCATTCACTGGTCCCATCTGTGCTCGTACATAAGCCTTCGTCTCAACTTGTTTGAGTTCTATTAAGGCCTGGAGTCAGATAGTGAGGGGCCAGTGAAGAAGGAAAGATTACCCCTCAATCCTTCCACTAATGACCGTCAACAACAACAAGGCCGAGTCTGAGAGTGACACAATTGAGGAGGAATAATAAAATAGATGCAGGTATCCAAGGAGGGGAACCTGTCGACTTCTCACGCACGCATTCGTCGGTCAAGCCCAATCGCTCGTTAGGTCGTTTGAAATGGGATGAGTTTGGGGCGCGAAGGATCCCGAGCACAGAACCAGTCGCGGAAGAGTATCCATATTCATGCACGTCTTCGGTCCGCTGAATCCAGACGAGAAATATTGGGGATGGTCGGACGATAGTGAGGATTATCACGGAAATGAACGAGTGCGTGAAGCTCCGTACATCAGACTGCAGGGTGATGCTTGGTCGTTGGTGCAAGCCAGTTGCTGCTGGAGGAGAGCTATTGGATTCTGCTGGCTGCTAGCTGCATGCCCTCATACTTCCCCGGCGCCTGTTGTGACGCATGCAACCGCGATCTGAGCGGGGTCTGGTGCAGTGAAAAGGGGTGCAGGAATGCGGAAGGTTGCGAGTCTGGAGGGACAATCCTACGAAGTGTCAACGACAAAGGCAAGTTGAGATGGAGTGAGGCGTCGCGGAACCAATTGGGTAGCCTCGCCTAGCTCGTGTTGCTTGTACTCGCCGAGGTCAGACAGTTCGTCGATCGCATGAGGGTTTTGTGAGACACATAGGGGCTCTCCTAGTTCATGTCAGCATGAAGGGTATTGGGGGACCAACTAGTCCATCTCCGACATAAGATTCGCCGCTCGACTTCGGATACTGGCATTGCGTGCACCGTGTTTTCTTTCTTCTTCTCGTTCAAGCAAGGCGCTGAGTGTGAGGGCAAGAAAGCCGACTACTGTCTGAGAAAGTTGGTGATCAGCATGGTTGATCAGCGCCCTATGGCCGTTGGACGGTTCGGCAATCGCGCCATTGCGAAGCCGTCGCGGGACGTGAGACGTGGCGATGTGGATTGACAGTGGTATGAGAGAGAGCCACGGTGCTAAAATATCGACACTAAAACTTCAACAGCAATTGGCGTCATGATCGACGTGTCGCATGTCGAGACCGGCGCTCCTCCGCCGAGCGGACGTCCTGGGCAACGGACCGAGATACTCCTGGGCCCCGCCGAGCGTGGCCCCGCTGAAGAGTGGCCGGGAGTGGATCTTACTCCGTCTGTGTCTTCCTCCGCCGGAGACCCTTCCGTTCAACCCCGGAGACCCTGGGGAGGACGAGCTCACTTGCCACCCTGCGCGGGAGATGCCGAATGACTTCATCTGAATGCATGACAAGCAGTCTGAACTATGCGTATGCAGCCCCCGCTGTGGATCGTACGGTAGAAAGCCGTTGCTTTGTACCCGACGGGCCCGAACCCGAAGTTTCTCTGTCTCCCTCATATGTCCTGCCAGAGGAGGGTGAATGGAGTGATTGACATCACCATTGTGGCTGAGGACCGTTGTTCGCCTCCAGTGTCGACTCAGACCATTTGGGGGTCCAAAACAGTTTCGGATGATTATTTTTGGCTCAACGCGTGATATGTATCTCGTGATTGGAAAAACCCAATTGTCGAATCATAGGCTTTAGGCAACATCTCGAAGTGACTGATGCGCAAATGACTGCTCCCCCTTTCTTGTGACAGGCAGAAACGTTTCGAAGCTGTCGTGGAGAATGACGACTGCGGCCGCTGTATGCTCAGTGATGCTCGGATGGTTGGCCCAGGAGCTTCGGTGACGACGCTGTCATGCTATCTCGACGTAGTCAGCAAACACGATGACCGGCAAGTCCCGTTGATGGCCGTCGTTATGTTGCACCAAGCCTTGTTGTCGTCTACCATGAACACTCTGCATTGGCGTCGAGTCAAAATGGTCAAACAAATAGTCTCCAGTGATCATCTCACACATGCATTGGTGCTGTACCGCCGATCGATCATGCACAGCAACAACAACATCAACGACAACAACAACAATAATGATTATGGCTCTCCTCGGCTCTAATGCACCTTCTCCATTGAATCGCGTGCACTTGCTGCACTTGCAGTACTTCCAAGGCTTGCATCGCCCACGGGACATGCAGACTTTTCGATGGTGAGTTTGACCATGCTTGAAGGTCATGGCGGGAGTTTGACAGGCCCACCTTGGCGTCCATCATCTTGTTCGGACAGCAGCAGTATCCTTCGGTCCCGGGGAACGTGGCCCGGGCGGGCTTGCCAACGCAAGATCTTCATCGCAACCACTGTCGTGTGCTTTCGATACTGTCGATCAAGCGGCACTGGCACGCCGACGTGCACCACCTGCAGCCTCTCCCGCTGCCGCAGAGATTTTAGGTGACAAAAGCCAGGTCCCCAAGACGCCACCAGGGTGTTTTCAGCAGACGAAGGGTCCTCGACGGCGGAAACTTCAGCACAAGGCTGAGCCGCGATCGGTCGAGCGGTCGGCCGCCACTGTTTATCAAACAGCACTGCCTTGCAATGGTTAGACATGAAGGAAAACATCAGAAGAAACTCGACGCAGACGGAAATAACTGTCGCTCAGATGTGGTTGAGCAAGGCTGAGTGAATTGTCAGTCTTCGTCGAAGTTGACGGAGCGAGGCGAAGGCAAAAGAACGAAACAACAAAAGAGCTTTGCGTTGTCGCCTCCTCTCTTCGGTCAGCCAAAGCAAACTCGATGTATCTGATCCATGCTTTATCATATAGATAGGGCAAGCAATAGGTCGAAAGCACTGGATGTTGTCTCTTGATTTGTCGCTTGGTTTGTCGTTGGGTTGTCGGTGTTGGGAATCGTCACCTGCCGAAATGACCATTTGGTGGAAGCCAGGTTGATAAGATAAGAATGATAAGAAAGATAAGCCAGACTTCCACATTGGAAGAGGAAGACGATGGCTGGTGATCTGTGCGCAGGGATCGATCTGATCTCAAATTCTTGGCCCCAACTCACAAGCTACATGTGTATTTCATTGGCCACCTCTGAGAGGCGGGTCGGCGGAGCGCGGGAGGGGCCTGCACGTGATGGGAGTCTTGGTCCAGACCACGGTCCACGGCCCTCGACCCTGCCTCTTTCTCCAGGAGCCCTGGAAAGACTCTCGCAGCGTAAGGTATCCAAGGACAGCCAGTGGCAGGAGCGTATGTTGCTTATTGCGCACCTTTCATTTCCCTCATCGACATCGTTGCCTGGGCAGCCTTTGAACTGGAAAGTTCCGAGCTGCAGCACGAGTCACGGAAGGTGACATGAGATGCCTCTATTTGTATGTAACTAAAATGAGGAGCGAGGTGGACACGGCGACGCGACGGACCCACGAGAAGGTCTTTGTACTTTTGCAGTCTGGCCGGCTCGGAGTCTTTTCCGCGCTGCCTCCAATCAGAGAGTTTCGGACACAGCCCCGGCTACCACTCGCCCAGGTTGCCAGCGCGGGGCCCTCCGAACTCACATGCACCTCAGATTCTGGCATTCCAGCTGGCGGCTGCATTCGTGCCTGTCACTTTCTTCCGTAACTTACGGTACGTTTCTTTTTGTGCATGTCAATCCGCCGATTTACATACATCCAAGACTCGTATGCAGGATGTACCGCATATGGTGATATTGTGGATATGACCGTATGACATCCAGGAATCTCAAGGTCCCCATCACCTAGCTGGTAAAAACACACTTGAAGAAGGAGTGCCCGGTAGCGTACAACATCAACCAAAATTCCAATTTGCATGTACAGAGTCAGAGTATATAGCTCACCCAGAGTCGCTTCGATTTCAGAGGTATTTTAAATCAAACCCCGCCCCTTGACCGGATTCGGCCAGGGTGCATTGTCCTAGCTTGTAAGGTACGACACAAAGGGCCTAGGCCTAGGTCTACAGACAGTGTCACAAGGAGTGGTAGGGATGAGGCACTGGTCAACGTATATGATGCATCCTACCACGATCATGGGAAAAAGACAAGATCGATCGTAAAGTAGAGAGTGGGAGCAAAAATACGCAAAATGAAACATGACAAAGAAACAGAGCATCATCGAGGAGACCTTGGCTGGCCGATGCGCAACGGTGGAGCGCTCGCAGGAGTGACGTATGCGACGCAATTAAATCGGGCCAAAGTGGCAATTCGGTGAGGTGCGCATCGAAATCCTTAAATCTCGATATCCGCGGGCTTACCTAAACAGAGCCAGCATGGCACAGGGCAAGATGGCTAATCCCGGTACTCACTGGCTTGGCAAACACTGTGCTGCAGCACTGTCGACGCAGAACATTAGGGTGGATACCGGGCGACACTATGCCATTTACGGTCCGACTTTTTGCGAATTCCAGTGTGGCCATCTGAAATTTCCATCGGGACCAGATGCCAAAGGCCAAGGTTTCGCACAAGTACCTCCAGCTTTATCCGCACTGTATTTGAGCAGCCAATCGTTGGGCCAGAAGAGCACCCCGATGCGGAGCAGGCTCCACCGTGGGTCTGGACCTGGCCAGTGGCCTTGTCAATCTTCCCGGCCTCTGCTCGCCTGGCGTCCCGTGTGCCCAGACTTGCTCCAGTGTCCCGTTGTCGTCCAGTCCACCTCACCTACCTCAACCATCCCGTCAATCGCCACCACAACTTGGCCCAGCAATCCTGTCAGCCTCTCTCTCAACCTCTCTCTGTGCCTTTGCCTTTCGCCTCCCTTCGTCAAGCGAACCTCCCGCATCACTCGAGCCAGCCCTCTCTGGTCTCCGACTCGCCTGCACGCAGCCAACCGAGAGTGCGATACATCATTCTCAACGTCGAGCGCACCGTCATTTCCATTGCAATCCACCGTATGCCCTCTGCCATTTGCCGTCGTTTTCTTCACCCTACTCCGTACCCTCCCCGCCATGGTCTAAACAACTGCGACATTTGCGATTGCGACGTTCTTCTCAACAAGCAAGCGAGTGCGTGCTGACTGCCTGTGAGTGATTATCTGCCTTTCACTCATATCTACCATTCCTATTCCTCTTTCACCAGTCAGTCTGCCGCTGGCCTTGGCAACTCCCGTACCCCTCTACCAGCCTCAACCTTCCTACTCCGCCCTACACCTCTGTACTCTTGCCTCCCTCCAGCCGCATGTCTTGAGCATCTCGCGACATGCGAGGTGACGCAAGGCTACACACTCACGAGGATCCTCGCCCAGTCCGTCATGGAGGGGGTAAGGGGCACTGTGTGTATTTTCAACTTCATCCCCCCCACATCCGTCTGCCCGGTGTAGATGCTCGTCCTCCCCTGCCGTTCCTGATACACCGAGAAGCCTATGTCGGTAGTAAAAGTCTCCGGCATGATTCATCTCGTCGCGAACTTCTTGGTCGTTAGCCTTGGCAAAAGTTGACATATGCATCTTAGGTCGATATCTCGCCCGCGGCCACAACGGCTTGCCTCGACGACTCTCGCGCAAGTGAGCACCCTCGACGAACGAGTGGCCGGTCTCTCGTGAGAGAAATTCTTGCTGCCGGCCATGGTCAACACCCCGCCGGCCAAGGCCGTCTCCGAGGGTCGCCGCGAAAGAGAGACATTCAGGTCCGTCCCCCAAATTGCTTCCTCATAGGCCTCACAGACTGCTTCCCGTCAACGTAGTCTACACTTGTCGTATTCAAGGCCCTGACCACCTATTTAGATATGACTCCTCCTTGATCGCACATACAGTCTACAACGATCCCAATAACCTCAAGCCATCTTCGGAACTTCGGTCATGTCCGGATGCGGCACTGACTACCTTCGCTGAGCTCGGCGCACTGCGTCTCAATGCGACTCGGGCCATGATATCTCTCTTCGACAGCAAGTATCAGTACATCATTGCCGAAGCTACGCAATCGCTTGCCTTGACTCCCAACGTTCACACTCCCGACTCCCAACTCGGCGAGCAGCTGCTTCTCTGCGGCACGGCTATTCCACGATCATCCGGGATCTGCGAGCTCATCTTAGAGGTCTCGGATCACCTCGATGATAAAACATTGCCTTCGGGTGGCCACCAGTTGCCTGTCACGGTCATTCCAGATCTTTCCGCAGATATTAGGACCCAACAACGATCCTTCTGTCTCAACACGCCGCAATGCCGCTTCTACGCTGGAGTGCCAATTCGTTCCCAAAGCGGTATTCACATTGGCGTATTTAGCATCTACGGAGACACCCCCCGCGAGGGTCTGGACGATGCGTCGAATCAACTCATGCAAGATATTTCAAAAGTCATCTTGAACTACTTGGACGCCAAACGCAACAGGGATGATCACCGACGTGCCGACAGGATGGTTCGTGGTGTGGGCAGCTTCATTGAAGGCAAGAGCACAATGTCAGGATGGAGACAAAGGAACAACGTCGACTCGTTCGACGACCACCCATCTTTCGAGGGAGCTCTGAACAAGAACCAGCAAAGGATCGATCAGAATAAAGAGGCAATGGGTTTTCAAACATTCCAAGCTCAGCAGAAACAGTCGTCTACTATCGTGATGCAGTACGCGACAGAGTCAAAAGCCCAATCGCCAGAGGCTCAGCCGGTTTCGCCGACGACAGAGACTCGACCTCTTCCTCAACCGCATCAAGACCCGCAAGCCTTGCCGTCTGTATCTGGGACCTCCTTGGAAAGTATTCGATCCGGGTCAGAAAGTGTGTCACAAAATGATGGTGACTCACATTTGTCCCACATACGGCATATCTTCTCTAAGGCCGCCAACATTGTTCGTGAAGCCATAGAGGTCGAGAGTGTACTATTTGTGGACGCGAGCATCGGTTCGTTTGGCGGCCTCGCCGGCCCCCGATCATCTCATTTGAGATCTTCTAGAGGCCGCGGTTCATCCTCCTCCTCTAGTGACGAACAAGTAAGCCCAGGCCTCAGTGGTGGGAGTCGATTGAGCGGTGATGGCGACCAGGATGAGAACCTTTGTGGAGTCCTTGGCTTCTCGAGCTCATCCATTTCAAGCGTCGACGGAGACCTGCCGTCCCTAAGCCACACCTCCGTGTCTGAAAAGTTCCTTTCGAAGCTATTACAACGTTATCCCGAAGGAAAGATTTTCAACTTCGACGAGAACGGCTCCATACAATCCAGTGATCACTCCGGCGATGACCACGCCGCAAAACAAGAGACACCCCTCGAGGAAATCGCAGAGTATGTAACGAGGCCAGCGGAAGATGAACAGCAACGAAACAGGAAACGAAAGCATGCCTACTCGAGACGAAACGAGGGGAAAACGCTTAGTGACCTTTTCTCCGGGGTGCGAAGCATGGCTGTTATACCTTTGTGGGACGTACAAAAGCAACGCTGGTACGCAGGCGGATTCGCCTGCACCAAGACTCCGACTCGAGTCCTCACCATCGAAGGCGAGCTCAGCTACTTACGCGCTTTTGCGTCAGTTGTCATGTCAGAGGTCGATCACGTCAGTTCAATGCTAGTCGACAAGGCAAAGACGGACCTGTTGAGTTCGCTTTCCCACGAGCTACGCTCGCCGCTCCACGGCATAATTCTTGGTGCGGAGTTGTTGCACGACACCACTTTGGACGCCTTCCAAGGAGAGACACTGGTTTCGATAGAAAATTGTGGCCGCACACTCTTGGAAACCATAGACCATCTCTTGGACTGGAGTAAGATTAACAACTTTATCGGACCTTCAAAACACCGAAGGAACTCCGTTGCATTGGGCGAGCGAGGCCTGAGAGCTCGCGATCAGAAAATCAGCATCGAAGCTGGCATGATGAGCATCACGTCAAATGTAGAAGTCGACGTTCTGTCTGAAGAGGTTGTCGAGAGTGTCTGTGCCGGTTTCAGCTACCAACGCGTCTCCGTGGCCCAACTTGCGGGCAATAGGCCGACCGAGCATGCAGACACCACCGCTATACGCAGGCTTGACAGTATGCAAGCAATGGAAGAGATGGCGACGCGGACAAACAAATTCGGGGACTTGCAATTGGTCCTCGGTGACGTTTCTGTCACCTTTGATATTTCTCCTGCCATCTCTTGGAGTTTCCATACACAGCCTGGCGCGCTTAGGCGAATCATTATGAATTTGTTGGGAAATTCGCTCAAGTATACACACAAGGGCTTTATCAACGTCAACGTATCCCAGTTGCCCAAGTTGACCGATGCCCCGCCTAGAAAGGCCATCCTTCAGATTGACGTCGTTGATTCAGGGCGTGGCATTAGTCAGGAATACCTACAGCACCATCTATTCGCCGCCTTCGCCCAAGAGGACTCCTTGTCTGCCGGGGCTGGTCTAGGTCTAAGTTTGGTAAAGCAGGTGATTGCCAAACTGCGCGGATCCATTCAGGTTTGGAGCAAGGTCGGACAAGGAACGAAAGTGAGGGTTCAGCTACCCTTGTTGTGCGCCAATCCTGCATCACCAACGACAGCCAGCGCAAACGATGGCAATATCGATGCATTTCGGGCATCAGTCAGCGAACTTGGGGGCCTCAGAGTCAAGTTGATAGGATTCCCCGAAGACTATGGAGTCAGAATGCCCGACGACCTGACTAGTAACACCCCTAGCGAAGGAGCTTTGATCGCACATCTCTGCAAGGAGTGGCTTCAGATGCAAATGATTGACCAGTCCGTCCCGCCGTCGGAGCAGCTTCTTCCCGATTTGGTACTGTCCACAGAAAAGCATCTGGAGCAACTTTTGATGGAGCGCCGCTTGGGCATCATATCGACGCCTGTTGTGGTGATTTGCCGGAATGCCTTGATTGCGCGCCAATTAGCAACCTCGTCAAGATTTACCGGCAATCGCATCGTGTTTGAGTTCATCTCTCAACCGTAAGTTCAGACTGTGTTCCACCACCGAAAGCGGCAGCTACTAATCCGTCTACCAGCATCGGTCCGAGAAAGCTTGCTAAGGTGCTGTTGCTCAGCTTCAAGCGATGGACTAAGTTGCAAGAGCGAGCGATACCCACTCCCACGATGTTGTCCTTGGCCAGCCCAGAACCATCGAACATGGGTGGTGAAACGCCGACAGCGCCGGCACTAGACAGACTTGCGGAGGTGGGAAGTACCGAGGCACTCCCAGATACTCCCATCGGAGACGATGTCCCCATGAGTTTAGATGAGTTTCCAAACACTGACAACGATACAACGAAGAATATGGAAGGTCAGCCTGTTAAAGAGGAGAGTTCGGAGCCAAGGCCTCAGGACGTTGCCTTGCCTGACACGCCGGAAGAACACCCCAACAGACATTCGCTCGATGGTCTGGAAACTCCCAGACTCGCTCACAGACCAAAGAAGGCCAGAGGGGATCGGCCCAAGTTTCTCTTAGTGGATGACAACCCACTCAACCTCAAGATGTTGGCGACGTACATGACGAGGCTAGGACACGATTACCGTAACGCAAGAGACGGACAAGAAGCGTTGGATGCGTTTCAGGAATCAGCGGGCGAGTACCATTGCATTTTGATGGACATCTCGATGCCTGTGATGGACGGGTTCGAAGCGACACGACGAATTCGTGCTATTGAGACAAAAGACAGCCTGTCGCGCTGTCTGATCATTGCGCTCACGGGATTGGCATCAGCCAACGCGCAGCAGGAAGCATTTGCGAGCGGGATTGATCTTTTCCTGACAAAACCTGTGCGGCTGAAGGAGCTAAGCAAGATATTGGAAAGCAAGGACGTGGCATGATTGGTAATGAGCGATGGGACATAAAGAGGCGGACCACGGATCATATTCGCTTGGTAGGAGTTGGGACGGACCGCGACGACGGTGGAAAAAGAACTGGGTGCAAATGGTGAACTACGTAATACGTACATGAGATACCCGCGTGGCTGGAATGCATCACTGCAACGACCCGGCTAGAGTTTTTAGACTTGGTCGGGCGGTATAGCTGGCTACACGATTTGATACGCATTAGCTGCAGAGCAATAGACGAATATGATGTTAGGGTGCCCTCGTTGAGGCAGCCAGACGCGATCAATTGGACGATGGTGAAGCAGCACTGCAGCAAAATCAACAGCAGGACCCGTCCGTCTTGTTGACGGAAGAGGGGCACCCTGTGCTCCGACTGAGAGACGATTATATTTGTACCTGCAACTAACTCAGTATTTCCATCGCCAACCTGCCGTGTCTGCGCGTGTATCCCGGCGCGTGCTTTACCGTCATGTAGACTATGGCGGATTGTGGTCTCTCCAATGCTTTTGCGCCTGAAACGACTGGAGCAATCCTGGTTGATGTATACTCAAACATCTTTCTTCTATTTATGGATCGGTTTACGGCGCGAAAGGTCACTGAGTGAGGGTTTCAAAGCGGGTAAAGTAGGCTCTTACCCGGTCCTTTGAAGACGCCAAGACACCTGATCTCAACCAAAAGAGAATTGCAACGAGATCCTTGATGTTGACTCTGCAAGTTCTTTGCTTAACCTTTATGTTCGATCCCGTTTATCGGCAGTAACAATGCCAATGTTTCCAGGGTTGTGTGTGTCGGAGATGGATAGATAAGCCAGAACTTTCCAGCGTAATCACGGCTGCTCGTGAAGCCAACTCAAACGTGAAAACTACTGACCAAACAAAATATAGGCCGAAACACAGCCGAGCAAATCGACAAGATGGATGCCAGCACGCTCACTGAACCTAGATATCTCTACGACCGCCTGCCAGCAGGTGAGGTCCCCAAGGACATCCTCGTCCTCAAGGACTGGTACTTCACGCGCTGCAAGAACCTGCGAGACGCCAAGGTCCTCCAGGGCGTCTACAACACTCTCATCCTCGACCTCGGCGTGACACCAGAGGAGATGTACAAGTGGAAGAAGGACCGCGCCCTCGGCTACAGGATCGCCAATTTCTTTGACAACCCCTTGAACGAGGACAAGATTGCGAAGGAGCGCATGAAATGGGTCAAGAAGAACAAGCACATCTGGGGCAGCACCATCCAGAACTATGATACCTCCGTCTTTGCGTTTACGCAGGACGACCACGAGTTCTTGAGGAGCCGGTGGCCTAAAGAATGGAAGCGGTACTCCGTTGCGCAGATTGAGTGGGCGTTGGAGATTGAGCTGGAGCAGGCGAGGCGGTTTTTGCCCAAGAAGCATGAGAGGAGCATACGGGAGGAGAATTGGAGGTGGTTGTTTGGGGTGGAGAGGTGGGTGAGCAAGATTGCTTTTCTGGCGTTCGATGCGTCTGGGACGGATTGCGAGATTGCTTGGAAGGAGTGATATGGGGTTGTTTTTGTGTGCTTCGACCCAGCCTGTTTGAGGATAGACTTTTGGGAGGGGCGGTGTGATGGGAGAGACGAGGAAGAGTTGGAAACTGATATGGGCATGGTACTGAGGTGTATATCATGACATGGATCTATACATGAGGGTTGTTGGGGAGGCTAGAGCCGTGTTCTCGACTCCCTCCCCTGCGGGTGTACCCCCATGTGACTTGGTAAGCCTCCGTCCCGCTTCACTTGTTGTCGTTTCCGTAGAATTCAAAGAGAGTATTCACTTCACAATTTACCCTTATTGTACCACACTTGGTGAGAGGTCACGAGGGAGGGTCCACTTCAATTCACGTAGCTTGTTTGCAAATCTCACCCGGTTGACTGATCGACGTCAAAACCTGGGCATCCCCAACCAGCAGAAGGCGAGATTCCCGAATAACAACCTACCTGCCTTATATACCCAAACCGATCGGTGAGCACCCAATTCTAGTCTTTCACTACAAAGACTATCCTGGCTTCCCAAAAAAATTCAACCGAAGTCATCAACCCCCTTTCCCCTTCACATCCATCCTCCTTCAGCTCCTTCTGGCAGCTTCCTTTGCACAATTGCAAATTTTCCATCATCTCCCACCTCACCTCAACCAGCAAAGACTGACCAATATGTCCCCAATGAAGGAACTTCCCGAGGACTCTGCTCCTCAGCGGCTCCTCCGAAAGAAGCTCCCAGACTCGAGACCCGGCAAGCCGACGCCTGAGATTGAGGAGAAGAAGAAGAAGCCCGCCAACAGGAAGCCCGCCACCATGACCCCCCCTCGCAAGTCCAAGCCCTCTCTCAAGAAGCCCATGATGGCTCGTCCCAAGGGCATCAAGAACAAACCGCCCCCCAAGCGCAACAAGAACGCCAAGCGCACCACGGCCCAGGACCTCCTCGCCGCCTGCCAGGAGGACAAGATTCCGACCAACGAGCAGGTCAAGGCCGACTATGGCTTCTCTCGCTGCTACATCACGGTGGACCAGAGCAAGCTCATGGCCGTGTACCGCACCGTCCTCGTCGACTTTGAGGTCAAGCCGGCCGAGCTCCACGCGTGGCTCCAAAAGGGCGGGCTGAAGAAGGTCGCGGCCGAGATCAAGGATAAGATGGAGGCGATGCTGGGCACCGAGGAGTATCGCGGCGATTACAACTTCTTCCTTGAACACCAGTATATTTGGGACCCCGAGGACCTCGAGAGCGAGGCCAAGGCCGCGCGTGCTGCCAAGGAGATGAGGGAGTACTATGCTGCTCGTCAGCGGCCCGGTCAGGACTTTGACTGGTACTCTTGAAGGATTCGCGAGATTGGCTTGACAGGTTTCTCGAGATGACAAGGAACGATTGCTTCACATGAGGTTGATGAGGTATACACAGATGTGAGTTTCCAGATTGTCCTGAGGAGGAGAGGCTCAGCTGACTGTGACATTCTATAGTGCTCCTTTTTGCTACCGAACTGGAAGAATCCTTCACCACTACTTTGCTTCCGACGAACTTCTCGACTACTTCCTCCGGTATGGCGCGTTGAAATTGGAAACAGAAGTGTGATGACTGGGTTTGGATGCGGCATGTCTTGCCATGCGAAGTAGTCTTATACAAGGAGAACCAGCCATTCCGCTACAACAGTACCCATAGGACAATGAGATGCTGTTAATGAGCAGAGATGAAGTTGGCATGATATACGTTCTCTTTGTTACATGTGACGAGGTCGCGAAGCTCATGAGCTGTCGCTGGGTAAGGGGGAAGGCGCCTGCCCCATTCTCAGCCCTTCCCTTCCTGCCTTTCTTCGAGGTGTCGATCTCGTGGCAGGCACCTGAAATCTCCTCCTTCCCTTGGTAGAAGTTGGCGGCTTTGTCAGCGGCTTCTCTGATATAAGCAACCACCGCGTCCCCCCTTCATACCTCTTCCCATCAACTCGATCACCGAATACTTTGCCGCGACTCTACCGTCTCTCACCCACCATCCAAGATCTCCATGCCGTCTGATCAGCGGACGAGCCCCACCACATGTTTGCAATCTTCTGTCGCCACTCCCAACTCGCGTACAACTCCCTCCAATTCTCACGCAAAAGGCATCGCTCGTGTGCCATCAGCTCGAGCTCGTTAGTCTTCCGCCCAAACATCCCCAGAAATCCTTTAGATTCCGCCGATGCCTGACGCCGCGCAAATAACCGAGCATCCTCTAGCTCCCACTCCACAGGCCACACATACTTTCCCAGAAACCTCAGGTCCTCATCCGAGAACTTGAACACAGGCACGTCGTTCCCCAACGCGGCGCCGGGGACAAGCCCCCAGATCCAGACGTGCTCCTTGAACCACGCCGCCCGCTCCTTGGCCACCTTCTTCGGGCGGAGCTCAAAGTCGAACAGGATGTTGCGACCGAGCTTGCGCTGCTCCTGCCAGCCTTCGATCTGGCGAGAGGGTGATTCCAAGGTCGACGACGAGGGTCTGGTAGACCCGCAAGAGGTTGATGGCGTCGTTGTGGGTCTTGCAGCGGGTGAAGTACCAGGTCGTGATGGTGTCAAATTCTCCGGGGATCCGTGGGAGTCGTGTCAGTTCGACCGCTCTGTCGAGGAAGTTGGTTGTGAACTCGACTACATTCTCGTAGGCGCCATGCTGGAGGCCCGCCTGGGTGATGATGGCCTCGAGAGGCTGGTGCTCGTAGCTGGGCAGGCGCTTTGACGAGTATTCTCTGGGAGATTCACTCTGGTAGCAACCTTGGCCTTCTTCGTAGCGGCAAGCCTGTGAATTGCCGTCATTGTATTCGTCTTGGTATTCCGAATGTTCCCGACGGGGAGACTCATGGCCTGACTGGTCGTCAGGTGACTGGTTATCGAGGACCTGGTCTTAGGTCGTCTGGTAGCCATGTGCACCTTGGCCGTCTTCAAAACGCTGAGCGTGTGAACTGATGTCATGGTCATCATTTATGCACCTCGGACATTGACAGAATATCTGGTCACCTAAGTGATCAGCAGGGACCTGCTCGTAATTAGTCTGGTTATCCATGGTTTCTGTCTGGTAAACTTGCTTTCCATGTTCTTGGGTTTCGAAGTTAGTTAGTTGTGTATGATTTCTCTACTGGATGATAATCAGTTGAGAACGTATAGAAATATATATCCAGAGTCATGAGACTAAAAATTCTTTAAGGACAACAATTATCTCAAGTGTTGTGTGTCTCAGTTCATTGTCAACCATATTAACCAACTTCTTGCTTCCAAGATTGAACAAACGGCGACAGGATGGGTGCTCAAATCACGCATTCTTAATGCAGCAAAGGGCTCGCCAAAGACAAGAACCCTGGCAACTCAATGGAATTGTTGAGTTGTTGCCGAGAAGCAACTTCTCAAAGACTGGCTTAACTGCCTCAAGTTTGCTTTCAGCCTACTTTAGGTAAAGCTGTGTTACCTTCCGCTGAATCTCAATCATCCAAGGTTCAAATATGGACATGCCCATCTGTCCATCTCGATTGGCGACACATCAACTCAATATTTTCATCACGCCGGCTCAATTGTGAGGAAACACGCGGAAATTCTGGGCAGCATCTGTCCGTCAGCTTCTGAATCCGGAGGAATCAGCAGAGTGAGAGAGACTGAGAAACACACCCCACCAGGCGTGTCCTGCAACTAGCGAGCGATCTCGCTGAGGGACATGCCATCAATAAGTCAGGACAGAACACGGCAGCGCCAGCCGGGGGAGGCGCATCCGGGTTGGAGCCGAGAGCGAGGTGAAGCTAGGTCTCCGAACGGCCCGGACGTACTCGCCTCTATTCTGGAGTATCTATTCTGGAGTACCTCCTTCTTCTCGGCGAGCCGTTTCTGGCCGGCCAAGAAGATTGTGACATGAGTCATGTACTCGGTATCGTCGGCGGCGGGACCGGCGAGGGCGGTATCGAAGTTCATTGCCGAGCTGTTGGTGACCTTTGGCGGCTCAGGCCTTGAGCTGGGCTGGCTTGACGGCCTGGTCGAGGCCCGTCATGAGGAGGGCCTAGAGGTTGAAGAGCTTCTCCTGGCCCTTGACGGTCCTTGGGTCGGTGGGGAGCTTCTTGGCGAAGATTTCCTCGAGGACGACGTCGGCGGTGGACCGAAGGGGTTTGATTTTGGCCATGGTGTCGCTGGTGCGGGCGGTTTGCTAGCCGTCAACTGGATGGTAAGCAACGAGATGGAAGGATTGAGCGTAAGCTAAAGAGCATACCTTGTCTCATACAGACGTGTATGATGTGGTCAGATGGAATGCGAGTTAATTATAAGGGATGAGTGAGCAGAAGGAAGAAGTAGTGGAGGTGAAAAGGGGCAAGGCGGAGGGTGATGATTGCTCCAGGATTTGCGCAAGTAGAATCTTTATTGAGCGAACGGTCTTCGTAACCCAAAGTAGCAAGCTGCAGTATTGATTCAGAACTCTTGCCACGAAACCTACGTCTTGAGCTCATCATCCCTTCATAAACGTTCATGATTTTCTATTACCTGTCCCTGTTCTCTTCATCTCTATTTGCCGTCACCTCGGCGGGCTGTAGGAACCCAAGTGGCTAAGTTGTTCTGCCGCCTCGAACACCTCCGTCTTTTGACGATCCCCTTCCTCTAAGCGAGCTGTCATGTAGTTCATAACAGTATTTCCAGTCCACCCCGTCCCTTGATCTCTTTCCCAGCCAATCAAGATCTGACAGAAAACCCGCGACATGACCGCGCACTCTCTGACGAAGTCTTGGCCAGTCAACATGGGCTTTCCCTCTCTGTCATGTTCGGGTATCAGACACCAAATGTTGTAACGAAACCACCAAGGGTATGTGCCATCTGCGAGAAGGTGAATCTTGGCAAACTGCTTGCTGGTGGCCTCGGCGATCAGCGGTGTGCCCCTAGCAATCAACCATCCGTAGACTACGACGCTGTCGAGGTCGAAAAAACAGCGAAGGCACTTGTAGATCGCCCACAGGAGACGTTCCTCTTGTTTGCCTCGACAAGCTTCGAATCCAAAGTCTTTCCGTGTCTGCGGATCCGTGGGAGGCTCACAGGTACTGGACTTTAGGGATTCGGCAAGGAAGTGATGGGTATCCGGCCGTTTGGTGGGCACGCTGCAACAGGCCATGCGGTTGGCGGTGTCGTTGTTGTGGGCTGTCTTCCTCTGGCACTCGGTGCTGCAATACTAATCGGATTGACACTCATCGCAGTGGCGCGCGAAGGTCCTTTCGTTGCAACACACACAGCGCCATGGGGAAGTTATGGTGTAAAATCCCGATGTCATCACTGGAGATGACGTTCGCTCGGATACCGAATTAGATATGTTGGACAGATCAAAGAACTGAATAATTCTCGAATGCGAAACCCAGTAGGTTGAATGATGTTGATGCAGCTTTGCTCCAAAGGGTGCTGCGTGGAAGCAAGAATGTTGTCAGGAGGGAGGTTTGGTCGACGTCGGAGTCGGCTACTCGGAGTAGGCAGTTGATGAGAGACCTGAAGATGAAGGAAGGTACACGTCAGCAATGGAGGCAATAGAAGGTAAGGTGCATGGAAATGCTACAACCATGTTGGTATCTGAACCTTCGATCAGGAAGTCGTCGAGGGATACCTTATGTCGGGGCCTTCCTCGGTGATGTGACTACCTGCCTCCTGAGATTGTTGACGGCCGCCTCACGTGATTCAAATCCATCATGTTGTTCCTCAACTGGACGTTCCTATATCTTGCTCACCATGCCACTTGCCGACAGCATATTCTGAACTTTGGGTCAGTAGCTAATGTAGCTATTGCTAGTTCCATGTGCGACAATTCTTTCGAGCAATAGCATGCCCTCGCGGCACAGCGTCCTTGAAAGTCGGCTGGCTCTGTCGTTCAGCCGCGTTGCACGGTGCGAAGGCGGTGCCGCTCCAAGCGACTAGCCCTCCACTCGAACATCGTCGCCTGGCTCGGGCGATAGTAAAGGTCACATGCGAATGCGGATGAAAAAGTAGAGGAGGCTTGTCTTTGGCATTGGACAACGCTCTGGAAAAGCTGATTCGGCACTTGTACAGCCTCTGAGCCCGAGCATAAGGCTTCATTTTCGAGCTCGTTCCAAGAATCTCTGCAGATGTTGTCTTGTCATTTCCACGCTTCAACTCCACAACCGCCACCTCAGCCTGCACCTCGAGACATGGCATCGCTCCAAGCATTGGCGGTCCATAGGGCAAGACGATTTCGACGACTGTGCTCCTTGCAGAGAATTATCCGCCATCAATATTTGACCGCAGATCACTCGTACATGATGTCCAGCCGGTGGCGGGCGATGGACATCGAGGTTTCTGGCGCCAAATCGAAAAGTCTGCATTTCCCATGTCTCCAACATGCAATTACCGATACAGAAGTGTCCGTTTGGGATCAACAATGCCCTTGCTTCCGCCACGGGTACGTATACCACGGGCTTGTACGTAACGGCATGGCCAACCTCAGAAAAGGTATCCTGACCAATCTCCTTGCTTCAAATCTGGCACCCAAAAGCTTCCGTCCCCTCACCGTTTTACTCGACAGTGAGAGATGGGGGAAACCGTAAACTGGGGAACTGGGCGGTCCCGTGCCTGACCCCTCTTTTCGCACTTGATTTCCCTTTATAAACGAACAGGCCCCGTTCCCTCGTTTTCGATTCCTCTCACGATTCTCGATCCCTACACAATACTGCCTCCTCCACCAATCGACGTCATCAACAGACTTTCTTCCCATTCCCAAAACCGTCTGCCCGCCCCGCTCTTACGTTCCTAGCCATTGGCCCGCCCTGCTGCAACGGATTCCAGTCCGTTTCCCAAATCGGCCGAGCCCGTTCCTTTCCCAGTCTCTCAATGGCCCGGACCCCGACAGACCTAGTCACGCCCGTGCCGGCCCTGAGTTCGCGACGCCGTCCCAGCGACAATGGGTGCGGCAACGAAGCGTTGGCGCCCATGTCCCTGAACCATCTCAAAGCGAGCGAGATTATCCAGCGAGTTCGTCTTTCCCGGCTAATGCGATTTTCAAAATGTCATATTGAAATTGGGTCAAGTCTGTGCTGACACAGCATCCGACGTCGTACAGGTCCACGGCGATGCAAACAACCTGCTTCGCAATATCAACGGCCTGCTTCAGTGTAGCAGAGCACCCTCAGCACATGATAGTGGCCGTGTGGCGCCAGGGGTCCTGCTCGGCAACCCAAAACTGCTGCACGCGCAGAAAATTTCTCAACATATTACCGGAGATATGGCGGAGTTGGTAGCCATCTCTGAGAAGTCCGAAGAGGCTCTACGGATGCGACGTCCCAACCATTTGCGCAAGATGCGTCGCAAGCAAACCGGGGTGATTGACAACGGCATGGATCGTCACTTGAACAAGGTAGGTTTTCACAAACTCCGTCTTACCCGCCTTACCTCCTCGGCAGAGGGTCACGTTGTATTTTCATGCTCCGTCTTATAACCCTTGCCTCCTATCGAGGGCTACTGAAGATTTACTCACACTGAAGAACAGAGCCTGTCAGATCCCTCTGTCTGCCACAACTGCTACGCTACCTGTACACCGCAGTGGCGTAGCGGACCTGCGGGGCCGCGCACTCTCTGCAATGTCTGCGGCCTGATTCATGCCATGAGGCAGCGGAAGCAGGGGCTGAGGCACAGCAATCGTGTTTCGGCGTCTTCGTCGCTCTCTTTTACGTCTTGAGATTCCACGGGACTTGCGATACTGTTTATATCGATTAGTAGGGGTAGAGTACTTTGTCCGCGATTATGATACCAAATCCTTGGAGAATTGGCGTTCATGAAGGGAGTAATGAGTCTAGGAAAAGTTGGAAATTCTGGTAAATGTGTGGATGGGGCAGCCGAGGACCTAGAATTGTCTGGGTGTCTTGGTGCTTGGGTGTCGCGGTCTCTGCCACTCTGGCACTCTGGGTACCCTTCTTACGCTCTTAGTCACAAGATTTGCTCGATGGGGGTCCCTCGGCGCAAACAAAACTGTCACGGTGTTCCCAAACAGGCTGTCCATGTGATGAGCTTTTGACGCTAGGAGTCTTTTTATCCATCATTTGTGAAGTACACAGTGATCCTGCTCATGGTGCCCAGATACCCCCTGAACCCTCAGTGGTTTGCTGCTGCTAATGCTTCCCTCCGCACCTCCCGAGCGGTACGTTGAGGGCATCTCAGTACCCAGCCGCCGACCATTCTTCCTCCTGGAGAAACCTTTCCTCATGCTGTGCTCTGCGCCTACCTCCGTACCTTTCAGTAGGTTCAAAAAGTCCAATTTGTATGTTTATGAATCACACACTTGCAGCATCTACTGCCTACATGTACTATTGATACACACTCTATTAACGACGCTGCGCATCACTAGCCTGCCCAGGCCATCGTGTACTCACATGTGCGCAACAACGGCTCGTTTTTCTGTATCCTTTGGTGCGTTTAGCCCAATTGACACGGCTGCAGCGCGCCCTCTTGCTAATTAGAAGCCACCTCCGGGCTGCGGATCTAGCCCTTGGCGCTCAGAACATTGCTATACAGGGTGACAGGCTGCTAAGCATGGGTTTTTACTGACTGTTCAAATGAATCGGTCGCCCTGTTCAGCTGTTATGACCCTGAACGTCAAGGTGGCTGTGAGATGTGTTTTCTCGTCCTGTTCAATAATACCCCATTCCCACAGCTGGAAATAGTGGTCACCTCACGTTAATGGTATGGTTTTTGTACAACAATATTGGGAATTATGTGGATAACAGTATGTCCCTGTACTTTCCCTGGTAGTCGCAGAAATGCTTCAAAATACCCTCCAGAATTCTTTCTCTCTTTTTCTTTTCTAAGTCCGAAAAACACCTGAACCCTTGGTTTTAGATACGTTGAGATCAAAGGCGTGGAAAGCGTCGTCCTTGGTACAAGAATCTTAGCATAGTAGTACCAATGTGAAGCCTTTTCCCCAACTTATGAGTGCCCCATTATTATGAAGTGGTCAACAATCTAACCCACCCTATAGGTGCATATTGTTAGTCTGTGTACCTGTCTATCAAAGAATGCGCTGGAAACTCTAGACACCCCAGTTCGAGGTATGATTTTGTTAGACCAGGACAAGATAGCGCCCCTTCCTATATGGCCTATATAGCTACAGCTACTGCCTCGTTAAAGAGTAATGCCTCTCTGGATTAAGGTGGCAAGGAGCGATAAATCCCACGGAAATGAGTCGACCTTAGGTAAACGAAAGAGGGGCAAGGCAAGCCCTCCATCCGAGTCCTCCCCCAATTCTTTCTCAGGGCTGCCAGTAGATCCTAGCAGATCCCAGCAGAGAACGCGAGTGACAGACTCGACAGGCCAAGCAGCGATAGGCACTCAGGCACTGTGTTTCGCGACCTCATGTGGCCCATTGTGACACGACGTGAGGAGTCGGCTCAGAGACCCTTTGCCCGCACTACTGCTACCGTCAAGGGCCTAGACTCCCAGAGGGTCCAACTTTGTTGTCACGAAGAATGGGGAATGAGCGCGATTGCCCGGGGAGGGATTTCTGCCAATCAGAGACGGCGAGAAGGGCGCGGAGCGACTTCCTATTGGCTCTTTGAGTCGTGACCAAAGCAGACGGAAAGGGGGGCTGGCGCAGAGACTCGGTCCCTTGCAACGCCAAAGTCGAGAAAACCGACAAATCAGTCCACCTGCAGCAATAACAGTGTGAGGTGTTGGGGCCCTCTGTCAAAGTCTACCAGCTGTGTACATGCGGTAGAACGTCGTAAACGTGTTGTGTGACGCTGGCTGGCACGCTGAGCACTCCGACTCCAATATTCCACCAACTTGGCCAGCTCTCGTACTGCTACTACACTTTTCAGACTTCGCTTTCACAAGCAGATAATTTCGGCTTCAAACCACGAGGGAGCGCTATATGAAATAAGCCTGGTGTCTGGTCTTGAATTGGGCTCTCCCAAATTTGTATTCCTAGTCCTCTGTATAGGACTGTCAGATTGTGCATAAACAGAAGAGATTGTACAATGTCGGATGGCCGCAACCGCACTAAGCCAACACGTGTGCTAAGGTAGGCTGCTAAAACAACGACCCTGATTACCTGAGACAGTCCAGCTTTTGGACCCTAAGACCCTTGGACCCCTTCTCAGTTGGGTTGTTGGAGAGAAAGACGGGGGAAAGCAAAACCCCGTAGCAGGGTAGTTAACATTCTGATTTGGCACAGTTCTCGCGTATAGTAAGCAGGGTCCTGTGACGGTACGTCATACTGTGATTGTGATTGCGGTACACACGTTCCCCCCGTGCCCCCCTAGTCCCCAAGCACTGTGGCAGGGGCGCTAGAGGAGTCCGACTTTGGATCGGATTTGATTAAATCGCAGTGCACCAGCACACCCGATCCCACACTCAAATCCCCGATCCTGTCGCTCTTTCCCATCCAAATTGTTGCGCTTTTGCATTGCACCGTCGATCAGCTTTCAGGTTATCGAATTTGCCTCTGTCTGGTGCTGCTTTCCGATCGATTTGGGATCGCAAACTCAAGATCTCGATCCCGAAAACTCGATTCCAACCACATCAATTTCTTATGGGATCTGTCAAAGCTGACATCCCGTTGATGATCCACAAACGGTCCAAGTTCGGCTTGGAGATACCGGCGGCGGCGAATGTATCTTCGTCCGTGGATCGCACTCCGGACGACGCCGATGCCCACGCGCCACCTCCGATGTCCATGGATCAGATCAAGGCGACCGAAATGATACAGAGGGTAAGTTGCAAATGAGTAACGATGCAATGTATCGCCATTGCATCTTTTTTTATTGTTGTTGATCGTCGCAAGTCGTGACTGATACGATGCTTTTGATATAGATACACAAAGATGCCAGGCAATTGCTCCAAAATATCCAGGGCCTTGCCGAAACCACATTTCCAAAAGCCGGCTACGAGTGCAACGATGTGCCTGAAGAAATAACAAGCAATGCAAGATTATTAGCCGCCCAGCATCTATCAAAAAACATTGCCGATAATCTGGATGACCTGGCGCTGCTGTCCTACCGGAGCGCCACAGACGCGGAGCAGCGACAGACCGTCGTCGGCCCAAAAGCTTGTGAGAACACGGGCAGGAAAAGGCGCGCATCCAAGTTGGCGGCTTTCGACCGCACTTTGAAAGTGGTAGGTTTCCCTCTTTTTTTCCGTTCCCTGACTACGGGAACACGCGTCACAAGAATAAAAGTCACTAAAATCTCTTTAATCTCAAGAAGCGTTTGGACGACTCGCTCTGTTGCCACGTGTGCCAGGCGACGAGCACGCCCGAATGGAGGGACGGACCCGATGGCCGATGGACGCTTTGTAATGTCTGCGGACTTCTCTACGCCCATCGGCTACGCAAAAGCGGTCCGAGTATACGAGGCGTGATGTCTCCTGGATGACGGGTCTCCCATAACTCGAGAGACACGGTGGGTGGACACATTTTGCGGTGAAATAAATGGCAGCCTCTTCAACAATCACGAGGGGCGTTTGAGGGAACATTGTATTCAATGCATTTAAGCAAGGCGTTTTACGGAGTATACACACAGCGCCGGCGTCTAGCATCTTTTTAGGAAGTTATCACAGCGGTATGACGCAAAATTTGAAGCAATTGGCATTGGCTTATTTCAGTGGGTGATGATTTGTCACTGTTGTTCCGGGGGTCGCGTTTATCCACCACCCAATCTCCCTGCCAGTTGTGCCACCTCGAGGCACAAACGAACGTACCTATTCTACCGTTTTCAAAAGGTACATATATTATGTAATCCAAAACATACGGATATCGGGGTCCAGGACCTGGGCAGTGACGTCAGAAGTAGCCAATCCTCCGCTCAAAAAGTCGCGAATAGCAACGGGGAGCACACTGGGGGGGGAGGGGGGGCAAGCGGGGGAGCGTGAGGCGAGTGTGATTCGAGCGCGCGACTAGTAAGAGGTGGAGGCGCGCGGGGAGCACGGGGGGCGGGGGGGGGGGGCAAAGGTGCAACTAAGATTGCCCAGGCTACGCACATTTCCTAGAATGGACACGACCACGTGCGGGCGGCAAACTTTCTCGATTCGACTCCATTCGAGTTCGATGAACACGCTCTAGACGGACGTGCCGTTCATCGAGCTTCATCTTCAAACCCGCCACTCTCTGTGCACCGCCTTAACCCACGAGTGCCTCTGGGGGCCGCCAACCACTCCGCTACAAACGGGCACAGCATTTCATGACTCGACCTTATTCCCGTGGGTACTGGGCAGAAAGAAACAAGATTTCGCCACGTCTTTCTCGGAACTGTCGCTGATTCAAGTGATATTCTTCACGAGGCATCTACATCAGTCAGTGGTTACACATAGGCATCACTATTAGGTATGGACCTAGCCAGACTGCTGGGAGCCCGATCACGACAAACACACCACGCGCAAGCCGTCCCCTTCCCTCACAGTCTTGAGCTCTTGTTCTCTCTCTCTTCCGATTAGACTAGCATCCATATGCTGTCCGTCGACATCAACAACCGACCTTGAGAAACGACGCATTCTCATGATCCGGGCCGGCAATGGCCCAGCCTCCACACCCCAACGAAGATGATGTCCAATTTCTATACCAAAATCCCGAAAATCCCGAAAATCCCATCGAGTCCGCGTCGAACAACGTCCAAAGCTTTGGTTTCCTAATTGCATTCACCGAGAGCGATGCTAGACGACTCGTAGTCAAATGCGCCAGCGACAATTCGGCTTCATTTACGGGCTACTCCCCGAATGACTTGTTCGAGTTGGAAGACTTTGGAAGCATCCTAGGATCAGGCGATTTGGATACCTTGATGACTCGTCTGAGCTATCTCAAAGAGTCGAGAATCGATGGGGTCGCCGGCGGCCGTGCTGTATTCAACTTGTCGATCTTCTCAAAACAAGGCGAACCTGAACGGTTTTGGTGCTCCATGCACCTGAGATCCTGCCCTCCAGACCCCGATACTGTTGTTTGCGAGTTTGAGGTTTTTAACGACGCTTCTCCCTCCATCTCAGGACACCGAAGTCACACGAGTGATGTAGCGAAGAAAATCCCTCGAACTTCTCGGAGGGTTGGAAACGAAGGCGGGGAGCTCAACACCGCGCAGGCAATTGGAATCATGTCAAAGATACAAGGGACCTTCGCCGCCACGGGAAGCCTGGCGGCCGTCCCCGACACCATCGTGACCACGGTTAAGGAGCTCACAGAATTTGACAGAGTCATATTGTATCGTGTCGACGAGTTCATGGCTGTAACGGTACTTGATTCGCGCGACAGGGAATGGCGGGGTTCGCATCGATGCATACATTTAACCACGCTCCCTAGCGGGAGAAACGGGATACACCCGTCGCCTTTCCCGAGCCAGCTCAGACTTGTACACGATCGCGAAGCGCAACCTGTAAGCGTTGTATACAAGAATGGAGATTCTCACCAGAAGCAGCCTGGAGACCTGGACCGATCGTACCTCAGCACGGCCTCGCCGACGTTCTTTGAGGAGATCGAAGCCGAGGACAACAGTGCTCGCTCGTCCATGGCCATTCCAATCAACGCCTTTGGGAAGCGATGGGGTCTCGTAGTTTGTCACGCCTACCGACCCGAAGGAACGCGGATATCCATTTCCAAACGCCAAATGTGCGAGTTCATTGGTAGTACATCCGGCTGCGCCATCGAGAGGCTGTCGTACGCCTCCATGCTGGGCAATGTCGAATCGTCGCAGACTCGGCGCGAATCGATTCGACATCCCGCGGAGAGCACCGCGGCTTCACGGGACCTCTTACGGCTCTTTGACGCAGAGTTTGCCTTGATGTCTACGAGAGGGGAAGTTGGCAGATTAGGCGAACCTAGCGAGGAGTCGTTCAGGGAGGCGATGGCCATTGTGCGGTGTATCCAACCATGCAAAACTAAATCCGTCATTGTGTCATCAGACGTGCTGGCCGAGCTGCCCGATGTAGGAATCCCCGGTGCGCGTACCATATCCGGGCTGCTGTGGGCACCGCTGAGCACATACGGCGGTGATTTTGTTGTCTTTTTTCGACAGAAGCAAACTGAGTCGTCCGCGCCGCGCGAGGACGTATCGTCATCCACGTCCAATAAGTCTCGTGCTGCGTCTGATCCGAGCCATGAGTGGTCCGACAAGCAGGTGCGTATGGCCATGGCCCTCGGTTCGCTGGGCCGCCAATTGCCTCACCCACAAGATTCCAAGGAGGGCGGTTCCTTGACTCTTCAATCCGCACTTTCGCTAGCTAAACTAGAGCCGTATGTGTACCGCAACGTCGGCTCCATAGTCGAGTGTCTCAATGGTACGTTGGAATGTCTTGGGGAGCATCACGTCGCATATGGCAATGTTGATCAAGCATATTTTTCCTCTCGGGCGCTCTCGTACCTGCTCGACGACGTCCGTTGCTAGCACCCGCGATTTTCCTGTGGATAGATAGCGTCGAATCATTGATACTCTAGAAAGTCAGGTTCAATCTAGTTGTTTGAGTCCGGCCTTGTCTCGATGAGCAGGTGACTTGCTGGATCTTGATGGGCGGTGAGCTTTGAGCGAAGAAATACTGTGCTCTTGACGCACGCTAACAACATTACTTTGGAGCTTGATGGAGTTGTCTTCCTTGCCTCAGCTACCAAAGGTAGAGCAAGGGCTACCGGACTCTACTCCGGCGGATTCTATTCCGGCGGGATCTGCTCCGGCGGGATCCACTCCGACTTTGCAACACTCGATGACATCCCGGACCGGAGCCGCGGCATTCAGTGGTGGGTACGTTCCTGCATTAGGTAAGCCAAGGTGTCGAGACGGGATTGGATCATCCCTGGCCAGAGAGGTGGAGACTCAGGGTCCAGGATACAAACGGATCTCGGTTTTGGACGGACGCTCGGATCATTAATATTTGAGATACGTACCGCTCATCAATGAGCTCACTCACGAGGCGCAAACAGCGCCATCCCTGTTCAGGCGGGTGACTCCAAGCTCCAAGCTCCAAGCTCCGAGCTCCCTTGTCCCTCCCTCCCGCGACATCTCTCTAGACCCCTCATCCAATTGGCAACGGTCCTCACTGGCAACCATACGAAAACGGGAAGATGCCGTCCAACTCTCAATCCGAAGACGCCGCGGAACGGCCCCTCTTGGCAGACCCCCATCATGAGTACGGCGGAACCGACGGGCCTGCTCCTCCCGTGCTCATCGCCGAGGAGCGCGGGGCCGGTACCTTTTCGCGTAACCTCGGCGCAGTAGAGGCGTTTGCCATCGTCATCAGCATCGTCATCGGCAGCGGTGTCTTTACCTCTCCGGGTTCCATCGACACGAATGTCCCCTCGCCCGGCGCCGCGCTGGTAGTATGGCTTGTCGGCGGTGTTTTGGCGTGGACGGGTGCTAGTACCATGGCCGAGCTGGGCACTGCGATCCCGGGTGAAGGTGAGCCGTCCCCCCTGCTGAGTCGCTACGTGGTGTGACGATGCTGACGATGTGGAAAGGCGGCGTCCAACCCTTCTTGCAGCACATTTATGGTGACGTGTTTGGCTTCCTTGCCGCGTGGACCTGGATTGTTGCCGTCATGCCGGCCACCCTCGCCATCCTGAGCATAGTCTTTGTCGAGAGCATCTACTCCGCCGGCGGGGTGACCGACCAGGCCGGCGCTCTCTCGCACAAGCTCTACTCCATCCTCATTCTCGTGGTGATGAACGGCGCCAACTCCATCAGCACCAAGGCCAGCACTCGCCTCAATAACCTGTTCGTCGTGACCAAGTTCACTAGCATCTTCGCCGTTGTGCTTGCTGGCATTGTCGTCGTCATCCTCCAAGTCACAGACCACGACCGTGATGTTGGCGGACGGGACTGGTTCAATAAGCCCTGGTTCGGGAACCGCAAGACTTCTCTGCCGGGTCGCGGCGAGCTCGACTGGAACAAGGTCGGTACCTGGGATATGCTTGGGTACTACTCGGCTGCGCTTTATGGTGCACTCTGGGCCTACTCTGGCTGGGACAAGGTAAGATATCCTTCGTCTCCATATCTGACTAGGCGCATCTCACGCATTCAAGGCCGTCTATGTCTCTGCTGAGCTTCAGCAGCCAGCGCGCCAGCTCCCTCTCGCCATCAACACCGCCGTGCCGACCATTATCCTGTGCTTCATCGCGGCCAATGCGGCTTACTACGTCCTTCTTCCCTGGGACGTCGTTTCCGCGACCGACAGCGTGGCAGTCGTAAGTCTTGTCACCATCTAGTTCATCAACGGGCTCCATACTTACTTACCTTGACAGACCGCCATCAACCGACTCCTCGGCCCCGTGTTCGGCATCGTCGCCGCAGTACTCATCTGCCTCGTCGTCGCCGGATCCCTCCTCGGCAACTCCTTCGTCGCAGGTCGCATGACCGTCGCCGCCTCAAACTTCAACTGGCTCCCCAAATTCCTCGGCTTCGTCGGCCGCGTCGGCTTCAAGTCGGGGGAGAGCTCACCAGCCGACGCGTCGACGGACGAAGCATCCAGGCCCGCAAAGGCACGATCCGACGCGCCGCTTAACGCGCTCCTGCTCTCGACGATCCTCTCAGCACTGTACATTTTGTTGGGAAACTTCCGCGCCCTTTTGACGTTCAATGGTCTGGGAGAGTACACGTTCTTTTTTCTGACGGTCCTGGGTGCCGTCATCCTGCGCGTTCGAGAGCCGAAGCTGCGGAGACCGTATAAGCCCTTTGTACTCATCCCGATTGTATTCGCGCTGGTCAGCGGATTTGTGGTTGTGAGAGGTGCCATCTTTGCTCCTGTGCAGGCGCTCATCTTGCTTGTCCTGTGGCTTGTCGGTCTTGGATTTTACTGGGCGAGAAGGAAGTACTATGCTCATTGTAACCGGGCCGATCATTGATCAAACAGCCGCAGTGTTGCCTTTAATTAATTGGAAATACAGATATCGACGGCCGGCAATCTCGATTCATCTAATCATAGCACCTGTAAGGATAATTACACGACAGACTGGCAATGATTACATTCTGTATAACTAGACCGGATACTATCAGATTAAACTCCAACAATTTTACATCCCAAGTTTCATACACAAGTCCTTTAGAGTTCCTCGCTCTTCTCTTCCTCATTCCTGCCAGGGTCATCCAAGTCAGCAAACAGCTTGACACCCCACTTGGACCCAGGGTTGCTCAAGCGGTGCTTCTTATCCTGCTTCCCAACCTCCTTGAGCTCCTCCTCGGTAAACTCAATCTCGAGCGCCTTGCGGTTGGAAATGATGTGCGAGTCCTTTGTGCTCTTGGGAATCACGCTGGTGCCGCGCTGGACACCCCACGCCAGCACGGCCTGGAAGACGGAGACGCCCTTCTTGGCGGCGACGTCGACCCAGAACTTGTCCTGGTAGATGGCGGGCAGGTCGTCGCCGTAGGTGGGGTTCGTGTTGGCGAGCGGGGCGTAGGCAATGACCTCGATGCCCTTTTCCTTGTGCCAGTCGACAAAGTCTTGCTGCTGGAGGTATGGGTGGGTCTCGAACTCGTGCGCGTAGGGCTTGATCTCGGCGGCGGCGAGGATGGTCTCGACGTCGGCTTTGGCAAAGTTGGAGAGGCCAATGTGGCGGGTGAGGTTGGCGCGGACGAAGCCCTCGAGCGTCTTCCAGGTGTCGACCAGGGTGGTCTCGCGGTCGAGCTTGTTGGAGGGGTCGTCGGGGACGAAGGCGACGGGCCAGTGGATGAGGTAAAGGTCGAGGTAGTCTACGCCGAGATCCGCAAGGGACTTTTTGATGGCGGCGGAGGCGCGTTCGGCGCGGTGGTCTGTGTTCCAGAGTTTGCTGGTGACCCAGAGATCTTTGCGGGCGACGCCTGAGTCGGCGATGCCTTTGCCGGTCTGATCTTCGTTTCCTGGGGGGGGTTTGACGGGTTAGTGATGTGAGGTCTTGAGGTGAGATGAGGTGTGGATGGGTTGACTCGTGCGAGGTGTTTGACTCGTGTGAACATGTGAGTTTGAGTGTGAGAAGGGCGGAGCTTACTGTAGATGAGAGCGGCGTCAATGTGGTTGTAGCCCACCTCGCCCACGGCAAAGGACACGGCGCTGGCGACCTTGCTCTTGTCCGATAGCCATGTTCCCAAGCCCAGAGGAGGGATCTTGTCGAGGCCGGAAAGTGAAGCTTGGGCCAGGCCCGCACCGGCGGCGGCGGCGACTAGCGTCTTGAGGTACACCATGGTGAAGCTATTCAAAGACCTGTTTCTCACGAACTGACTGCGCACGTCGTAAATATCGTCGGCCGCTCTTGTAGATGGTTTATGTCCGAGATCAATTGATGGGAACTGCAGTCTTTTGGCACAATTTTTTCTTCTTCCCCTCTTCGCTTTGAAATCTCCTCAGTCTATCCGTTTACCAGCCTCCCCCGGTCTCTTTTTATGTGTGGAGGTGGGCAGGGACATGACATCATCCAACTCCTCACTTACACCACCCGCGCACCGGGTCCCCCCATTGATACACGCAACGTCGCAGCCGAAGCACGTCAATCCTCAATGATTTGCCAGTGACGACTTGAGAGTTTCTGGGAGGAGGATGGGCCGGCAGTCTTTCAATTGGTATCAATGCCGTTGAAAAATGTGCCACAAGAAAAGAAAAACTCTAGTTACAACGAAGAGCGATATCATATCACCAGCCAAAAAAGCCAGCCGATACCGGTGGCTATCAGCGGTGAAATCAGCAACACGGCCTCGAAACGACCTGTTCCGGAAGAGGAAGGTGACTTGGCTGCCTCCACATTGCTCTTCGCCTTTGAAGGAGCCCCCGCTCCGCCGTCGGCATCGGCCTCGGTGTCGGTCCCGGCATCGGCACCCCTAACCCCGGTCCCGGCGCCAGACGCACTCGACGACAACAAGATCTCTGCACTCTGCTCCCCGCCCGCCGCTGGTGCCGCCGCCGGTACCGCTACCTGTGACGGCGCTCCTCCCAACGCCGCCGCGACGGCCGCGTATGCCGGCTTGGGTTTCATGTCCTTGTCAAACAGGCACGCATCCCCGGCCCCCTTGAACGTGGACGGAATCCAGCTGTACTTGTCCGTAAACTCCCACACCACGACGCCGACGCACTTTGCGTTATCCACGCACGTCTTGACGACGGTGCCGTAGTCCTTTGCCTGCTGCTGCACGGCCGCCGCATCAGCCGGCACCTTATCGTGCCGGATATCCAGCTCCGTGAGCGCGACCTCCAACCCCAAGTCCGTGAAGCGGGTCATGACCTTGTTCAGGGTATCCTGCGACGGCGACTTGCCGACCTGGAAATGCGCCTGGAAGCCCACGCCGTCGACTTTCGCGCCGGCGTCTTTGAGGTCCTGCACGATCTTGACGGCGCCGTCCGTCTTTTTGGAGTTGAACTCGAGGCTAAAGTCGTTGTAGTAGAGCTTGGCCGCCGGGTCGGCGGCGGCGGCGGCCTTGAAGGAGATGGGGATGAAGGCGCTGCCGAGGGTGCGGGAGAAGACGCTGTCGCGGAGGGTGCCGTTGTCGGCGAGGGCCTCGTTGACGACGTCCCAGGAGTAGCAGGCGCCTTTGTAGTGGGAGACGACGTTTGCAATGTGTGCTTCGATTACGGGTGTGAGGGTTTCTGGGGTCCAGGTTCCCGTTGAGACTGGTGTCTTTTAGTTAGTTTTTCTTTTTTTTCTTGGGGGGGTGGGGGGGGGGGGGGGGGGGGGGGGGGTGGGGTGGGGTGGGGGTGGGTGGGGGGGGGGGGTGGTGTGGGGGTTTGGGGTTTTTTTGTTGTGTTTGGGGTTGTGTTTGTGGGGGGGGGGGGGGGGAGAAGATCAGTCCAAGCAAATGGGAACACACCGAATTGTGGGAGTTGAGAATGCCATGTAAGCGCGTGGCATCGCATCATTTGCTTATTCGCCTGCGCAAGAGCCATCACGGCGTCGGGGTTCTTGAACAGGAACTGGCCCTGCTTCTTCTCTGTCGCGTCCCATTTTTGGCTGTTCTCGGGGACTACCAGACCGAACTCGCCCGTCTTGTTCAGGACTGCCATGTACGCCGCATCGTTGAAGAGGTTCGTGTCCGTCGCCGTGCCGAAAAAGAGCTTCCCGGACTTGACAGCCAGCTCGTGGAGGCCTTGTCCCGATACGACGGCTCCCCATGCCGACAATAGAAGCCAGCTCTTGATTCTCGCCATTTATGCGATTGATGGTAAAGAGCCTCGTGAGGTAAATGCGCGTAAAAGCGCCAAGACGACGGCGAGGGAAAAGATGGGATGGAAATCACGAGAAAAAAATATGAGAGAGACGTCCGGGGGGGCCAGCGGGAAGGGAAGAGGAAAGGTGTCATTCGATGTCACGTCTTTATGCGGGCACAGACTGGTCCATATACCGGCGAGCAGGAGAGAAAGACAGTCTACTATACCCCCCTCACTTTTCTCTCTTAAGCTCGCCAGCTCACACTCCAAAGAGCTTCGGCATGATCATGTGGGAAGCGGCCAGAGGCTTTGGATCGGATGCTTCGGTGCCGTACCGGGATGAGGCCGATGAGATTTCGCAGAAGAGGGGGTGGACGAGTCCGGCGACGGGCCGCCAGACGGCCTTTGAGGTGCTTCAGTTGAGGTTTCAGAATCGTCCGAACCGTGCCTTCATCCTCCTCGGCGGGGGCACCTCAAGTCACCCCTAAAGGGTTGAGAGTCAGGGACGATCTTGCATGAAGACACAGCCTAAAGTCAATTAAAACCCCTCCCAACTGGCAACACCCAAAGTGAGGCTCCGAGGCGAGGCTTAGTAGCGGGGAAGAGAGAATGCTAGCGTTGCTGAGGTGTTCAAAAGAGGGGCCGCAGACGGGGAACTCCAGCACAACGTCATTGTTGTCAGCCTCGGCAGGGCTGTTGCTGCTCATTTCTTTTTGCAGCTGGGCTTGAGGACAGACTACAAGATGGCTCGTACGGCGCCGTGGGAGAACAGAAATCAGGTATCCATCAGATGATTGACTCGGTTAGACTGCCTGAAGCAAAGGTCCGATGCTGGACTATCTCACTCTGTCCTCAAAGCTAACGCCCGGTCCCTTTCACAATTTCTTTTATGCTTTTTCTCTGACGCTATAACATCAGAATCTAGAGACCGATGGCCAGTAGCCCCGAGACTCAGGTTCCGCGCAACTCTTTAGTCTTTACGATGGTAGAGAATACACTACCAGCCTTGAGCCCCATTTACGTATCCGTACGTATCCCTCGTGTTTCAATATTTATAATGGTATGCAGCCTCTTTCCTCCCCTCAAAGTGCTAAGTCGACGGGCTGCATCTCTCAATGTTAAGGTAACTATAGAAGCCTTAATCAATCTCAACATGAAGTAAACTTTACATAAGAATTAGAGAGCAATGCTGCGGAAGCACGCCGTCTTCCAGGCCTTCCAGGAAAACGGCTGTACAATAGAGCCACGGTAGCCAATGTCAATGCCTGTTTGAATCGTGTCGAGGCCTCCTAGGGATGTAACTCCCCAACCTTTAGTCGTCGGTCCATTTTCGGGGTCCAAAATGAAGGACAGCCACAAGTCCTGCATCTCGTCGGCGACTTCATATTCAAACAGTGTCGAGTTTTGGCGCGCAATGTCGTGTGTCCCAAAGACAAGAGGGAGTTCTGCGGAGTGATAGGCGCCCTGCCCCCCGGGCATGATGTTGCTAAAGTTACTAGAGTACATGTAGCGGTAGGTCTTGAGGCCGGCCACACTTCTCAGGCTGGTCTCGTAGTGTGCGGGACAACCGAACAGACTGTCGGCGATTACGTCCGAGCCGTTGGGTGGGGGAGGAGTAGGAATGCCGCCAAAGTTCCATTCATCTCTGGTGGTTCCAATAATGGAAGGCTGTTCCAGTCACGCACAATGTCAGTAATCGCTGCCGCGTTGCTGAGAGTGTCTTGACACTTACGCCTTTAGCAACCCTTCTATCTAGAGTGCGCTGTGCATAGTCGGAAAACCTTGTTTTTTCGTCAACGACAACGTTGAATGTCAGATTACCAGCTTGATTCAGAAACTTTTGCAAGGTCCGGAAAGGAACCCTCTTCAGACAACCCAGTTCGTCCTCTTGGCATCCGAATGCGGCTGCGAGGGAAGAAAAATTAGCATGCGCAGCGTCAGTACTTCCTATCGGGATAAAAGGCGATCCCGAATCTTTGATAAAGCCAATGGCAATAGGGTTGTCATGATAAGCGTATTGGTAATAGGAGACTGACGCAGCCCCGGCACTCTGACCCCAGAGAATGATTCGCTCGGGATCGCCGCCAAATTGTGCGATATTCTCCCGTACCCATTCAATGGCCAATCGCTGGTCCAAAAGTCCAAGATTCTGTTGCGTGAGGTCAAGGCCAGCAGCGTTCGGGAATCCCCAGAGTCCAAGGCGATAGCTTTTTGGTTTATTACGTCAGTGGGATTTTCGGGCTGTGGTTTTCTTTTTCCACGGAATGGAAAGAGGTCTTAACTTGATGGCAACAACAATGTGCTTCTGGCTTCTTTGTACCCATCGCGTGGGGGTTTGATAGGCAATGTCGTTGCTTCCCTGGTCCTTCTGCGTTAAAAAGCCACGTACTTTCTTACAGACGGCGAGTGTGGACGGAAAGAAAGAGCACACATACCACTCCAAAACCTCCGCCGTAGATCCAGACAACGACCGGGAGAGCCTCGCGAGGGCCAACCGGAGCCCAGATGTTGAGCGTCAGACAATCCTCGCTGGTGCTGTTGGGCCGAATCAAGAACTCGGCAGCCCAAGCGCCTCCGCCTGTTGGAGGATCCTCCTGTGGACAAGACGGGCGTCGCGACGACGCGTTCAGGGTTCCAAACGACTCTTTGGGTAGAGCGGGAAGCCATCGCCGCTCTCCGACCGGCGCTTCGGCATAGGGGATGCCGTAGAACTGTGCGACCTCGGGCGCCGCTGCGTCTCTGAAGCCGTTGACTACGCCGTGCTTTGTTTCCACACGTGGGCTGGGTAATGCGTGGATGCTGGGAGTGAAGAGGTTGCCCAGGGCCAAAACGGCGATTAGGGCGTTTGGAATCCAGGCCTGCATCTTTGAAAGAGGTTGGGGTGGGAGCGAAGATGGAGGAGCTCTGGAGCCTTTGGGTCAATGAGAGTAAATGATATCTCAATACCATAAATCTAGAGCTTATATAGTTTCGAGGTTGCTGCGAACATGTATACGGAGCCAGTATATTTCTAGCGTGCGTTTGCTCGCTCAGTAAATGCGGGGAAGACTAGCAAGAGCCGTGTGTGGGGTTGAGAATGGTTGGCTAGTGACTGGCATGAGAATTGAATGCTACCTTGGAGAGGATTCGGCTCGGCTAGCTTCTCGGCAGGACCATGATTGTCGTGATTTACACCCCGCTGTTTGACACAAATGGCTTAACTTCCGGCGGCGCTCGATGGTTGTAAGCTAAACCATTAAGCTCAACGAAGGTTTATGATAATAAAGTTTAGACCGAAAAGCCGGGAGTATATGTTCTGATTCAACCCACAGTCATTCGAAACTCCCCAACAATTGATTTTAACGTACACGGCGGCCTCTCATTTTTCTGGGCCACTGAAGTAAGTTTGGTGTCACGCGTGTCATCGTTCATAGTGGAGACAATTCGTTGATTATCAGGAGGCACCCGTACTTGACGTTTCGATCCGAACCGTTCAGCCCGAACCGAGGATCCAAACGGGGGCTCCAATGTCAAATTACTATAGTCAGGCATCATCTGGATAAAGTCAAGTTTCGTTGCCGAAATGTTACATTCCATTCTCAAAATGGAACCTGGTACGTCGAATCGCTACCGAAAGGGAACCGCTTACCAAGGGACCATGTCCGAGACGGTCGCCCTCACCACGGATCGATTGGAAGCGACGAATCGCTGCACAGAACGCAGCGATTACCTCCCTCAAGAAGGTAAACACAGTCGAAAACAGGGAGGTCTTCGACAGGGAATCGGCCCTCCTCTCAGTCCTTGCAGCCAGTACTGATGCAATGCATACAGGGCCGCGGGGACAAGATGCGGGCGGGTTCAGGTCCGGGCTCAGGTATTTGAGCAGGATTGGGTCCCAGGTCGCCACCACCTCCGGGGGCATTCGGGCCCTCATCGTAAGAGTCGCTGCGGTACATGGCCTGGTACTGGACTTCGAAGCCGCGTAATAGTATTCGCGGCGATGGTTGACATTCATCTGGGCGAATGCCTCCCACATCTTCTGGGAAATGTCGGCGATTTCCTCGCCCTCGAACTCCTGGTTGATATTGAAAAGCCGAACTTCAGTCCCATCCAACTGGTTTCTCGAATTCTTTTTGATGCGACATTGACCTAACAAACTCAATCGGCCGTCCCAGATATCATGTCCGAGCTAGAATCTGTCCCCTAAGCTATTTCCCTTAAAAGCGAGTTGCTAAAGCGAGCTGAAAATCTGAGCGAGAAAATTTCTCCCATTGGCGTGGAGTTGCCCTGAGGGTTACGGAAGAGACTGGCACTACGGGGCTGCCAGTCAAAAAGTTGACAGACAAGCTCAAATCCGTCATGGCTGACTCTAGGGCAGATAGTGAGTCGGGGTATCGAACAATCGAGCAGCCTTCTTTGTATTCATGGGCGATGCATGTGAGTCCGGGGCTGGTGGTCGTTCTGTTTGTGATGGGGATCCATTCCTCGAAGGTATCCAGCCGGTGTTGTGCTCTTCTGCTGCCTCGTCGCACTGACCTTTCGTGACTTGTTTGCGAGGAGCTGAGCACTGTCTAAAAGGATGCAGCTGATTGCAGGCTTCAGTTTGGAAGCTATGGTGAAGGCACTGTTGACAATACATACGCTGTGAATCATCTCAGCGCCGACGCGTAGGCATGTTCAATTAATGTCGCTATCCGACACTTAGTAAAGTGATTAGAAGGTTGCATTTAGGGAGGGACCAGTAATTGATTATATTTTCATGATATTGGAATTGCCTGTTTTGAGCTGCGGTCTGATAATAGTATCACTGTCGGCCTTGTGCTCAGAAAGCTGCGCCTTGGCCTGTCGAAGGTGTTCATGGCGTTCCGCTTGTCTTTTCGTTCTTCTTCTAGTGCTGCGCCTAGATCCATCTCAGTTTCCTCCAGCTGAGTCACCCCTGACGCATATATATATATATATATACAGGCAAACGGTTGAGCAGTACCTGGTAGGCTTTAATAGCTATTGAAAGTAGGTGTACGTAGTGTAGTAAAAGTATGAATTCCTTGGACAGCTAGAAGGGATATGAAGGTGGGCTTGAGCCCCTATCATACATTGCTGGAGGTATCGTACCCCTGTACAACCACTGTGAGGTCGCACTTCAACAATGGCCGCAACGCTTTGGGGTCAAGTCGTTGCTGCATGTTAATCACGCCTCGTTGTCATGCCGCTCTTCCTTGTTGTGGTAGTCCGAGAAGAATTTAAAGTCATGGAGAGCCCAGAAACCAGCCACCCTGTGCTACTGCACTTCAGGCCCCTCGTTGATAAAAGAGAAAGCCAAGCCATCCAACAGTGCACGACAACCCAATGTCCGTCGCATCTCACTGGGATTGGGGACGCCAAACATGGCGAGATCCTTCCATACCCTCGGAGGCAATGTCTTGGTATCCATATGGACCTCTAACCAGATGAATCTTGGGACGACACCATCGGCTGGAAGAACTGTAGCCACGAAGTGGTTTTCCGAGGGACGCGTATTAGGAGGCAGGTTGAAGGCAAGAAGTAGTCGTAGGACTAGACTTGGCCGCTTGATGACCTAAGTAGAGGCGTGGACGAAGGTCATCTGCTGCCTCACACTCCGCAGAGTATTTTTACGACCCTTAATAGCTTATTTGAACTAGACGTAGAGATTGGTTAAATATAGGCTGACGCTTCCTAGCTCTTGCTGTACCTTGAGGGGGCCCGGCGCGTCCATTATAGCTTGGGACAGTCCCCTGTAGATACTTCTCTCTGAGAGTAGTGAATCTCAGATCCGTATTTGAAAGGGAGGTGCTGCATATGGGCCCGGCTGACTCTGGCCCGTCGTGGTAATTCTTGTGAGGATGTAATATACCCGGAAAGGTAATTTTGAGACAGTCTTTGCTAGAGCGAGAGTAAGTTCGACTTGTTCCGTCGAGGAAAGCTGGAGGTCGAGTATATGCAATTTGTTATTATAGGAGGCGTTTGGTAGTAATAGGCGAATATTGGTGAGCTTGATTGTCTTTCGCGTCAGCCATGGTATCCTTGGCACAGTGCTTGGGCGCAGTCGATGGGGATTGGTAGAACACATGGACCGTGAATAAGTCCGAGAACTTTTCAGTTATGACCTTGTACGTCTAGTCAAGGACCGACGCCGGCATTGAGATTCCGGAGGGCAGGTACACTGCATCTCCGTTCTCCCGGTTCTTGGCCTTATGCTGGGCGATCGTCTCTCCCAACGTAAACAGAGTCGTGATCGTCTTTCCTATGCCGCACTCGTTAGTAAGTATGCCGCCCCTGATCGGGTAGGCGGCCTACTAATTAAGCTAGTTCGAATCTAGGATAGAAATATTAGCCATTTGAGTTTTTCAAAAACAAAAGCAGGAGCCGAAAAGGACTATTTAAGTTTTATAAAACCCGTCGGGCACGGATTTTTAAAACTCAAACCAGGGGTGGTTGTGAACTTACCAATAATCTGATGGGGCTTCAGGTAGAAATCCCGAATGTCTTCAGATATGAGACATTTGTCCCAGGTTGACCTAGGAGGCGCAATCAGGACCTTGGACACGATGTCGACTAGATAATCGTTCTTTAGGAGGTTCCCACCGAGGAGGCGGCGGGACGCAGCTAAGCTGGCTATATCATCCGGCATCAGGGCACTAGCGGGGTTACGAACGTCGTCCGCCCGTTCCCGGGGGACGCTGCTATCCTGAGCCAACGGGTGGCGGATGGACTCTTCTCCTCCACCAGCCGAGACTGCCAACAGGCGAAAGTCCTCGGGTACGAGACTGCTCAGACTGTTTTCCATGGTCTTTGGCCGTAGAAACGAGCTCGAGCCAGTCGAATTCTGGAGGTTATAAAGCGACGGGAATTTATTCATGAAATGGCCCTTGTCGGTCTCCTTTCTCTTGAAGTACTCCTAGTACTTCCTGAAACCTTTCTCGGATGCTGGGGTATCGGAAGTCTTAGCGAGCTTCGAGTACTCAATGACAATGTTCAGCTGGGCAATCCCAGGAACACCTCGGGTGCTTGCGGTGCATATTCCGGTGTATAACGCGACTCCTGAAGAGTGTCTGAAATCTTGATGTCAATGATTGGCCCCTTTTTGTCTTTGTTAGGGACGTTCTATGCGGATTGGACGTGCTGAAAATGAGCTTCCATGACACCGCAGATGGTAAGGAGGTCGTAGTAACAGGAGGATTACTGGGTCCGCTCATCATAATAGACCTGGAAGAATTTATCGTGCCTTCCTCAGTCTCAATCTCACCGAACGGGTCATTCTATGGGCTGGATCCTCCTCTAAATCCTGCCCAGGGCCTGGTCGAGCTTGGTGATCCTCTTGCTCACGCTATAGGGAACGGTGTAATAGGCACCTTTGAGTCTACCCAGACCGCCGCTGCATAACGTATAGGTGTTGAATATGACGCGGGTGTGCTTTTTAACTACCCTGTTATCTTCATTAAACCTGCCGATCTAAAGTATAGTGGTATAACGGTTGGCGAGCGTCGATGCATTATGGACCAGTGTTGGTGAATACATTTTCTAAAACCGCTTGTAAGGCCCCGGGTCTTGAATAGTCTGTAATAAAGGAGCGGATGTGGGGAATTATGGACGGAGGCAGGGCGTCGACATACGATCATGTCTCTGGGCCCTTGAACGCTCCGAGGTGTGTTGCCAGTGTCTCAACTTTGTTTGCGAATGCGATGGTGACGCCGTTGCGCTTGGTCGCCATTATAGCTTCCAGGTACCTGGACGGCCAAGCCGAGGTTCTGCATACCGTCGCAACGCAGAACGCTCGTCTCTGTCAGCTTCGTCACGGAATGGCGGTTTCTGTCGACGACGACTTCGGTGCCTCCCTGCAGCCGTTTCACCTCTTCGCCCACCGTCGTCAAGAAGGTAATGCGGGGGTTGTCTTGCCCGTCTTCTCCCCTCCAGACAAGCAATTGCTGCCGCTTAAGTTTATCACGTCCTTGTCGCTACTCTTGTGTATCTCGCGACTTACCGACTAGCAGCTCGAGCCAGTAGCGGTGTAGCCAGTAGCAGGCCTCTTACGGGCTCTAGTTGCCAGCGGTGAAAGCCAGCAGTGGAAGCTGTACCACGAAAGCATGGCACATACTCCAGCTGCGCGAGCTTGTGCAATCAGATCAGTGATCAAATTTTGCGTAAAATGGCCAACAGTAGAAGTCATCGTGCCCTTTTTGACGATGACTTTGCGTCTATGCCCGATGTCGGCTTCAGACGCTTGCTCCCAGCAGTATGTTGCTTATGACCATGGACCTTTCGCCCTGGCCGCCAGAATCTGCCAAGACGTCCCGGGGGTCAATAGCTGCGCTGTCGTTTCATTCCTTACTGGTACAAATGGTTGGACGAAGCTAAAAACTAGGAAAACCAGACAAAGTTTCTGACTTCTCGTACTTGAGAAGTGCAACATCGCGCCACTTGCTCATGTCGTCTTTCGATTTCTGGGGTGGCATTTGCTAATTATCTCTGTCGAAAAGTTACGACTTGTATGTCCTTGGGAGCCAATGGTGCAGTGAAGGTGAGTTGAAAGAGACTGGACTATAATATAGGGTGAAAAGTGTATTGTGACTGAAATATCTCCACAAGACAGCCATGCATTGGCATTCACCCTGCAGGTTCCAATCTAAATAGTTCGTCCGTCCGGTCCGTAAATGAGGGGGTTCAGATTGATATGATATCCTCTTTGGTGGGAATATGGCCATGAAGGAGAATACCCTCTTGAGCCTGAGAATATTCACCTTTGATCAGTTGGGGAAGACAAGATTGCAGCATGCCCTAGAATGACTGGACTAATGACCAGAAATGCCCTTCTCCTCGTGAAGTAGAGTTCTAACTGAAGCCTCCAGCTTCGGGAAGACGGTTTCTCCAGCAACGTCAGTCGAGACCTGATAGTCGCCTTAAGGCCGAGTCGAAGGGACAGTGGAGGTAAATCCTCCTCCCCTTTATCATTGGGGTCGAGTCGGGTGTAGTATTGCAGAGATCCCGTCGCGTCGCTCGACGGCAAGCCGTTGACCTCTTGGACGCCCCTGGTCCCCGGTCACTAAGCCCTTGGACTTGGCCTTGGCGCGATATTATATTGATCCTGGGTTAGAGTCTCAAGTTGAATCTGCCGTTCGGCCGAGCGTGAAAGAGTTGCAGACCGAGGCGGAGGCGGTGACAAGGAACTCTCTGTTGGGTCATACTCAGGAAGTCCTTCTATAGGCGACCAAGGTTTCTTTGAAGCGTCATCGTCAGAAAGTTCAGCTCGCGATAGATTCATCGCGGTGTGGTGGACATGACCCACTTACCGTTGGAGACCCCGATTAAGCAAGAACTTGCCCACGGCGTCGATCTCCTCAAGTTTGGCCCGCATAAAGACACTACCGTTCAGAACCTCAACAGATTCCTCCTTAGTCTCGGCAAGCCGGGTTTTGTGGCTTGCCACTTTGGCTTCAACATTGTCTGGGCCGCGGCGGGGTGGTGAGTACAGAAGTGGCGTAAGATATATTGGGCCCGTGGTATAATTCGGCTGGAGTTGTAATCTGGACGATAAACTCTGTTCTTGACTCTGCTTATTCAGTCGCTGCTCGAGGTGGTCGTTTGAAATATGGAGAGAGGTGTGTATTTAGGATCGGAAAGGTGGTAGAGCAGAAGAATTGTGAGCCTCGAAGCTGTCTACCTTGGGGTGGAGTTATTGATATTGGTTGTCTTGTGTTCCTCAACAAGTGATGTTCGTTGGAGCAAATGGATCAGTTGGCGCAGAAACCAGAGTCTGGCTCGTCCTTGATCGCCACCTTCGGTTGGGTCTGCTTCTCGACCGGCCCGTGACGACATCCTCCTCCAGCGTGGCGGAACTCGCCTCATGGCCCTAATGGAGTCGCACATCAAACAGAACCTCGTTTTCAACCTACCAGCGCCTTTTCCGTTGGTCTGATCGGCTTTGATCTACTGAAAGAAAAGCTGCCCAGATGTAGGCATCGAGGGTTGCCCTTAAGGTTATGAGAGAATCAATTGGCCCTCAATATGGCCTGGGTCCGGCTTCAAGAAAACACAGTCTTAGTCGACACATGCTATGTTGTTACGCGACTATCAGAAACCTTATCGAAATCTGGCTGTTTTGAAGAAAACAACTTTGGCTGCTGCGCAAGGTATACTTGCAGCCTGCTTAGCAGCGTCGATGACTACGGCGAACACATTGCCATAGGCACATGTCGGGCCCGGCTTTCTGACGGCTTCACAAGACCAATAGAGACGATGATACAAAAGGCTCATGGTTGGCTGCTCTGTCTAATGCTTTTTCGGAAGTAGGAACGCCCAGAAAGTGTGTCGGTTGTAACTGTGACCTCCAAGCGGTCGATTGGCCACCAATGCGAATCAGAATTTGCCCTGGAATCAGCAAAACCGAAAAGTGACAAGTCTAAGCTGCCTCGGATGGAAAGTTCCTTGAAAGCAGATGTCCGGATGCATTGCTCTGGGTTTGAATGATCCAGCGTCTGAAATCCAGAGGTCAACTGTAGCTGATTGGCTTCTTTTTCCAATATACTCATACATGTCTCGACTCCTCTCAATGTAAGAGAGAGCCGGCCCGGGGTTTCTTCGAATTGAAGCAGGGCCTAGAACCGTAGATGAGGAAAATGGCTGCCCCGAACAATTTTGTACTCAAAAATATCCTCTCTGAGCCCTTCTTTCAGCCTCCTCTACTGATCAAGTTGGTTTTCTTGGGTCCAGAAATTGTCATATTGATAGCTCTGAGCCCCAAGATCAGATATCTCCTCTTGCGCTTCGATCAGCTCTCTTCTGGCTCGAGGAATGACGTCTTGTCTGTCGTTAGATAACACCACCACGTTGCGAACTAGAATTCAAGAGATGAATAGAATCGCGATATTCATAGCGAGTATAGAACCGTCTCCATAAAAGATGTGAATGCGGATGGCTACCTAAAACTAGGCCACTCTATGGTCTTTATGACATTTGTGTGTGTGTGTATGTGTGTATATGTATGTGTTGGTATCCGTATCACAGGATAACTAGGTTCGAACCGTAGTTCCGGTGGATAACGAAGGGTCAATTGACTGTATATTGATCTCCACGTGAAGTGGAAAAGAGAATCTCTAACCGTAGGTTAGCCCGTCAGTTGGAAGCTGATATGGAGGTCCGTAGATGGCCCCTGCGCTTGCGCTAACTCGAGGTCGAATTGGATTTCCAATCCGACAGTATATATGGGGCGAACACATATAAGTGGGAGTTTTCCAGTGTGAAAACGAGGGACCGATTTCAAGCTCTTGGCCTTCTTCAAGTGCTTGTTAGGGGCCTTCAGTCCACAGCCCGTGGTCATCTCGTCTGCCTGGATGGTAGTCCTCTGAGTAGGGCATCGATCTGCCGACCAATCATTTGTGCCAAATTCTTTGGTAGATGGATGTCCCGTCTAGCTTCAACTTTTCAACGACAATTCTTGACCGATTCCCACGCCTCTCGCTCTCCTTCCCATCATGCCTCGCGCGCGTTACGACGACTTTGGTGGTTTCTCCGACGCGGAGGATGAGGGATACTCGGGTTGTGGCCCCCTTCTCCCGGGCGGAACCCCCATCTCTCCTGAGCCAGAGAGTGACGAAGAGCCGGAGATCGAGAACGACGAGAGCGACAACGGAGACGTTCTCGCAAGACTTGATTAGATGCCTGAGTACGCTGTATTCTGGTGCGCGTGTTTCCCTCCTTATGAGATTATTTTAGGATTGCAGAGATAACAAGAGCGGTAGGCGAAAGACGTCATTAGTGAGCCAGCCGAAGAGGTTTCCTGAGCTGCCGTAGTACTGGGGAGGACCCAATAGCCTACATCTACGGTTGCTATTCAGGGTTTGGGGGATGAAATTCGGAAGTCGATATCCCTGAACTTCACTATAGGCCCGGCTTCTTGTCAAACAAAACAGTCCTTTGGTCGACGTGCAACCAACGGGTCGTTGAATCCAAGGAAGACAAAGTCAATTATGGCTGGAGTGAATGAAATAAAAGTGACAAATAAACACAACTACTTTGGTCGAAATCTTTTCTTCAGGAAATTCATATAAAAGGATCGTTACATGTGCGCTTTTTCGAGCATAGAGATTTCGAAGTCATGTTGACAGGTCTTGACCACAATCAATGGATTCAGAGCCAATGTGAGTTCCACGAGGGGTAGTTTTGATAAGCGTCATCTTTGATGAGGCAGATATCTTTCATCTCCCTGGACATTGAGATCCCTCATCAGACTCTCCTACAGGCGGAGTAGAGAGTCTCCGGGATAGCTGCCCCTGTGCAAGCGTATTGTCTAGCCGTGCGGTACAATTCGCGGATCAATGAACGCCAATATTCTGTATTCCAGTCGTCTGTTCATTCGTGATTCATTCTGCGTTGGAAACGGTCGGATGGTGTGAAAGGGACTTTGAGAGCGACTGTTGAAAAGGCTGGAGCACGGAACAATTATTCAAGAGAAAATAGGTCTCAATTTATGAGTGGAGTGTACAAAAGTAGAGTGAACAAAGAGCAACTAGTGCCCACAAAGGTAAACGAGCCAAGAATACTGGAGAAACGATTGAGACCATGTGCAAACTAAGCCAAAGTCTTAACATCGTGCTCTTGCCAGTATCCTAGACAGAAGCAAACCCCACCATACGTCAACTCAAATCCCACAAAAGTCTGACACTCCTTAAAATCCCTCTCCAATCCAGTAAAGAAGATGAACTCGGAAAAGGCATGACTTTCACTCTCACAATTTCGAAAGCCATCAAGCAATCTGAAATGTCTTTGCATTCCAGCCAAAAGCCCTAGTCAGCCTCGCAGCCATCCTGCGCGAACGATGCCCCTCGATCTGCGACGAGATGCTGCCGTGGGTGACGTGGAACTGGATCGACTGTTTCCATCTATAACTGCCGTCCTCTGACGGTGAGGGCACAAAGGCGATGGCGGAACCCTTCTTCCTGTCGGCGGTGAAGCCGACCTCGACCATGGCGGCTGTGAACTCGGGCCAGGTGAGGGACCCCTGGTGGAGGCTCTTATCGAACATGGTTGCCATGACAGTGGCTGTTCGCGCGCTCACATGGATCACTTCCCCTGGGGGAGTGGCAGAAAAGGTGTCATTGGCGCGGTCTTTGTTGTTTTTGAGCTCGAGAGCTTTGTCGTTAACGACGCTGTCATCAAGCTTCAGCAAATCTTCCTGGATATCCACCCTGACCTCGCCCTCATCTACGTCCCCATCCTTGTCGTTATCCCTGTCCTCATCCTCCTGGTCGTCTCTATGGAGAGACTCGCCAAAGTTATCTTCCGTAGGGGTGACATTCGTATGACCGGGGACGGCGGCTGGGGCCCGGGGGAAGTTGGCGAGAAGATTGTTGACGGAAACGAAGGACTTGGTGTCAATATGGTCAGTGATTGTGTTACTTGATGCGGCGTCTGAGTCCCGGTGGACGCTGAAGATGCCTTTTTGGGTGGAAAAATCGCGCTCAGAATATCCCAAGGCCAGCGATTCGGTCTTGGAAGTTCCAAGCCCATCAACTGAGGAATCTCCCCCAGCCTTTGAAGGTGATGTGGTAGTGGGATCATCGGCCAGGGCAGCCGCTTCCTCGAGCTGGACATCGGGCTGCTGCGCGCTCTTTTTCTTCTTCTTTTTTAGCTTCTTCTTCTTCTTCTTCTTGTTGACAGGTTTGTCTAAATGCTCCAAGCCACATGTACATGCTGAGACCGGAAAGCCGATGTTGAAGCTCACTCTGCTCATAGCATGATGGCCGAGATCAGGAAAACTGTCGATACAGCTCAACACCAGAAACCAGTAGCGTGCTCCAATGCAGATGCCCAATTTCTCCTCAATGGCCTCGAGGATCTTGTCCTTTGCCGCAAAAGCCACGGCAGGCTCCGATAGCTTGTCAATGTCGGGTACAATTCCTCGGAGGTCGAGTCTCCTCCTGACGGTGGCGAGTTCGGCGTCCAGCTGATGAATGCGAGAGACGTACAACTGCCCTTTTGTGTAGCTCACCGGCGGGAGGTTCAGGTGCTTCTCCAGGTCGATGATGAAACTCGTGATCAGATTCAGGTTTGCGAAGCACGTACTCAAGGAAAACTCTGAGAACTCGATCCCTTCAGGGACCATAGTCGTGAGTCCCGGACTTGGTTGGTTGTAGAACTCGGCGAGATTCGTTAGAAAAGACGCCGCCTGTCTGGGAGTCAATCCTGGCTTGCACAGTTGAAGACTGTAGTACGTCTTCCGATCTCTCTTCTCGATCGGCCCGTCCTTGAGGACAACTGCTTCGTTGCCCAAGTTGTCATAGGTATCTGGAACTCGCTCAAAGTACTTTTCTGCTTTGAAGCACTGAACTATTCGCTTAACTTCCCCCTGTGATTTGAGGAACTTGAGGTGGAGGACGTTAGAAAGCTCCTGGGCTAGAAACTCGCGCCGTTTGGCCGTCTTTTGGGAGTTCTCTAGTATGTGTATCGCACACAGAAGAACGCGAATGTAGTATGCCATATTTGCGTCTTTCTGAGTGGCGCACAACAGATCAAAGAGACAGGCCCCAACGTACTTGTCAAGGTCTTTGTCCATATTCGTGCGTCCGCTGGCGTCTGGTATTCTCTCTGGGAGGCTGAGCCACTAGTTCACAGCCTCCATCTCGAGGACATCAGGTTGTGACGAAACCGTCTTCAACCAAACGATTGCCTCATCCTCCTCGGTCTTGATGAAGTTGATGAAGGGTTGGAGGCCGGAGTTGCTGGCGAGCGTGAGGATGGGAACCCTATCTCCAGAGTCATCCGTCTTGTTGTAGCATGTGCACTTTGGGTGTCGGCAATCGGTGGCCAAGACTGTGAGCATAATGACGATGACCCGGTGGAGAAGCTCTGCGAAGAATATTTGTCTCGCTACGACAAGTTCGCCAATGGGTTCGGGTACCCATAGAGAGTGTTCTGTTTCTAGGTTGGCGATGGCATGAGAGTAGATGCCGAGATCGACGGAGCGGGCGTATTCTTCACCGTCCTGAAAGGACATGAAATTGCCGTCGAATTGGTCTAGGAAAATATATTGGTTGAATCTCGCGCGGACAAAGTCACAATCGCCTGGCGCACCATTCATTCCATTCCTGAACTGTTCCGAAAGAGATGTCGTAGCGCGATGGTGTAGGATATCCAGGAAAGCATCGCTGTCTGGATTGGTGATTTGCTCTGCGTTCCACTCAGGCCCGAGGAAGTGAGAAAAAACCGTGCAAGGTGAGTCAGCGTTTCTAAGGATGAAACATGTTGAGCCGTTCTTCATCAACGCATCTCGATCAAGCTGTTCAAGTCTCTTCCAGTAGCTGACAAGGGCCGGGCCGTGTTGTTCGTACAGGCGGACCAGTTCGTGATGAGTCTGTCTCAAAAGGCCTGGCGAAGATCTTCTGGTCGGATCGGGTGAGAAGGTGTTGCGATTCTTGTCTGGTTGCTTGAGCTGATCCATGATTGCTGCCACCCGATTCATGGGTTCGAGTAGCGAGAGGGCTGTGTAGCAAGGAGGTTGAGTAGCGAGTGTGAGTGCGACGCGGTGTGAACCATGATCTTTCTCGGCGCAAGAAAAAAATCATGGAGCGGTCAGAAAATCTGCCGTGAGTGCGGTGAGTGGAAGGAGGAAGGAAGTATTTGCAAACGGAAAGTGGGGGATCTGGTGGGATATTCGGGGCGGTGGTGTGGGAGTAGACATCTTCCCCTGACACTCTTTCCCATCACGGCCGAAGCTCTGCTTGGAGAAGTTTTCGGCCTGGCGAAGTGAGATAACGTCCAAATCAGCAAGTTCATTCTGTGGACAGGTGTTCTTGTCATTTGTTTGTGTCTAATCATGGGCAGTGAATAGCGAAGCTTGGAGGAGGTCCAGAGGAGAGATTTTCTCAGGGGCAAGGCTGCTAATATTGTGATTCATAGGGTAAGTATCTACCCGGGACCGGGGGGGGGGGGGGGCCGGGGGGGGGGGGGGGGGGGGGGGGGGGTGGGGGGGGCGCAGGGGGAGTATTTGTCACGGGCGGGGGGGCTGAATTGGGGTAAGATAGGGGGTCACCCACCCCGGGGCGGGGGGGGGGGGGGGGTTCAAAAGGGTGCCATGCCTATACCAGGCTTATAAATAGCGTTGAGGTTTCATCTTTCTGCCCATATAGTAGTGGAAGTATATAGAAATGATAAAACGACCCTTAAGGTAACGAATTACATGGTTTTAACAACATTTTAAGTATCTATTCTAAGAATAGATTTATCTGTTCAGAATAGATCGATTCCAGATTAAAAAATAGAAGGAAGGAAGGAAGGAATAACATCTTTAGGTTACATTATCCATATATATATATATAATATTCTGGATCGTACCCGCCCTAATAAGTGCTCATGACCCTTAAGGTCACTAAGCGTACTTCCTTTTCGGGCAATGTTGAAAACCCCCTCCAAACCGCATAGGTACATGTAAGCACTTCGGAAGTAAGATAAGGAGAGAGTCTGAGAGATGCTTAAATCCAGGAGCACTTGGAGAGGACATGGAGGATGTATAAATACTTGCCTGGGGAGCTGGAACCTCCGGCCGTACCTGGCATGGCTGATCATGGGGCCCTCCCCAGGAATCTAAGTTATCGTGATAGTAGACTTCTCAGTAGACTGTTTGCAGCGTAGACCAAACGTGCCAACACGTCACACCCCAGGTATGTATTCTACCTTTCTCTTCCAACCAAGTTGTTTTTGGATGTTTGTCTCGCTAACCATACAGCATGCTTTGTCAATGCTTGTGCCAGTCTGAAGCATGTTTTCGAGTTGGCACTTTACCAAGAAACTTCAACAATGAGAAATTGGTAGCTTTCCATCAACACAAACACAAAATGAACAATGGAGAATGATGGCCTGTAAACCGATATTTGATATACCATAATGTACGTTGCTCTTGTCATTAGATGCCATCATCCAAACGTGATAGCCTATTTGTCCTCCTTTCCAAACCCCCAATCCATAATGATATTAACACAGAAAATTTGAGCAAGCCTCTATGGCCACTCCTTACCACACATCAAAGCACACACAATCTATCGCAAACCTCTACCTCCCAAACAGACTGAATCTAAGCTTTCCCTTTCTAGGCACAGAGCTATGCCCGCTCATCGGCCGATCGTCATAGCTCATAAGACTCGAAGCCGGCCTCGGCACCGTCCGCGGCGGACTATTCTGATACGCCTGCTGCTGGTTCTGCTGCGGCATCGGCTGCGGCGGCGGCGCCGCCGGCGGGGCATAATCGCCGCGCAGCGCCCGCTCAACATCAAGGTGCTGACGCTCGTACTCGTCGTGCTTGGCCTTGGCGTCAATGAAGCGCTGCTCCGCCTGGCGCCGGCGCTCCTGCAGGAGGCGGAGCTCCTCGTCGTACTGCGCCATCTGGCCTTGGGCCTCGTCCATCAGGCGGTGGTACTCGAGCATCTTGCGCTGGAGGGGTTCGAGGACGCTTTTGGAGATGCTGGGGCTGTTGACGCGACTGATGTCGCTCAGGACGCTCTCATTGACGCCTGGCGGGGAGGGTGGGCGCAGACCACCCGCCGGATTGGGGATCTGCTGTTGCTGTTGCTGTTGCTGTTGTTGTGGTTGCTGAGAGGGAAGTCTGTCTCTGGTAGAATGCTGGCTCTCCGGGGGCCCGCGGGGGGATGCGCCGCCGCTCATCTGGGGCGGATCCGGGGCACCCGGGGCGCGGCTTCCGGTGGAAGACTGGCGACGGGCGTGGCGCTCCGTGCGGCGGCGGGAGTAGCCGGCCGCCGCGGCCGCCGCGTCCTTGGATGCCGGGCTCCATTCGTCGGGGTTCTCGCCCATGTAGGGCGGCAGCTGGGACTGGATCGGAGGGGGCTGGGAGCGGCGGTTCTGTGAGGCGTTGGCGGCGGGGGGTGCGCGAGGGCCTGCGGCGCGAGGTTGGCCGCCGCCGCGACCGTTTGTTGGGATTACGCGCTGCTGCATTGCGGTCAGATGATTTTCGTTGCGATACGGATGATGCGGATAGATGGTTGTGTGTATGTGTTTGTGTATTTGCGGTTGTGTATTGGGAGTCGGGGCGAGGGCGGTCTCAGAAGCCGCCCTTCAGTGAGATGAGTGGGCGTTTGTGAGTTTGTGAGTGAGTGAAGTGAAGTGAGGTGAGTTGGGTTAGGTGAGTACTTGAGTGCTGGGGTGAGAAGATAAGGAGGGGGGTGGGTGATTGAGTTGAAATTTGAGCGTGGCTGGGGCGTCTTTCGCCGTGCCATTGCTTTTTTTCTCGATCCCTCTCGGTGACTTCCCCTCTTGAAATGTCATCTTTACTCACCTGTTGATGGGGCGCCTGCGCGAGCACGGCATCATGTAGGGCACCGTCTGAGCTGGTTGCCCGCGGATCATCGCCGCCGCCGCTGGGCCTGGTGGTGAAGCGGGAATCGTCGTCGAGCGAGGGGGAACGGGGCCTTCGATAACGGCCGTTGCTCTTCCCGCCGCCCTCGCCGCGCGATTGACGTTGCGAGTTGGCGGGGTCGCTGTGGTTTTGGCTGTCGTATTGCTGGCCGTACTCAACAAAGTCGCCGGGGAAGTGGATGGGCGGCGAGCCCTGCGTGTGTTGCTGCTGTTGGAGCCCCATGGCCATGATGGCAAACGAGACGGGGTCGACGTCTCTTGCGGCGGCGGAGTCGATATGGGGCGGAATGGTTTTGGTGGCGAGGTGGTGAGGTGGTGAGGTGCGAATAGAGTTGCGTTGGGTTTAGTGTTTGACAGGTTTGGCGTGAAGTGAGATCGATCTTGAAAAGACGACTCAAGATGAACGGGTAATAGTTAACCGTTGGAGTGAGGGGTTGTCTGTCTCGGCCTGTGTCTGTGTTCTGTCTTGCCTCAACTCGGAGGAGGTCAACACACAGAGGAGACGGGAGCTAACGGTAGAGGGGAGGCGGACTACCAAGAGGGAAAAAGAACAGACACTGAGCACATTGAATTCTTCGAATGACCGGAGTGAGAATTTGGGTTCTCGGACTTTTCAGGGTTTGGAGACTTCAACTACCTATCTGGCCAAAGATTCAAAGTGGCTGGGAGAGCACCAACAAGTTCCGCGTCCACTTAAATCGCACCACATTTAATTACGTGCAGCGCTGCAGCGGTGTTGCCAGCTCGGCGGGGCGGCGTCTTCGGGTCGACAATTCAGTGGCTGGGACCCCCACTCACTCATCCACTCACCTCGCTCCTCACTCACTTCACCTCACTCATTACCCGCTCACGTCCGCCCTGCTGCGCCCAAACGTCGCCCAACCTCCACGATTGTCGTTTCTTCTGCCCACGTTCCCAATAAATGCAGTACCCTCACACTATCGGCCTGCAAAATCCAATAAATGCGGAATCGGTGGGATGGAGTTTCCAGGTCCGCTGAGACTTGGTTCTGGGGTGCCACGCCGAGTGAGAATACTGCCCTGTTCCGTTTTTAGATGACTGGATCCCCCAACGGGCGAATCATCAAGGCAAGGGGACATGTCGACGACTGTTTAAAAGTCCCCGCCTGCCCCTTTCCTTTTTCAGGGCCAAGTCTGGATGCTCCATGACATGCTTCCGACCCTTTGGAGTCTACGCGGGCTTGCATACACGGTACACCTACCCTGGAGAGATTACCTCGGGGAGATTACCCCAGCCATCCCGTTAAACCATGGCTACGCTCTGGCAATATCCGTACGGTATGTAGACAGCCTGCAAACTACAAGTGGACACGAAATCGCCAAATTCCACTTTAACAGGGACAACTCGTAGATCCCCGAGCCATCGCAAAAGTGGGCGATGTCCACCCCGCGCCTGCCCCTCCTTCGGCCGGCTTTTCCCCAAGCGCCCCCGGGGCTCCGCCCCGATGTGGAGGCCAGGTTCACAACGTCAATGCCAGCGGCTCTGCAGACCCCTATTGAACAATGCCCTCAAAAGGGTTTCGAGGAGAGCTTTGATACTTCGCCTCAGAGCATGTGTTCTGCGCTATTCATCGCCCCCTGTGCGGCCTTTGCCTGCCTACCTTATGATGAGTCCTGGGAAGCACTACGAACTCAAGCCAGCCAAGATCAAATGAGTTCCGCTCACCACTTATCAGAACTGAAACCCCCGACAGCGGTATCACCAAGACGCCTGCAGGACAAAAAAAAGCCTACAGCAACTCATCCAACAATCCCAACCTACGCTACCAACCCGGGAGCAGGGAACAAAAACGCAGCAACCAGGAGGAAATGCAACGTCACAGACGCCGCGATGCCGACCACATTCCCCAGCATCTCCTGCTCACGGTCGTATCGTAGCGTCCACTGGGATGCTGCTTCTGCTTCTACTCTCGGACTTGGCTTAACAACATGACGGCTTTTGTGATCCCTAGCTGCATCCAGCTAAGTTCAGCCTCCATATGCCAGTTCTGGTCACCGAGAGACATGCATCGCAAAGCCTCGAAATTTATGAGACTGTATCCTATCGGATTCTTCTTTTCAACACCAATCGGCGCCCCATTTTGTCACGTTTGGGACTGGAGGGGGATGGGAAAGATGCAGGCTATGGAAGAAGCAGGAGAACACGTGATTGCAATTACCACCAGGAGTTTTTGCATCCATCTCCCTATCACTCCTGTTCTTCTCTCTTTCCACTTTGACATCCAGGTTGACATCATTGTACCGAAATCTCCCTAGGCCTATGGTAATTTGAGTATGTCCGCGTGTACAAGACTCTGGCAAATACCCTGCGGACTAGATACTGTCAAATGAACCACCCGGTTTCGACTTCGAGGACAGGAATAATAGGAACATTGGAATGCCGGGATCCAGGGAGATCTCAGTGTCTGTTCTAAGAAAAGCTTAAAAATGAAGAGGCATTCAATTGTTACGTAGGAGGGGTTGTGATGATAAGCTCGGAGAAAGATCATTACACTCGGGACATGAAGGGTTCTGGTGGAGCTTACAAGCCAATGTACTCATTCTGACCCAGTTGTATACACGGGGGGAGAGAAAGAGAGATTTAGTAGCAGCCCCAATGATTGCTGATAGAAAATTCTTTCGCTGTTCAGGGGTGTTATCAAACCACTTCTTCTCCGAGAGCCCCTACGAGTAGGGCTGTTTGACTGAGAGTCCCTGGTCCAGACTAATGCGAACGCAGTCCCGGTTTCCACCGTAGCCAGTGGCCAGTGAAACACTCCCACAGTACCCCTTTGACGGCGTTAATGTTCGGGCCTCCTCCTTAGCAAGAGATCAAAAGCACCCAACTTCCCAGCGGCTGCTGCAGATTGGAATGATATCCCCATCTTGCTCTTGGCAAAGTTGACGCTGGCCTTGAGCCTGAGCAGTAAGTGAATGCATGCCAGATTCCCGCCATAGGCTGCAAATTGCAGCGGCGTCCTTAGGTCTGCGTCTTCGGCCTTGGAAGTGCAAAAACGTGGCTGGAATATCGCCAAACCAGTCGCGGATATCAAGCTTCCCGCCACGCTTGATAATCAGATTCATGAACCCCAAAGATCTCCGTAGAACCCCGGGAGCGAAGAGGAGAGCGTTTGACTTTGCTATATCCATTGGGGTCATGACCAGCATCAAGAAGACGCTGAACAACGCGCCACGGGTTTCGCTGTGTTGCGTGGTGGACCGGGCAGTCAATCTGGTGGTTGTTCAGCAGTACCTCTTTCGGGGCCGGCCGACCGTTGTCGTCGTCAAGAAATCTGCTATCGACTTTGTTGTGGATGTCCCATGCATAGCACTGCACTGGAGCCGCAAGCCCATAGTGGTCTGTTATCAGTCGACGTAAGCGTCAATTACCATCACGATGAAACAAGGCGAAAATCAAGTCATCAAGACTGCCATGGTCAGGCTCCGAGTTCGCCTCCCTCGCGTGATGAACTCATTTCAGCACATGATATAGCAGGAATTAGAACTCTTCCAAGGTGTGTGGCTCGAAGCGGTTGACGTCGTTCTGATTTACTAGGCACGAAACGCTTTGCGCAGCTATGAGCAGGTGACCTTGTCCGAGTGTTCTGTATTTACTCAGCCGTTCTTCAACTTTAGCCCCGTCCTCCGCTCCGCGTTCGTGCCTTTCGCTCGAATCGCACATTCTTTGTTGAATGTAAGTCTCAAGGTCCTGGTCGGACTGAGTGCCCTGCAAAGGTAACTCTTTTGCCCAAACTGAGAGCGCCTCATCGATTTCCTGCTCTCTGAGACTAAGGAGAAGGAGATTTCGTACCGACTGGAGCTACTTGAGCATGTTCATCAACCTCTTACGTTTCAAACACTCTTCTAGCGCATCGAAAATAAGGCGGACTTTGTGAAAGCATCCCAAAGCGGCTACGGTCGCTTCGAGCAGCTCTTCATGCCCGGACTATTGACCCTGGGTTTGCATAGCAACGACTGAGCTTCTTGCTGCAACTCGTTTGAGAACTTAAAGTGCGAGTAAACAGCAGCTGACGCCGATTTCCTAGTCTGGTTCAGCAGAGATGTCACTATGGTTGAGCTCATAATGGCCTTGCCGCTTCCATGTTGCTCTACGACCCAACGGTTTTCACGCAATTTCCTTCCCCAGATGCTTCGCCTCACCCACCACGCCTTCCCGACCCGACAGGAAGGATGGGTGGAGAGATCACGTGCGCTAGTCTTCTTCTGGCCAGCTAACATGGACGCCAGTGGCCGACAGCCCCACTCTCATCGCGTCGCGTAAGGCACCTCTTCCTGGTCGTGGTCCCTAGCTTGAATCTCTTACGTCAGCAGCGCCGCCCCAGTGGGAGCAGGAGCGCAGAACAGAACAGAGCAGAACAGAGCACAGCAGAACCAAAGGCCAAAGCTCCTCCCACGACCGAAGCTGCCTACCGCCGCACGCCTCATCTTCTTTCCATTTAACCTCAAAAACGTCGCGAATCAATCAATTCGCCCATCGCAACGCGCCATTGACGACATACGTTCCCGTTATACCAGCGTCCCCTTTTGTCAAACCGACTGGCTTTTCACTTCTACGGTCTTTATAGAGATTGCGTGGATTCGGTAGGCGTAAGCCAGCGGTCCACGACATCCGAGCGCGCAAACGCCTCGACCATCACCCGAATTCTTCGAGATTAATCCCATCCATCATGGCTCGGTTGGCCGAATCCCCCGCGCCGCCAAACGGCACTCAGTCGGTCAAGAAACCCCAGACAGCGAAGAACGGCGCCTTCAACACCTTCCTATCGTCACCCGCCAAACCCTCCGGCTCGCAGTCAGCGCACCCGAACAAGCGCATCAAGAGTCTCGCACCAACCGGAACTCCCCGTTCGGATGTTTCGCGATCCCGTTCGCCACCTTCGCAACTTCCGTCCCCGCACCTCCCTGTGAGCCCTTCCACTCGGAAGGGTTTGAGCGATACCGCCGGCGACGAGGTGGAGACCGCCGACCGTAGCACTCCCGCCGATACCGTCTCTGCCGCCGCTCCTGTCGAGACCGCAGAGCCAAACTCGTCCACTGCGCCTGTTACAACCATGGAAGCTGCCCCCGATGCCGAAGCCTCCGGGTCTACCCCAGAACCCAGTGCGCCGCGGGCTGGCGTTGTGTCCTCCGTTCGCAAGACATTCTCCAATGTAGTCAACAATATAACCGGACAACGCACTGGCACGACGACCCTCACAGCAACCTTTGAACAGACTATTGTGAGCCGCAAGCGTAGCAGAGAGCCCGATGGCGAGGAAAGCCCTGCTCCTGCTGAAAAAGAGGCCGAAAAAGAAATTGAGGCTGCCAACGGCACTGACGGCAACGACACTACTATCCAGCTCGGAAACCAATTCGAAGCCGAGGTTGAGGCCGAGGAGATTCGTGCAAAGAGCCCCGTCAAGGAGGCAGTGCAAGGTACGCCACATGTCGGTTTGACGAGAAATCAACGCTCACCTGTTTTAGTGGCTTCCCCTGCTACAGAGGATGCTGAAATCAACGTTGCCACTTCCACTGATAATGCGGACACCGTCGAGGCTGCTCCTACCGAAGATGTCATCCTCAATGCCACGAATGACGAGGATGTGGAGATGGACGACCCCAAGAACGGCATCTTCGTGTTTGATAAGATCCTGGGACATCGCCGCGACCCCAATGACAAGACCCTCTTCCAAATGCACATCAGCTGGAAGCATGACGATCCCACGTGGGAAACTGAACAAACTATTCACGAGGATGCCGAGGAGTCACTTTTTGCCTACTGGGACAGCCTCAAGGGCGGCAGGCTAGGTGCCATGGCCGACAAGAACCTCTGGCACGCTCTAAGGGTTGAGAAGCACAGGCAGAAGCCTTCCGGTGCAGTCCAGCTCTACGTTTGCTGGATTGGATCACCTGAACGATCATGGGAGCCTGAGAGCCAAGTTGAAGTATATGCTCGCCAACATATCGAGAACTATTGGAAATCCAAAGGTGGACGCGAGAAAATCATAAAGGCTGTCGCTGTGCCTATTAAGAGAGGCCGCGGCCGCCCCCGCAGGACTACCGCCCCAGAGTCAGATGTCGAGGTTGAGGTCTCGAAAGAAGCTTCCAAGGAGCCCAAGCCGAAAAGTAGACCGGGACGGAAGCAGAAGCGTGACGAGGCCGAGGAGCCGCAGCCTGAGAAGGCTGAAGGAGCACCTTCTGCGGTAGACAAGCCCAAGCCTGCTGCCAAGGAGCAGGCCGAGGCAGATGAAGAGCCCCCCAAGAAGCGCGGTCGCGGCCGTCCCCGCAAATCTCTTGTATGAAATTCCCGCGATGAAGATGCACCCCTATGGTTACTCTGATGGCCGATTATAGACACAATGGCTCACTACAAGATCGTAGTGAAAGCGACAAATCTGGGACTTGTCTCGAACTAGAGATATCTGGGAAGAGATAGTCCGGTTGCGGGATGCGTGAACGAATTCAGGGTTAAGTATATTGTGTATCATACGCTGTTGCCAATTTTTTTTTGCTCGTAACTATGGCTGTTCTTGTCTGGTTTCACTGGGACGATCTGGCTGCGAGGTTTGCTGATTCAATTTCCTTGTCCCAGCGTGGTGGACGGGCATGGCACTGAGCTTGGGGTGACGGAGCTTGGGGGGATGAAGGAGACCTGGAGAGGTAGAGGAAGTTTCTAGTTATCAAGCAAGGAAACATTTCCCACAATATTTCATTGTTATATGAGTGAAAGCCGGATGATGATACGGCAGAGCGGCTAATCAGGCAGAGCCCGGTCCTCAGGTAGTCGTGCGACCACGACTGTCCTCGTCGCCCCAACCGTTTGACCAGGAGGACTCCTCCAGCCCCGGCAAATACGATGAGCTAACGTGTGATGCCTGCTTTCTAGGCCTATTGCTGACAATGACCTATGCCACTATGTAAGCTCTGCCGAACATTGAGGAACGGTGTGACGTCGAGTGAACCATGGCCTATCTAATGTGTGAGATGGCTGTTGCTGCTATTATTACGATGCGAGAAAGCAAGAGAACCGAAGTACTAGATGGAGGTAAGCCTACTTGCTCGCTCTGCTCCCATGCGAAATGGCCTCCGAGGTCTTTTCTTCATCCTCAAAGTCTCTCGAGTTTTGTTCAATATTCCGGATCTGGTGCAGCCCCTGCAATGTGAGCGTCAGATGCGAAGATTCTAAATTCAACACTTGACTGATCCATTCATGATTCGAATTTGATATGGCTAGGGAATGGGAAGAAGACGGAGTCAAGCGCTATCTCAAGGGCCGCCCTTAAAACTATATTATCTACTACATAAACGTCATGGAGATTGTTAAGCTTTGCCCATGCATTTGTAACATCATACAGTTCGCCGACTCTGCTGATACAACGGCAGAGTGTATATTGTATTGTCTATGAGATAATTCAAGACGACGAAATACAAGAGCGTTCATATTCTAGTTATGATGTATAAAAGGGAGGACCGGGATTGCGACTGGATAGGTCATTGAGTTGAAGCACAAGATGAACACATGTTGTCATTTCATTAAGTGGGATTTGGAGGCACAAGTCCCAAACAGTCGTAACGAAATATCATTATAAAGTAGATTGAGAAGATGAAACGCCTTTTCCGGATGACCGACCTTGGCCAGTTGATATTTCCGTCCCGTAGGTACACAAGACATGTCTCATCCACAAACAAAGCGGTATCATTGAAAGAAGGTGTTCGCCAACCAAGCCCATCCCCGCTCATCCAAATTCCTAAACTCCAGAACAGTAGCACGACAGCCCCAACGCGCAATTTTCAATCCTTCAAAAGTCTTCAAGATCATCTCCCCATCGGCGCATAATCTTGAGGATTATAATTATACGCCTGTCCGTACGTCGGATATGCCTGCGGCCCCTTGACCCTGTGCTGCGCCGCCTCCGCCGCCTTGGCGTCCCCGCGGTGCTCCTCCTGCGTCTCCGGGTGCGTGGCCAGCTCGGATGAGAAGCCCTTGTGATCCAGCGCGGGACTGGTGTACCCGCTGCTCGACTCAGACGACGCCATGCTCGTCGGCCGCGAGCTCTGCTGGGACGGGCTCGGCTGGCCCTGGGACCAGCGCCACGAGTTTGGGTCCGGGGAGAGTTGCGACTGCTGGGACATGGAGTCGCGGTCAGCACCCTGTAAGCCGGGGGACGGCTGCGGCGGTTGCAGGTTGTTGGAGGTTTGCTGGGGGTGGTAAAAGTTTCCTGGAAGTTCAGCGATGAAGGAGGTTTGCGGTGCGCTGTACTGGGAGTAGAGCTCTGACGGCTGGTTTTGATGTGCGCCGCCGTAGCTGCCCTGTGAGCCTGGTCTGAAGGTCTGCATCGATACTGGTCTTGGGACCTGGTACGGCATGGTCGGCGACTTGGAATCGGGTCTCGGGCTGCCATCGGGGCGCTGGGAAAACGAAGGCGAGTGCGCGCCGGACATGCCTGTGCTGGTGCGGTCGGCCGGGTTGATGGTTCTGAGCCTCCCGTCCGTGATCATGGCCTGCAGCACTCCCGCGTCGAGCAGCTCCGCTTTTTTGATGATTCTCGACACCATTTCCTTGCTCGCAGTCTTGAGCTGCGCCTTGACAAAGTTCACCATGGTGATGTGGCAGCGGATCTCAATGTCCTCGCGCAGGTAGAGCCCGTCGGCCGGGACGCCTAGCCCGGACATGCCGATCTCGGGTGGCTGGGGCGGTTCGAAGCCTGGCTGGTTGCCGTCTATTTTGTACTTGATCCGGATGTCAATGTTCATCGGCGCGTAAGTGTGCGTCTGCAGGCCCCAGGGCATGTCGTGGAAGCAGCCGTTGAAACTGATCTTGCCGGAACCCATCTTGCCGATGCCAGGGATGTACTGGATGCGCTCGGTGATTTCGTACCATGTCGAAAAGTACTCGTCGGAGGCGGCATGTTGGGGCGCCTTGATGGGCTTGTGGTCGAGGACAAGGGGGTTGAGGGTGATGACCTCGGAGTGGGAATGGAGGATGTCGATGGCGAGCTGGCGGGGAATGAAGCCCGGGATGGGGGTGACGGTCGTGTAGACCTCTTTCTTGCGAAGCATCTTTGCGATTTGTGTCGTCGCTCTCTGGGGTATCTTGTGGTATCTCGAGTGTTAGCCGGTTCGGAGGCGCGATGCGACTGCAATGTTGGAGATTGGGAGCATTCAATGGTAGGCGTTTGGTCGAGAAAGCTGCCGTCAGACTGCGGAGGGGGGAGATTGTTCAGAGAAGGAAGAAGTAAAGCTGACGAACAAGCAAAAGCTTGTGGTGCTGACGGAGGTGTAGACCGCGCGAAGGATTTGCGAAGAAGATTGCCATCTGCTCAAGGTAAAGCCAAGCCATGGCACCGCAAGGCCTCAGCCCCTCGGGCCAGGACCCTTCCACGCGCTAGCCCCAAGTTGAGAATGGTTGTCAAAAAGGCATGGCGGCTTGGGTTGGTGGGAGACCACGAGCAAAACGCAAACCACATGCAGGTTCGCTGGGATGTGCTTGGGTGCGTGGGATGGCTGGTGGGTGTCTCACGTCATCAGGACGCTCGGGAGGGGTACGGAGTAGTTTAGTTGGAGATGGGAGGATCTACGGCCGCTGACGATCCGTCTCCGGCGCCACGGTTTATTTTGCGCCTTTTGGGGCATATTTAGGTGTGCGTCCCATTGTAGAAGCAGGAGCCAAGCGGGCACAGTGAAGCCTAAACACGGCACTGCCAACGTTCTTAGGGAGACTCTTAGTGGGAAGGGGCCCGCTAAGTCTGGCTAAGCGAGGCAAATGATGTCTACAGCTGCTTGAGTGAGACGGAATGGCCAATCAGATGCGTCACCTGTCATTCGGACTGGCTGGCTTCCGCTACCCACTTAGGTAAGCCGCTGTACGATAGCTCTCCTGTGATTCGCTTCCTCTTTGGTTCAGCAGAAGGGTCGGGCGGGGTCTCCCCACCACCTCCCCCGTCTATCCTTGAGTTTTTGGCTGTCAGCAAACACCGTCAAACAGGTACGACAGGGTCTTCCGAGACATTCCCAGGAGCTGGTAGTGGCACAATGGCACCCAAGCTCCCCCTAGCTATCCACAGTCTTTCAGCTCTTTTCCACTTTGGCAGCTGAGTGCCACAACCAGTTGTCCCCTTGATGCCATTCACAGCGACAAAGGGCCCCCTGAAGATCCACGATCACCACTTCTTCCAGGAGTGTTGAGCGTCCCAGCTCAGGGTCTGAGACGACGGCCATGTCCGAAGAAGACCTGGCGAACTCGGATCGTCTTCCTTGGGCCCGGACTAAGCCTCCCATAAGCGCCAGGTTCCACCATCGCGGCACCACTGACCGCCATCTTGAGTTTGGGCCGTTGAACTCTGGAAGGGGTCGCCGGGTGAGGCAGCGGGCGTTGTCGCCGCGAACGGCTCCCAGAAATCTTTCTTTGTATGTCTTCGATCGACAATGAGCTTGTCAACTTGTTCAAAAGCTTGACTGCGTGGCTGTCTTGACGCATCTTGACTCGTCATCAGTCTATGTTTAATGTCTCATATTCTGGACGCCGCTGACCATGGCATCTATGATCTTGCAATGATGCACGACCAAAGGTGGCCTCTGAAGCGGCATGATGCTCCCGATTCATGATCAGAAATCCTCTTCGGCATCTACGCCATACGACCAAGTCATTCTGCTATGTATGGTAGGTGATTCTCGGTCGCCTGCTGAGAACCAGCCCATCGCTAGCAACAATCGAGGCACACAGTCACATATAACCGTTTTGGCTCGCCTCTCGTTTCTCTCACCAAGGATGCGACGGGATAATAAAGTTCCGGATCGTCTCTTCGGTGATATCTATGCTTACCAAGACGCGGCAAAATATCGAGTCTATCTTGGTCATCGCCAAGCGGCGCTGCTGTCGAGGTCGCATCACGGCGGAGCAACATTTACCACGGAGCCAGCCCCTTTCGGGCAGCTGCAGCCGAGACTCGATATCTCTCAAGTCTCAACGCAATGCACCGCATCTGCGTGTATCCTCAAGGAGTACGGCTACAGTGCAACCTCCCTCTCTCGGCCGAAGATGCAGCCCTTCACCACCCAGCCGCAGAAGTCGCCTGCGGCGCCAAGCACGTTCCTGGCCCCCCAATGCCACATGGCCAGTGTCATGTCTCAGAGGGCGCCCGTGTGGGTGGGTGGCCGACTGCAAGTTCCACCGAGGTATTTGTGTCACGCTTCGTTCACCTCTGCAGTGTCCGACTGCAGAGTAACCTCGGGATATCGACATGTTTTGTCGCGGGTGGGTTGCAGACGACGATCTGTCAGGATGAAATCAACCGACAGCAAAATGAGTATCCGCGGTAAGTGTGTTATATACGGATATGCAATACGGAGTATTTGGCCCTTATGAGGGATAAGAAAATGCGCAGAGCTGAGTACCCGCGGTTATCATCTACTGCTCTAGCGCCTGTTGGTTCCAGGCACGTTGCTCAACACATCAACCCGACGAGGTCGTCCTTACAAAAATTCAAGTTGTTACGGTAAACCAAAGTCAACCTGGATCAAGCAACATCAGAGTTTCCAAGGCTGTGCCGGTGAAATGGTTTCCCGGCCTGCGCCGCTGTCATACAGCCGAACATGAGACGGACAGAATTGGAAGAGCATTGACTTTCAAAGACCACAATTGGATTAGCCTTCAGCCTGGAGCAGCAACTTAGTCGCGATGTTCATTCTCAAGCTGGCCTTCTCGGGTTGTCCACCTCGAACTCGAAGAACTGATCTGCCAAACAACGATGCCCCATATCATGATCAGTGGGTTTTTGAGAAGTAATCAACTCGAGTCTCAGACGCAAAGATTGGAAATTCAAGTTTGTTCGGGGGGAAGGGGGAGGTAATAGGTAGCCTATCCTAACCTGATGGATTACTAGTCCTTTCGCCTCGAAACTTCCGCGGAACCAACACCAACGACGGAGGCTGCCATCATACTAATCGCTACCCTTGACTCGCTTGAGGAGCCAAGGAATCTTTTTCCGGGCCTCTTTCCACAGGCTGACTATGTTGCGGAATCCTCGGTTTCTCGGAGTCTATGGTCTTGAAGTGTGCGAGAGGCTCCGCATCGTGTTGCAACTTTGCGTTGGGTTTACGTTGGCCGTTCCCGCTAGCATTTCAACCTCACTTGCCGACCCCAGTTGCCGAAGACAAGATGGCCTAGCATTCTTGGCGCTTTAGACACCCCACGAGATTGCAACTCAGCCGGCCTCATTGGCTCTTCCCAGCCAGTCGAGCTGGGGATTCAGCCTGGGCACGTGGAGCCTCCGATGAGCCAAGTGGATATTTTCCCCAGGATTGCGGGGGCGGGCAGGGCGGAGAACCTGGGGGAATCGTCGCCAGGCGGAGTCATTTCAAGATTGGGACTCGGCAGGCAAGTATTTCTCAAGGTCGGCGAGTTTCGAAGTCTTCATGTCTGTCCTGTCAGCATTGTTCCTTGCTGAATATCAAAGATCACCGGTTTGATGCCATCGTTTCTGTGCTAATCTGCCGCTTCGACGTTGCAATGATCTTTTCTCGGCATCTTCGATACAACGCAGTCCACAAATGGAGGAGAAAGCGACAATCTTCTCAGGAAACGATGCAACTGATACAACCTCGATGATGGGCGTATCACTCCCCCGCAGGAAATCCCACCCTGATGGAGCCTCCAGCATGGAGGGTACGAAAACGCCAAAGATGCAGCTTGGTCCCCAATAGAGTGGTGCCCGGTAGACTTGGGATGCTTGGCAGTTGAGCTAGGGACATGGGTACGGCATTTCCCCCAGGAGAGGCGATTGAAAACTTCTACGATGTACCGCTGGGTTTAAATAGACGACCACGATCCTATCCTCAGTCGCTAAGGGCAGCTCATTCCTTGAATATCCGGGCCTGACTTTGACTACGGAACGCCAGCCTGGGAGAACGCACTTTGAGCTGTGAACAGCAAGCTTAGACGAGTAAATTGGACATTCAGTTCATTTTCTCTCGAGCCTTGAAGGCGTGGCTCGAACCCGTCAACATCTCAATCTTCACCATGTCTTCCACTGAGAAAGAAGTGCCCCACGGCACCCACTTCGAGGGCACTGAAGACCACGCCATCAGTGCTGCTCCCGTCCATGACAGCATTCACAACGCAGCTGGAAAGGGTCAACTTGCAACTGACAAGTGAGTAACCTCACATTTACTGTTTGCCCACAGTGTCTATCATCCACGGGACTGATCACGCCTCATCAGATATGGTCACTCCCTCGTCGAGTTTGACCCCGTAGCTGTGCGAAAGCTTCGGTGGAAGCTCGACTTGCACACAATTCCAACCGTGGCATTATTGTATCTCTTCTGCTTCATCGACCGTGCGAATATCGGTAAGTCAGACTAAGATACCCATATCGCCATAATACAACCTTTGTGCTGGCAGTCGGCTAACACCCTACGTTCCCAGGTAACGCGAGAATCGCCGGACTCGACAAGGACCTCGAGCTCAAAGGCTACGACTACAACGTGATCCTCTCCGTCTTCTACATCTCGTACATCCTCTTCGAGATCCCAGCCACAATCGCATGCAAATGGATGGGGCCCGGCTGGTTTCTGCCCGTCACCACCCTCTTCTTCGGCATCGTCTCCATCTGCACCGCCTTCGTCCAGGACAAGGCCGCCATCTGCGGCGTGCGCTTCCTCCTCGGCATTTTCGAGGCCGGCATGCTCCCCGGAATCGCCTACTACCTCTCGCGATGGTATCAGCGCGCCGAGCTGACCTTCCGGCTGTCCCTGTACATGGTCATGGCCCCGCTCGCCGGGGCCTTTGGCGGCCTGCTCGCCTCGGCGATCCTCACCCTCGACTCCTTCGGTAGTCTGCACCACTGGCGCATGATCTTTGCTATCGAGGGCATCGTCACCATCGTTCTGGCTCTCATATCCTTCTTCACTCTCACAGACCGGCCCGAGACGGCGCGGTGGTTGACGCAGGAGGAGAAGGACCTCTGCATCGCCCGCGTCAAGTCGGAGCGCGTGGGCGCCACCGAGGTGATTGACAAGATTGACAAGACGAAGCTCAAGCGCGGCATGCTCAACCCCGTCACCCTCGAGATCGCCGTCATCTTCCTCTTCAACAACATCACGGTGCAGGGGCTGGCCTTCTTCCTCCCGACCATCGTCAGCAACATCTACCCGACCTTCACGACGATCCAAAAGCAGCTGTACAGCGTGCCGCCCTACGTTGTCGGGGCGGTCTTTACCCTTGCCTTCCCCGGGTTGAGTTGGTACCTCGATAGGCGGCAGCTGCTCATCGCTTTGAGCGCGCCGATGGTCATGGCGGGGTACATCATGTTCCTCGCGTCAAAGGTCGCTCGCGTCCGATACGGGGCGACTTTCCTCATCGCCAGCTCTGCCATGGTTTTGGGCCCCATGTCCAACGCCCACATCAGCGCCAACGTCGTCAGCGATACGGCCCGTAGCAGCGCCATTGGTCTTAACGTGAGTGACAAGCCCCCTTCTCCACCCCCCTTTCCACCCTCCCAAACCCTCCCAAATCGCAAGTACAGCGAAGCCAAAAGATGTGGATGCTAACACTGGTCACAATACAGGTCATGTTCGGCAACGTGGGCGGCCTTATATCGACATGGTCGTACCTCAGCTGGGACGCGCCCGACTTCCACATCGGCAACGGCCTCAACCTCGGCACGTCGAGCATGATTTTCATCCTGGCGACTGCCGCGTGGTTCTGGATGAAAGCGGATAACAAGCGCCGCGATGATCGGAGTATCGAAGAGGAGCTTGCGGGGTACACCGAGCAGGAGATTCGGGATTTGGATTGGAAGCACCCTGCTTTTCGGTGGAGGACCTAAGGTGTATGGACACGCATGTTGTCAAGATGGCTGGGCGGGTATAGGACGATTCAAATTGTACCCTACAAAGCCTACGATGGCAGGATCTTTGAAATGCTATGTGAATCATGAAGATCAAAGGAGACTCTGCTTTGCTGTGGGTGATGTGACTATCTGCGTAGCGTGTGGCCTGATCGTTCAACCCCATCTACCCGGCATTGATGTTTCAAGCAGCTCCAGCTTGAAGTTTTTGCTCCCAAGTTGGCGGAACTAAATTAGATCCTAGTCGACGGAAGGGCGTTGTGTTTGAGGCCCTATGTATTGATTCTGGCATGGCAGTGCTTCAGTAACCGTAATCGGAAACCGGTCAAAGATCTTACTTCCAGCTATGGAAGCCTTTGCTGAGTACCAGGCGTACCCTAGCCATGGCGTTCGTCAGGTTTACTCTTTGCATCCACAGAAATCGACCAATTCACGTTCCTGTCTTCCTTATCTGGTTCCGGAAAGATATACGTATAAGCCCTAGCTCCTTGCGCTGGTAGCGAATGACTTGAAAGTGCTAATGCTGCCATGCTGCCTAGTGGCTTTGTCGTTTAGCCTATGATATAGCTTTTAGCTTAGATGAATTCTCCTGAAAGTTCTCAGGTAGTAAGAAGGTATGACGCTGCTCAATGCAGCTGAAGAAGCAAGTTTAGGGACTACAAGTAGGTACATGTAGATGTGCAAAGCCGAGGCGGAATGACACGATGCCATCGAAAGACGACTGGACTTAAGCAGAACCGCTTTACGTTACACAGTATGTATCCACGCAAGTGAATATCTCGTGGTGAACGCAGGGTTTACATACAGCTGCTGGTGCCAGAGAGTGCTAATTTTTGTTTGATGAAGAAGACTGTCAGTGTATACTCTGCGCATGTAGTCTCTACGGGTGATACAGCACGAAAATGACACTGCCGACTTCTTTTCCTCCTTCATGTACCTAGGCTTGACTCAAGGCTATCGAGGCGACGGACAACTAATTCCTTTCTGACAGCAACCTAGCTTGGACTACAAGCATGTCATAGAAGCTTAGACAGAGAATATTCAAGTGAAAAACGAGAGATCTATCGCAGGATAATCATATGCGTCCCTAACGTGTCCCGCCATTATCTCATCAAGACGCTCTGCCCTACTACGGTAAGCGCATCGTCATCGTCACGAAGAGGTGTATAGTAGACAGCAATATTGGGTCACCAAAATCAGAAAGTCGGGCGAGGTCCAGAGGCACAATAAGACCCCTGTACCCCGATGTCAAACTGAGCCGTATCGCGATTCGACAGTTGGTCGCTACATTGGAACGCCAAGATGCCCGGTCCTCTTCAACCCGTCGAGGCCTCCTCTTGGCAAACAGCCAACTCATCAATCAGCAGCTTTTGATCCAGTTGCTCGGGATTCCAGGGGTCGCCTGACTTGCCCAGGCTCTACAGTCACCCGCCTCGCTGTGCAAATTGACTTTGATAGAAACGTCTGCTTGGCCGGCATTGAAGTGGCAACGTTCCCGTCTACCTACTTCAGCGTAGACGGGACAGGCCGGACCTTCGCCAGGCACACGTCCAGACACCCACCAGGCCATAGCTCCGATCAAACCGTACGATCCCTGTTCACGGGGGAATTGTGCCTGAGATAACCGAACTCCGAGCTCCCCGCTCCCCGCACCGCAGACACACTCGCGGATCCGAATGGACTTGGGACCGCTAGCGATTGGCTTATATCCGGAACACGTCTTCGCTCTTTTGGCAGGCTCTCTTGACAACCTTATAGTCCTCGTTGATCCTATCTTCTATTGTCGGCTGCAGCAGATTTGTGTGCATTGACCATCCGAAATATCAGAAAGTCTGTCACCTCGCTGGTTCGGCAGGTGGGCTGTTATCACCAGTTGGATGATTGTCAAGCGAGAGACCACTGTCATCTGCATCGAATGAGGTGAAGACGTTGATAAAAATACGTATAGTAGAGGCAATTCTGACGGATTAGACTCTCTCATCGCGATGCTGAGGAATTCTGGCGTCGAATTAATCTCCCAAATCCTCCACGCTAACGCAGGGGAAATGCCCTACAAATAGGGTCTTTGAGTTTGCCCCTGACTGCAACCTTCAGCCTTCAGGACGGGATCAGTCGATCTCATTCGGGCCGCCCGGTTGAGTCGCATTTGAGAAAGCCCCCCTGGCTGATGAGACCTCAGGCGACTTGGATACCTCACATTCGAGACACCTCTGTGAAGGCACCCTTTTCCAATATGCATTCTTCAGACGAAGGCGAAGGGCTGGAAAGTGGCCTGTTGTTACCCTCCCTTCTGACCCCTCCGCTTGGCCGGCCAACGTGCGGAATCCCCACAAGCTTGAGTTTAATCTCGAGCTCGCCCCCTCGTTTCCTGTATTGTCGCTTCTTTCGTCCAACGAACATCCAGTCTCGATATATTTTGCGAGCCAGAAATTACTCACAACTCTCTTTGCACCGCAGTCTTAGCATTGCTTACCCATCCATAATATGGACGATGCTCTGGTCTCACAGGCCTCAATCCGGCCTAGGTATGCTCACTCATCAGTCATTCGCTGATCATCGGCTTCAGTGATTCCGCCGGCGCTTTTTCCTCGATACCACCCAGTCGAGTCAGTCATCTCTTATGGGCGGTTATATAGTGTGAAGACACCTCTGGGGTCACGCGCGCCCAAAGTTGTCGCGCCTTTCAGCCATGCTGTTTCGTACCCGTGTCTCTGGTTCAACAGCTTATACACCACTTGGCAATCGGGATCGGGTATTTGCCAACATGCGACGAGTAACCTGTTCGCGCATCACTCTGGGCACGCGAATCCTGGGCACTTGAAGAGATCATGGTTTCATTGATGTTCGAAGGAATATAATACTCACCGTTCTAAGGAATACTTGACACGTCTTTGCGATTCCCGTGTCAAGATGGCGTGATGGGACGTGATGCACTAAGCAGAGTGTATATCCTGATCAGACAACCCCCTAATCCAATACATTCCGCTCACCCATAGCGCGAGACGTTTGAATTAACGTCCTAGAAGCGGGAGTGAGCCTCTGATGAGCCCAAGATGGCGCTATGAAACGGCAGACGGGCCTCGTCCCGCAAACCCGACGGCATAATGGCATTCTAAAAAAGCCAAAGTAAATGGGATAAGCCACGCGAAGGTTTGCTGAAATCCGAGGAAATGTTTTCCCATGTGGGCGGCGAAGAAGAGGTTATGCGGTTGGCGCATGTCGGAGAGCAGGGTGCTTTACAAGTCGCTCTGAGCACACATGTTAGGCAAATGAGCGACACTGACATACTTGGCGCTAACACGGCCTGTGGCAATGGCTGGCCTGGTTGCGTTGCCCGTGTGCTGAAGGAGCTGAACCAGAATTCACAAGGATATAGACCCCAAGGCCGGGTCTTTTTCAGAAGCAAGGTCAGTCAGGGGGGCTGCGCGAAACAAATTAGACCGCCGGCCTGCATTTCTTGAGGACGGGTGTCTGAACTGCCATCCGTTCCTTTCAGAAGAGGATGGGGCCGACGTCGCACCGATTTTGAGAGGGACGCCAATTCGTGGTAGCATAACCTCACAGCGGGAGATGACTAAAACAAAGCTTAGCCTGTAGTAGCTACGGGAAAACCCATTAAGCTTCTCGGGAGCATGGCTGTTTTGAGTAGAGGCGCTTTTGGGCAGAAGAAACGCTCATCAGACGAGTTGTGGGTTTAGCCATGTTGCCAGCCGGCACGAGTAACCATAGGGCCATGAAGTACCCCAAGGAGACGGGCAAAGACAGGATCAAAAGACCAGGCGAGGCGGGAAACGACGGGGCATCGCTTCCAAACAGAGTTCGAAGTCCGAGACGTGAGGTTGTCACGTCTGGTAGGGTGCCATCGGCGGCTCTGTTAAGCAAACCATGGCCCCTCTACATGTTCGGACTCCCTTTTCTGGCCTTCAAGGGGAAGGGGGAAAAGATGGGCTGCCGACAGGGAGACCCGAGGCTGTGATTCGTGGGCTGTGTGGCTACTCTGATACCCTGCACCTCAATGCATCGTCTGTGCAGATGGACAAGCAGGGAAATACTTCATTCGTCCCAATGTAATCAAGGTTCGAAACAAGCGACACAGCAACTCGGCGACCGCCCCAAAACACTCTAGAAAGTCTATCATCCGGAAGTTTCAACCTCCATTGCTGGCCCGCCTTTGTTGCTTCCTGTCTTGCCCCTCCACCGGGAGCCTCATCTCATGTTATTGCTCCGCGAAGTTGGGGCCGGCCTAAGATAATGTGCGTCTCGCCGTTTGGACTTATAAGACTAGACGCCCGCCCGGTGGATTACAGAGTTAGCTTTGTTCTGCACTGGATCTGGATTCGGACAATAGGACAACATCGTCAACAGCAGCAACGGTCATTACTCGCCCTCGGACAGGCTCCAACAACTTTAATTTCAACACCATACATTCTTTCTCGATAATCGTAAATTACAAACAACCGTCAAAATGAAGGCTTACGCTGTTGTCCTATCCCTCGTTACTCTGGCAGTCGCCCAGAACAACGGAGGAGCCGCGCCCGCTCCCGCTCCCGCCCCGGCGGCTGGAGATACCCCCGCTTGCGCTGAGGCGAAGATTCTGGCCGGCGGCATTGCTCTGAATATCGAGGTCCAGCAGCAGGAGGTGAACGGCGCCAATGCCGTCATGCAGGCTCTCCAGGCCAACCCTCCCAACCCCCAGCAGTTCCAGACCGCCAAGTCCAACCTGTTGTCCTTCGTCAGCGACGGTATCCAGCTCAGACAGGCCAACCAGCTGATCGCCCCCTCCGGAAACATGGCTACTCAGGGACTCGCCGTTGTACGTAGATCACTTCCTTCTCACTTTCCTTCCTCGCAGCGTTTGCTAACATGACAAAAAGGTCGCCAATGCTCAGCTGACTGAGCTGCAAAAGGTTGCTGGTCTCACCGGCAACCCCGCGCAAGACATGCCTGTCGTCCAGTCTCTCATGATGGATTTCTCTGGTGGTATCAAGAAGAACATGGAGAACCAGCAACTGGTATGTTTCTGCACCCTCATTCTGTCCAGTACGAGCGCTAACCCGCACCCTTAGGCCGTCCAGGGCGCTTGCTAGAGAAATCTAGCTGAGTTGGTCAACGTTTTGGAAAGCGATGGTGCAAGGAGACGGGGGACTTGGGCAACGGCGTTTAGCGGCTTTGCCCCGCCTACTTTTAATCATTTAAATTATGGGAGCTGGGCGTTTGAGATCTGGGCGAAGTTGATCCTCGCCAGGCCTTCATTCGGAACGAGTTGCCTGTTAGGTTTACTTCAATACCAGTTATCCGACAACTTCTTAAACATACTTTAGCCGGATCCAGGCCGCTGCTTCTCTCTAGAATAAGACAAATTGCTGGATTGTCATCAAGATTGTGGTCTCTCAACGGGCTTGCCAGTGATGCTATTGCAGGTGCGCGACTGTATGTTTCTCTACCACCACGCCCTTAGACGTGGTACTGGCTGGGCAAATGAACTGTCCGGGGCTGAAAGATCAAAAGTTATTTGATCGCATGAGAGCGGCAGTACTCACTTCTTTGCTTAATTCCACAACAGGTTCTTGAAGTGACAGGCTCGTACCAGAATTATTTTATGCCCGAGCGCCCAAAAAGCTTCGCGTTTCGATGAGACCAAGTTTTCATCGAGTCCTCCTTCCAACAAGCTATACGAGGCTGCGGCTTCAATATGGGAATGAGACGTGAGTAATTGGAAAACACCACAGACGTGAGTCCACGGGATTCTTCAGCCAAACCCTACACAGGTCTCCATCGATCTGAAGCCGAAGTTTCTCCAGCATGTGATTTCTCGTCGTAAGAAATAGTCACCTCATCCGTCCGTACAATCTTTCCCTCCTCGAGCTGACTTGATTGACTGGCATTTGACGCAGCCGTTTGCGTTCGTGATGTCCCCTCTCCGCACATGATGTTCTCTTGGCTATCGCCTTCAATGATGGTGAATCCCAGATCATCTCTTGGCCTTGCTTTCGGTTTCCGTTGGCCCAGCTCGTAGTCGTGCTTCCCGCCTCCGCGGGAGGGTCGATTATTACTCGGTGATGACTCCGTGTGATCAGAGGATTTGACCGTGAGCTTCGATCCTCTTGCAGACGTGAATGGATTGCGTTTGAGGATCAGCTCCAGGAGTGGATGCAACACAGGGATTGAGCTTGCAATAATGATGGTACTGCCTTCAATCCTACGAACTTGAGTCAGAAGGGTTTGATCACCACCATAGCTGCGACTCCGCAAAGTCGATCACATGACCGTTACTTACACGGTCCAGACTACCAAATCAGGTGTTTCGTCTGTAAGATAGACGAAAAGCAGGAGTCAGTGACAGCTCATAATGCCTGAATTAATCGTTGATGCCAAGGCTTACAAGAATAGTCCTCGCTCGCGTGCAACGGAAGGCGCGTTGTCTTGTATATAGCCACAGCACCAGAGCTTTTGCAGGAACTGTCAATGGCGCGTTAAGACTGAATACTGCCGAATTGGTAATACTTACATAGCCCCAATACCAAGAGCACATGATAATACAACCTTCTTCTTGAATGCCATCTGAAGACGGAACAGGACGATGGCCGGGTACATGGCGAGATAGACATCAACAAATGCTGAAAATGCTACATCTCAGGTCAATTTTGAGAGCGACTTTATAAACTTTCTGCTACTTACTGCCAGCATATAGAGAGAAGTTGATGAGAATGTCCGGACTCAAGCACGTGCCCTTGATGGAAAAATCCCATAATGAGCTTGCCGGTGTACATCGTCCTATCAGAAGCCCAACAGTCACAAAAAGCGTCAATTGACACCATATCCCCATCCACCACAAGAACCACTTGTGGTATACGCCAGGATTCAATAATCGCGTCAAGAGCGAAACTACAGCCAGCTTTGGAAGGCCGAAAGACATGATGCCGGGGCATTGGGCAGCAGTTGTCCATAGCACGCCATCTTGTTGTTGCTCCAAAGTAAGCAGCTCGAGGTGTTTGCCAATACCAGAGTGGACTGCAAGTGTCGAGAGCGAAGTGGAGATGTAACCACAAACCTGCTATTGTTAGGATGATTTGCAGGAGGTGTGAAGGCGAGGAGTATTATTGCAGTACGCACCAGCCCAGCAATCACAAAATAGTCATCGCTGTGGAATTTCCTCATAATCTTCCACCGAACAATTACTCTGCCAAGAACGAAAATTGAGCTCAGAGCGGTAAAGATCCAGCAAACTGCAATGATGCCTGGGCCTTTGTCTTGGGCCTTCCAAGCCTCGGAATTCTTTTCTGGACTCGACATGGTGAGTTTCGGAATAGCACTGAAGAGACTTTGCGCGCAGGCAACAAAGAATGGAGGAAACGGACACGAACCATGGAACACGAAGGGCGACTCAAAAGTCTGGGAAGCAGTTTGTGGGATTGCTAGGTTTTATTATGTAGAAGTTCTCTTTGATGGATCCTATCGAGCCTGACAGCAGGAACAGCTCCGATTCCCCCTGCAATAGATCAAGTCGCTTCCCAATTCACATCACGATTCACAAACATGGAAGAATGCCTCGAAAGAACACTGGAGGTCAGTTCACGGGTAATTTATGCCGTCATGGTCTTGCAAGGGACGAGGAGATGGGCCTTGAAATTGACATCAAAGCTGATGGTGTTGGAAGATAATGGGTGAATGATTGGAAGGAAGTTTTAACCCCTGCCTCGAATGCATTTCGTTTTCGTACTTCCCATTTACCTCCATTTTACAGTGCAGCTCACCATTCCAAATCTGGCCAAGTAATCGGCCCGAGTAGACTTGGTATCCAAGCTGCTTGTCAAACATGCCAAAGTAAAGTGGTCAAGGGCACGCCACAAGTGTTCTCATGCATAGTTTCGTTGGCAAACAGTTGAGCCAAGCATTCAACTGATTTGAACAAATATACCAAGCCCGTAAAAGAAAAGCGCCGATCCCTGTTCACTCGCCTAACCTAATGTTGGATGGAGCTCTGGTCACAGCCTATTCCTGGGTACTGAGACGGAGTTATCGAGAAGAGCACAGGATTAACGAAACTATGAAAATGGAATTTGCCGCACGTCCTGTGCCAGTTGCCCGCTTTCTGATCGTCGACAATGGCAAATATCAATGTCGACATAAAACGCTGATTGCGGAATCACCATGCATTTGCATTTGGATTTGTGAAACAACATCGTAAAATAGAGGAAGTTTTCGGGCCACACATAGCATTATTGTAGTGGTAGCTCATAAGTTCCAAAAATTTTTTGTTAGAGCTTTTCTGGCGGCATTCAAGGTAAATTGGGGCGGTGTAAATATGAGATGATGCAGCTGGTTTGAGTGTTTCTCTTCCACCCCGGACGCATCGAGTGAGGATACATTGAAGGAATCACTACGGGTCCTGTGTAAAAACCGACAGAAGATGTGTTCATGCAGCATTAAAGCAACAGCAACAGCAATAGCTATCTCAGGATCAGTCGCTACCATATCGAACACCATCAGAAAACAACTGAGTGCTCGTTGGTGCGCCACAACCCTTGGCCTGATCCCATTGTGCGCTCTGCCGATGTTGGATCGACTTTTTTTTGAAAGCCGTCTAATTTCAATTTCTGCAGGCTGATATGTATCCTTACCCAAATCGGAGAGTGCTGCTTGGCGTGTTGGTTTGAACGAACGATTTGGATGTTTGCTCGCTAAACGACACCATCTACCAACGCTTAAACGACTGCCGGGGTCTTTGGCAGATACTCCCCTTTGTGCCGTTAGATGGACTTGGTAGTCATGGTAAACTTGGCTAGTTATTGCCAGCAATAGCCCGAAAATAGGTCTACGGAGAGGGCTTTCGCTTCTCTTCGATCTTTATTGTGCCTGATGCTTAAAGCCCAAGAAAGTCTCCATAGTCCAGCAAGGGCATCGGCGGCCACTTCCCATGTCAGGGATCGTCCAGAACCAGGTGGTTCTAAGTCGCAATATCTTCTTTTCGTGGTAACGAGAACGATGTATGTTTTGAAAGGAAATGAGAAAGATGCGTTGGATCTTACTATGTTAATGGTCCCCGGAAACATGACACGCCGTTCAATAAGGGCTCATTGAAGTCTTCTCAAAATCATTGTGACATTATTGCAAAACCGCGACCCAGATCTGACTAGTCGCAACGAAGTCATGCTAAAAGACTTGGGAGAAGCCATTTGATTATGATGAGTTAGATAGAAGCACGATTCCCCCAAATTTTTGACACGTCAGATTCGTTAGCTCACCGAACCGGTAACACAAAGACGCAAACATGAGTCGTTCGTGACCTAGTAATGCCAAGATCTTCAATATTCGGAGATAAGAATTCAAACGCCGTTAGCAAAGAGTGGACTTCGAACCCCACTTTTGCTGAAGAATTAATCATCCGCGCCCCTCAGATCACGCCGTGGTTGTATCGGAATCCACCTCGACGATGCCGCCGCACACGAGGAGTAGAACTGGGTGCCTCACATGCCGGTAAGATGTCGTTCCCCAAAACAGATGTACTGTCCAATACTAATATACGGAATAGCGACGAGGGCTACAAGTGCGATGAAGCAAAGCCTCATTGCGGCCGCTGCGTCCGACTGGGCAAGACGTGCAAGGGGTACGGTCTGAGAGTGAGATGGAAGTCGGCCGAGGACCCTACAGATGGCGGAAGGATCACGAAGAAGAGAAGCTCAAAATTCAAAGGCAGCGCTGGATCTCGCAAAGCCACATCGCCTCTCACCGATGAGCACGTAGCAACGCCGAGCTCAATGACGGTAACGTCGACTTCAAACCCAGACGGTCTCATCTTTCGAAATCCTTCTTACCTATCGCCGGATATCTCACCAATGAACCGCTACTTGCTGCACCATTGGAACGAATCACTAGCAAAGGTCATATCCATGGCGTCTGGTGTACGGAACCCATTTCTCGTGCACCTCACGCCCATGATGCCCCGCTCCACGGCCCTGCTGTTCGCAATCTCCTCCATGGCGGCGGGCCACCTCGCGATCCTCCGCAATGACTGCAGTCTCAAGGCGCTATCGTCACATCATATGCTCGTCGCCTTGACATCGCTAAGGGAGTCGATCCAGACCGAGAACCCCGAGCTCTCCCTGGCCACCATCTTGATGCTCCAAATCTCGGACCGGCTCTTCAACACGGACAGCCAGATCGATCACCTGGCGGGAGCAAAAGCCGTCATTATGCATGCAGGCGGACCGGCGACCTGGAACACGACCAGCGCGCAGTTCCTCCTCAGCCTCTGCTTCTACCACGACGTCATGTCCTCCATCTCCCGCGCCTCGAGCCCCCTCCTAAGCATGACGAACGTGGCGCCTCTCGAGGGCCTGCAGAGCCTGGCCAAGCTGACGTCCGTCGTCTCCCTGGTCAGCACCATTAGCAAGATGCAAGGACAAGGGGGCGATGCGCACCAAAAGAGGGGGTTTTCTATCAAACGCAGCCTAGAGCAAGTGAGCTTCTCCAACGAAGGGGATTCAGACATCGAGCACACGATCCAAGCCTACAAACACGCGGCCATTGTCTACCTGTATCGAGTTTGGGACGATGGAGGGTCGTCGATGAAACCATATTACGCAGAGCAGTGCATCTACCACCTCTTGAAGGTGCCCATCACGTCCTCCTTCGTCTCTGCTCATGCGTGGCCCTTGTGGACCGGTGGCTGCGAATCCGTCGAGACACATTTGCGTCAAATGGTCCTCGTGCGGATCAGGGCAATGTATCAAAACCGTCGACTGCCCTCTCTCCAGAGGGTGCAGGAAGATATGGAACAAGTGTGGCAGGTCAAAGATGCACAGAGGCTGCAGTTTGGGACGGAAAATGTTGATTGCTGCAAGATGATTCTGCATACGCGTCATCGAGAAGCAGACTTGGTCTAGAAAGTGCTAATGACGAATTTACGTTTTCCCCCTTTCGCTCCCAGCCCATCGCCTCCCACTCACTTTCTCTTGGGCGTCGGCGAAGACTGTCCCAATCCAAGACACGAAGCAATCTTGAAGAAGACGTCCGTGTTATCATACACGCCCGCAAACGTCTCCTGGCAGGGTCCCATGGCAAACACCGGCACATCGGTCAGGGAATGGACGCCAGATGAAGATGACGTCGGGATGGTGCCCGGAACAAAGAAGCCGTCCTCGCCATCCTCCGGATTTGCGACGTAACCTCCATCCTCACCGCCCACCGCTACCCGGCGCGGTGCCTCGTGCAGTCGGTAGTTCTCCTTGCGATCAGGGTTGGCCCCGAATGCAGGCGCAATGGCGTATCGGGGGCTCCAGTTGGACGGGAAGTTGGGACCGGTGCCGTACTCGATGCCGTCGGGCCGGGAGACGGTGTACTGCGAGAGGCCAGAGCGCTCGTAGATGCCAATGGCGTCGCGCTTCTTGCGGTCCGTCTCCTGGGCGGCGAGGTACTTTGTGTCGGCGACGCCAAAGACGTCAAAGCCGTGGCCGTGGTCGGCCGTCACCACGATGAGCGTCTTCTCGAGCTCCCCGGCTTCGCTGAGCCTCTTAATCGTGGCGCGGATCGTGTCGTCGAACTCGAGCAGGTCGCCGAGGGCTCGGTCGTAATCCAGCGCGTGCATCTGCTTGTCGATGGAGGCGCCCTCGGCCATGAGGAAGAAGCCCGTGTCGTTGCTGCGCTCGAGGAGGATGTCGACGGCCTTGAGAGTCATGTCCTTCAGACCGGGAAGGTCCAGCGGCGCGGAGCCGTCACCGGACGGATGGGTCTCGAGCTCGGCAATGTTTTCTGTGAAAATCTTTCTGTCGAGCCAGACGGGCAGGTGAGAGGTGGAAAAGACGCCCAGGGCCGGAGAGCCGAGGGGCGCATCGCGAAGGGATGTGGCGTTCCAGCTCACCGAGTAGCCTCGCTTGCGGAACTCTTCGTAGTAGTCCTTGCCCTCGTACGACGTAGATCCAGGAAGGAAGGTCGAGGCGCCGCCACCAAAGTAGACGTCGGGCCCGGGGTGGCTGCTCCACGAGTAGTTCGTCATGCCATTGAGGGCTTGGTCAATCAGCGAGCCGGCGTTGGATCTCGATCTACTGTGGCCGGTCAACGCTGCTGGAGTAGCATCATCGAGAGCAGCGGTTGTTACGGCACCCCAAGCCGACCCCTGCAAAGATATTAGCCGTGATAAAGAAGTTTATTTTCACGAGGGAGATGCACCCAAACGCGAACCACCATCTCAACGATTGTCTCGACCTTGGGGTCGTCAAAGTCATCGGCCGATGAGTCGGAATACACACTGGCAAGCTATCAGTATCAGGTTCTTCTCACAAAGAGACCCCTTACTTACCCCATGGAGTCAGATGTGCCCTTGTGACCAGAATACAGCGCAGATGCAGAGTTGGCGCTGTCCGTGATGAAGCTGTCGACGGAATGTGTCTATCAAAAAAGTCTCAGAATACTGCCACGGTCGATTCCGCTTCCTTGATATGCCCCAAGCCTCACCATTTGATGCCCCAAGATGGGAAACTGGTCCATCTGCATACGAGACTGATACTTTCCGTTGACGCTCTTATGCCCCAGCAAGCGCGCGGCCGTAATCATGTTCGTCGTCATACCATCCCCAATGAACAGAATCACGTTCTTTGCCTTCTTTTCCTCGGCTAGGGGGCGGACCAACCATTCAGCCAACGTCTTCTTCGTGCCGTTATAATAGGTGAGCTCGACCGTGTAGTTGCCGGGCTCGTACAGCGACAAGTGACGGTACGCCTTGGACGCCACATTGACCACGGACTTGTTCCCCGCATCCTGGGCGAAGAGGTCCTCGTACCACGAAAACGTCCAGGTCTCGAGCTCAGGCTCCTCCTCGATCCCAAAGAACTCTGTGACAGACTTGCCGGACGGCTCGCTGTTGCTGGCGATCGTAAGGGTGAACTCGGGATCCGGAACACCATCGTTGAAGGCTTCGGTGCCGTTTTCCGGCGCGTGGATCTCGACGCGTATGTCAAAGTTCTGACCGGGGAGGAAATGGGCCTGGTCGGGGGGGAAGACGCATCCGAGGTCTGGGCAAGCGCCGAGTCGTTGAAAGGTTTGAGCGAGTGCCACGGGCGCGGACACCAAGAGGACCAAGGCGAGGGCGGACATTGTGGAATGTGACGGCGGGAAGAATCCGCGAGGTAGGTCCAAGACCGGATGACCTTGTGCCAACGTTGGATTGACGACGGACGCGTCTCTTTCAGGAACGGTTCATGATCATATACCGGAGCCAAGACATCATGGGCGGTCAGTTTAACCTCCTCATCCACGATCTCGCGACTAAACTCAACAAAGAAGGTCCAAGTAATTGCCGCGCGCAAGGTTCTTCACACATACCCGGAGCTGTAATGGATGAGCTTGGGGAAGAAGCATACTGGCGGGGACCCAATATACTGATCACAACAACCAGAAAGCAAACTGATCACGATGATTGGAATCGGCGGTGTCCGAAGGCGTCTTGACCGACCTCCCACGAGGCGGGGGGAAGACAGGCATGGATGGGCAGAAGGGTTCTTGGCTTGCAGCTTCATTGCTGCGTACCCCGCTCTTTAACGATTTCCCCTCACGGCCTAAAGATAAGCACGCGACCAGTTTCCTGGTCTGTGAGGGACATTTACGAGAATCTGAAGTGATGTTCTTGAGCTGTCAGGGTGTATTGTTGGTAAGTGGAGGTTGAACGCGCGGGGAATAAGTGCTACTGTGGTGTAATCCTTTCGTGTATAGATGGCATGCTTGGAAATACGTAATGATTGGGTAAATGTGCTCTTGCGAGACAACATATGAAGCGGATGAAGAAGTGAGCAGTGAGGATTTACTTTCAACCTTGTGTTTAGATGTAGCGTGGAGGACACACATCAAAGTCACTTTGTGGCGGTCCCATGTACCAACAGCTTTGAGGAAAGACAAGCAAGCTGAGATGGCTGAAAGCTTTCCCACAATTGAAAAACCTAGAAGCGCCAAGAAGGGGTTTTTCTTCGCAGCGATAACGCTATGCCCTGAATCATGCTCACTGTCCGCGATGCCAAGAGGAGCACCGTTCGCCAAGACCCTGATATCTCTTGTCCGCACGTCAAAACAAATAGCGCAGAACAAATTTCAACCTGTGATACTAGGTGATACGTAAGTGAACAAGCTAGCGGAACGTTCGGATGAACAAAAGATACGCGGAAAACACTACCGGATGGAAGTTGTCGTACGAGACGTTTCCTCCCCGATTCAACGAACACAACCATAATGACGGAAGCTTCACTTGAACGCTGCAAAAGTCTCATCAGTAACAAACCCAACCATGGTCTTCAAGCCGGTCCTCGCTGCATCCAAGCAATCCTCAGCCAATACCTGCTGGCCAAGCGCCGCGTATGCCTCAGACGACCACTTGAGCGCCCTGAGAACCTCAAACGTCGTCACCGCCAGAGTGTCTTTATACATCCACAGCCTCCCGTCCCTGACAGGATGGACGAATCCAAAGTTGCGAAACACCTCGCCCCCCCACTTGACAACCTTGTTCCACTGCTTCCTCGTATGCCATACCTCCGCAAGCCACATTGTCGGCCAAACCAGCATCAACCGCGGTAACGCAAGATCGTCATAGACCTCCTTCTCGTGCAGAGCCTCGAGCTTGTTCGTCAGCTTCTCAACCTGCCGTATCGTCGCGTCGGGATAGAACTTAGTAGGCCGCTTCCTCCTAATCAGAGCCTCAATCTCCGCAAGAGCCGCGTTCCTCTTCTCGTGCCGCTCCGTCGCGGACCCGGCTTCGCCGGCGCAGAGGGCGCAGCTGCAGACGAACCCCCAGCTGCGGCGGAACTGCGGCAGGCGGAGGAGGTACGCCGCCTTGGGCGGGAGGTAAATGTGCGTAATCTCCGTGCCCGCGGGAATATCGACGGTGGCCGTGGCAATCAGCACGTCCCCGATGAACGACCTATTGGCGTTGGGCAGGCACGCGTGGTTGGCGTAGGCCGAATACACCCAGAGCCCGCGCGACATGCCCTGCCGCCACATATCCCACTCCGGGTTCGCGGCCTGCGCCGAGACCCGCGCGCCGCTGAAGCAGTTCTTGCGGCGGATGGACTCGAGGAGGAAGACGTCTACGACGGGCCTGCCGTCGACGAGGGCGCCCTCGCGGCCGGTGCGCTTGTACGACCCGCCGTGGAGGTCGAGGACTCTGTTGTGGATTGTCGGGTTGTCTGCGCAGAGCTCGACGAGCTGGGCGTAGGCTGCGGCGGAGTTGTGTTCTGGGTTGAATTCGTCGGGGACGCTGGTGGCCTTTTCTGCAAAAATGATTTCGCCGGCCTTGATGTTTTCTCTTGCGAAGAGGCCGCGGCCGTGGTGCGGTGAGTCTTTGACTTCAGTCCTTGAGAGGAAGCTTGCTCTGTCAATGTGGATGTTCTTTGAAGTGACGCTGGCTGTCATGCCTGCGAGATCATAGTTGCCTTTTTCTTCCTCCAGTCTTTCCAGGCACCTCTTATAGTCCTTGCGAATGTTGGTAGCTTCGGGCTTCATTTCCAGAGCTGACTCGAAGTATTGTTTGCTGTTCTGGAAATCAGGGAGCTCGTACGACGCTTTTGCGGCAAGAAAGTAAGCTTTCCAGTCTGAAGATCCACCTCTCGACGAGAGGGCATCAGACAGTGCATTGTCAAAGCACTTCAAGGTGAGATTGATACCAGCCCGTTTTGATAGAACGTCAGTTCGGAAGGATTTGTCCTCTTCTGTTGCCAGTTCTAAAGCTCTTGTGTAGCTGGAAAATGCGTGTGAGCAAGCAAACATTTGAAGAAAGGTGTGTCTCATCTTGCTCTTACTTTGCCACCGCCAAGGGAAGATTGTTTGAGATGAAAGCTCGATCGCCATCCGCCTTCCAGTCCGCCGCATTTTCAAATACAGGGGCCGCCTTGAAACCCTTCGGGATGAGAGCGTCATCTGGCCCTTGCCGAAGGAGCATGATGTCCGAGGGGTGGTCGACGCAAAGCATAAAGTCGTCGTCTCCGCCGAATCGATAGTACGGCTCCTTCACAAGAACCAATGAGCCTTCCGGGATAAACTGCAAGATTGTAGAGCTGCCCTGGTTGTAAAGTGCCATCTTGTCGACGCTGCCATACTGATCCTCGACAATCGTAATGGTACCAGCTCCTGTATAAGGTGGTGCGATTGTCCTGAGGACGACGTATTTGTCTTCGTGATGATTCTCCACCAGAAGCTCGTCGAGGCGCATCTAAGCATGGTTAACGCATGTTGGTTTTCTCTCGATTTTGGGAAGCCACGTACCGGCGAGAGCTCCTCTGCAGACTTGACGGACGGCGGGTAAGACAGTGCCAACACAACCTTTTTCACCATTCGTGGCCCACTCTGCTGTCCGGACTTTTGTTGCTGTTCAACATACTCGTTGTGGGTGCTGACGAGTGTATCCCTCGGTATGCGGGTTGGAGGTGGTTTCCCTGAATGGGCTTCAGCTTTCTGCAAGAACTCTAGAGAGACATCGGGGTCGACATCGGTGAGAATCTCCTCGACGCCAATTTGGAGGTTGAAGTCAATGGTGTTGAGTGTTGGGTGCGTAGGGTTTGCTGTGTCGGCGTCGACGTCTGCGTCGACATCGTGTTTTTGATCAAGTCCCATGGTGGCTATAACACCAATTTCCGGAAGTTAGCTATCTTTGAGGGCGAACGAAGGAATGAAATGAGCTGCCTTCATGAGACCTGGTGACCATTCAAACAGTTGAAGATTAGGACAGTCACGAGAGATGTGTGGAAAATGAGCCCAAGAAAGACAAATGGGGGTTGGAATGGATCCGTCCCAGGTCCGAATGCAGCCAGGACCAGTCTTAAATGTACGCATAGAAACCCAAGATGGAGATGGAGTTGCGTTCCGAAATAGGTGTCATCTTGACGGGTTCCGTTGGTCTCTACTACCGATTCACCGCGGCATGGTGGGAGCAAGCACGACGTGTCTTGGGCGCCGGTTCCAATGCAGACAAAGCCCTATTATAGCACCAATGACAGACGTCTCCGTCACCACTGGGCCCGGGGTACCGTGCCGGTTGAGTGTGGATCTCGGAGGGTGTCAGTCCGCTTTTCCTCGAACGCCGTAAGAACGGCCGAATAAGCGAGCCCAGATCTCTTTTGGGACCACCTTCTCCCTAATTCTTGACTGAGCCAATGGCCGGCACGGAGGAGACCAATAAAAGAGTGCCCCAGAAGAGACGATCCTTGCATCTTGTTCGTGAAACCTTGGTCAGGAATAGAATCAGTGACAGAGAACCTCTTTGATTAGTGTTGATGATACCTCCCACACACAAACAGCGTAATCAGCTGGGGCAGTTGTGACATTCCAGCCACTGCCATTTACATCTCCCAATCCACTCATAGCAAGTTTCTTCCGGTAACGATATGACCTAGGACAGACCCTGTCCCACACTTACTCTTCACATGTTGCAATCCCTTCGTGACAACCCTCGCAATAGTACAATCTCCATCAGAAAGAAATCATCCGACGAGAGTCAAAGATTTGCTCCACGTTCTTCTGCACTGCCTTAAAGCGCATGTAGTCGCAGGACTCGCTCTCGAGGTGGTTGATGGTCGCCGCAAGGGTGGTGAACTCCCGGCCGCAACGATGATTCGGGCAATGGTAGAGGTTCTGCTGGTGAATAGGGGAGTTTAGGTGTTGGTTGAGGCCCGGCAGTGTTGTGAAGGCGCGGTGACAGAGATAACACTCGTAAGCCCCGATGTCGTAGTTGTACGTTCGCTCGGTGGCGGTATACGTAGGAGATCCGTGCCACTCGAGAAGCTTCTTGGAGATGAGTCCGCTGGGGTCGCGCTGGCGCACGGCCAGATAGAGCTTGTCGCGGTCGAGAGGGGCGTTGGAACAGCCGCCGCGCTCGAGGTGGTGGATGAGACCCGTGGCGGTGGTGCGGGTCTCGCCGCAGAAGGGACACTTGACGTTGCTACCGAGATGAGTCTTGGACTTCAAGTGCTAATGAAAATGAGTCGAGTTAGTAGATTGGCGAGAAGGGGGGGACAACTGCATACCTGACGAATGCTGTTCAGGTTTTCGAACCAGCGGTCGCAGGGTTCGCAGAAGTGGTGCTCTTGGACTTCATGGTCGCTACGGTCCTGTTCATCGAAGAAGCGATCGTGACAGACGTGGCATTCATATTCAGGATCACCTTGAGAACTGGATTCTTGCCAATGGTCCAGCGCATTCATGTGCTGGTCGACTGCCTGCCGACTGCCAAAATAGCGGTCGCAAGTTTCGCACTCGTAAGGGGGCTCGCAGTGTCCGGTAGCCTTGAAGTGCTGTTCACGGCTATGCCATCCCGCTGGGAACTCGCGCCAGCATGTGCCGCAAGTGAAGGTCATGATTTGTATAGCAGCCCTCTGGAGGGGGTCGTGAGAGTGATTTGGGCGAGCTATGGGAATAGCTATAAGGCGATGGTGGTGATGATAACGCGGAAGTTAAGGAGGTAGAGTACGTGCGACGTCGGAGAATGGTTGTAGATCGGCTGCTCTACTCCTCGCTTTGTGCAGAAACCACGCTCGACTGAGGCGGGAAAAGAGATGGAAGAGTTGCGGTTGGTGAAGCGAAGGAGAGGTTTGTGACCTGGTGCATGGGAGGAGGGGGAAATGTTGGGAAGACTGAAGTAAGACATGGGCGGAAGAAGTGCCTGCCCGGTGTGCGGGGGAAGGGGAGGGGAGGGGAGGGGAGGGCCAACCTTGATACTCGGCAAAGTGGAAGGTGCGATCTGTCTGTGACTGCCTCATGCTGCTCCTATCTTTCCGGTGGGTAGCTAAGCATCTCCAACGATGCGGGGGTCATTTTGTCCCAGGAAGATTTGATACCAACCTGTCTTAGGGTGGAAGGTACAGTAATTACCTTATGCAGAGATAAACCCTGATATTCTCAAAGTTCCGGTCAAACCTCAAGGGCAGTGACTGGTAAAGAGCTGATGTCTTCATCAATTCTTCGTAACTGCCTAGTTTGGACGCTACGTGCAAGTATCTGATATGGTGCTCACAAATTGGTAGGTAATAGCGCGTCACTAAGTGAGCTTGTTAATGTGTTTGAAATACTTGTTTGAAAGTTGGCAAATCCAGTAGACTTTACATTTGTGGTCGTTAGTAACCTTAGCCCAGGCGAGTGCTTTCATAACAATGTCATCGAGTTCTTCGGTCTCCACCTCGAGCAGTTCGTTGTCCGCTCCGTTCAAGACAGATCTTCCTGTTCCATCCTGCTAAAGTCGGCCACAAGGAACTCGACGTATGCGCCACGATTGTCACCATTCTGTAACTTGATCTTGCCCTCCCGCATAGCTTCGTCAGTGCTAACCCTAGTAGTCTATCATTTCGTGTCAGTTAGCCTCTCCGACGCCGTAAGGATTGCCCGTTGTGAGATTGTTAGAGCAGATAGCCTGACGTATCGATTCTTGGTCTCTTTAGAATGCTTGAAAATAACGGTAATTGGCTTGCTGGTATTTATAATGGTCGTAGCCGTGCATGGCTCACTGCCGGAGTCGTAGAGGATGGCTGAACGATTTTTGAGGTCGAACCCGGATTCGGGGACCAACACCATCGACTTACACTTGCGTTGGTGATTAATTCTCTTCTAAGAAAAAGCTATCAAGATTGGGCATTGATGGTGGTATATGTGCACAACCATCATGTCCGTCACGTTGAAAGGCTAGCTACATTCGAAAACCAAAAATGCATTTATGCTTCGTACCATACTATTCCGTACACAAATGATCACTTTGATTTTCACTACATGTCTCCTATTATCTGACTAGTAAGACTCACAGTCAATTTGATTGAGTAATCTTCGTGGTCTATCCTCTCACCTGGCTTCCTTCCAATCCGCAAAAGCTTTTGCGTTGGCAAATCCACGAACGACGCGCGCCTTTAATAACATATTGGGGCAGTAGATTTTAATCAGATCAAAGTTATTATGAGAAATCTATCAACGAATATACATTTTTACACTATCGATGGGGGGAGAATCGCCCCACAAGGAAGTGAAATGGTGTTTATCCAAAGCCATTTAGCCGATGTGCGGCTGAACACCACACTATGGAGGGAATTGCACACAACATTGGAAAATCAAAGACGGCGAGCTCAGTGTCATTTACGCACGAGCACCCAGCCGCCATGCCGGAACTCCTGAAATGCAACACAATACAAAGACCCGGAAACGAACCACGTACGCCGACCTCCGGAGCTGCCGGGCTAATGAGGACCAGTCCACTTCGGCGGCGGCGCCTGCGCGCCTGCGCGCGCCTCGCCGAAAGAATCGCAGTCAAGATCCGAGTGGCACGCGGGGATCCTTGGGGACTTGCTACGAGCCGTCACCTGGCACCATCCAGGGGGCGCGGTCAAACTCCTGGTTCGTTCCATCATGCTCTGTTGTTGCGTTCAAACGTTTCCCAGGTTCCGCGCCAGTAGAATCGTCTTCGTCAGAAGAAAAGTTGTAAGAAGCAGAAGAATCAGAATCGGAATCCGTCGTGAGTTCGGGCAACGTGTTGTCGCTAAAGTACTCTGGCGACTGCACGAGTTCAGAGACAAATTGCAGGGGCGCGAGTCGTGCGCTATACGTGCTACCGTCAGACTCGTCACCCGAGGGCAATTCGTCTAGATCCGGGGAGCAGAGGAATTGCGCAAAAGACTCGTCGCGGCCGAGTTCAGCGAGGGAGAGGTCAAGAGCGAGTTGCACATCGTCGTCGTACGAGGCCGGCTGCCGAGGTTTGGACTTGCGCGCCCGCTTGGCAGGGCGCGTGGTGTACTCTGGCTCCGAGAGGTGGTCAATGAGATCCAGACCGAAAGCAGAACCGCGGAGGTGCTCATCGTCATAGAGAAGCCCCATCCGATACAGCTGTGCAACATCGGGCGCATCGTCGGGGTGGAGCCGGGACTTTGTTGTACGCGGGTCCCGGAAAGCTTCCTCCCTCTCCAAGGACGGCGTTCGACGGTGCTGCTCGCCGGGGAGTCTGTGGCCGCTCGAGGCCAGGGTGCGGCCCTCGGCCGCCTCGTCAGTGCGCCATTGCCGTGTTGAGCGATGCGTCTGGCGCCGAGAGGTCTGCCGTTGCCGGCGGGCCCGTTTCTGGTGGTTTGCGGTGAGAATGAGGTCGAGGAGAGGGAGTTTGAGGCCGGCGAGCTCCCGGTTCAGGGCGATGGAGCCGTCGGCGTGGAAGTAGGCGCCGTTGTAGTGGGCGCGGGGCTGCGGCCTGTTGACCTGCGGGGGGCCGGGGGACAGGTACCGCTGGGTGAGATCAAGATCTAGGGCATCGCTGCTGTTGTGAAGTCTTAGACCCATGCTGGGCAGATGCTTGGCTTTTATACGCGGGTTGTGTCCGGCTGTGCGTGAGGTGGTGTAAGTGAGGGACCGGGAAGGAAGCGTGTCTAGGGAAGGGCGTGAAGAGAGTTTAGGTGAGTGGCCGGCGAGGTGGCTTTCGCAAGGGCGCGCGCTGTGGCTTGAAGCTTGTCAAAGTTGATGGGTTCGTGATGAAACAGATGGAACATCGGCGAACAGCAGAGATCAAATATAATGTATTTGGACAGGTCGCTGGCAACGTGTTGATGGTGTTGGCCCCCATAAGTGAGTTGGGCCTGGCGTAGGCTGTAACGCGTAGGCGCCACCATTCACCCCTGTAGCATGCCGTGAGAACGCTCCCGAAAGCTTAGCGTTAGTCCAGTTCGGGGATGTTCAAGGGTCCTAAGGGTGGGTTGGAAAGGCCGCTGATTGGGGACCCAGTGGCTGATGAGGAGTGAGTCATTCTTGGCCATGATGAGGGCGTAGCGCGTGCTGTGTTACCTGGCAGGCTGACAGGCTACACGGCGCGGGATATTGCGTAGGGCTTCGACTCGACCCGATCTCATCTTCCGTACACGATTGCCTTTTCTCTGGTTCACCTATTGGTCTGGACGAGATCTTGGGCCTCTTGATTGCCTGCCCTACTTGGAGACTTTCCCGAGACATGGACTGACAGCGAGGACCCGCCAATGGCAAGGGGATTCGTGCCCTCTGTTGGCAGCGGTTAGCCGAGGCACAGGGGAGTCATCAGCAAGGATTCCCGCCCAAGCACCTTGGTTCTGAAGACGTGGAAACAAGATGAGAGTCCTCGTGGATGGTGTAAATCATGGATGATGATTCACACTGGATGAGCTGGTGAAACTGGAAGCCAGTCTCGATTACTGCCAAGTACGCTCTTGTTGCGTTCGTCTCATTCGGCAACCCGCTGGCAAGACAAACCCACAGAGTTGGTTGAGTCACGATACGGGGCTGTCGGCGATCAATTGGGTTCGCTGCATAATCCCATCCCGGCCGCTACTGCAGCATGGCTTTGGGATGACTCCCACATCCCTGACCAGACGAATTCTAACACATGTGAGTTGATATTTCAAGTTGATGAATTTTCAATTCGACATATTGATTGGCCAATTGGTTCTGCCCAACATGTGAAATGGATTGGTAAGGCACACAGCTGGGCGCCGGGTCATATCGCGAGCACTTCTTACAACCCAGCAGCCCGCAACCATCCCTGTACTCCTCTTAAGACTCTTACGAGCGAGAGAACTTGATCAGTGGTCCACGAGAAACCTATATGTGACTTTGCGTACCATCACTGAGTGGCATCACATGCACCTCACAACATTTTTGACAACATCTCAACGAGGGGAACCGACTGATCGTCATCATTAGAAAGACAATGTCGATGGTAGTGACAACTCTACTGTAGTAGCCTGGTCACTGTACAAGAATCCGCAGTTTAACCGAGGTGCATTTGGTAACGACTGCCATACTGTCAGCTGATTGTGTTGTTAACAAGATTCATACCTCGCTGACTCACTGCGACTCTCTTGGATCGTGCCCGTTGATTGGACACAATGTTGTAGCACGTCGCTAAACTGGGGATCGATGCAAAGGCATGCTTAGCCTGTAGGAGAACAGGTCGTTGAGGGAAGGGCTTTCACCATGCAAGTGATCTGGGATGAATGATCGTCAGTCATGTAATTCCTGGGCGCTTTTGTGAAGTGACACAGCCTACAGCGCAACTGGGAATGCCTTCCAAGCTGAGCGATTTGGCAGCCATAGTGGAACTGCCAAGGCTCACCAACAGGATTCTGTCTGCAACCTGTAGCTAAGGTAACGTAGTCGAATTCGCTTTCACCTCGTCGCCTCTGCCGTGAGGCCGGGTTGATTACTTGTCAAACCCCCGAGAGGTTGTCAGGCATTTACTACATTTGAAAAGGCGCTACATATTCCACAAAATAGCTTGTTGGAATTTGGGTACGATAGTCCGTCTTGAGCTGTGGCCATGGTATCATTCGACTTGCAATACAGTAAGGAAACAACACATCTTGGGTCTGGACCATACAAAAACTCCATGGTTCAGGTCTAGGCCACCCACTTATGACTTGCTTCCCAAAATTGGTTCAAGCCGAGTAGCTGGCAACAATCCCTTCTGGAAAGTGCAGGACTTCCACTTCGCTGCCCACATCAGCTATTGCAGAACCAATCCGTCCCCCGAACCAAGCTCAACAAAGTCATACTCTGGCACTCTTCCCTTCATCCTCGCCTCCTCGGCCTCGACAGCCTGTTTGAGCGTGTACTGTGTGCGTAAAAGCAAAGGGGCGATGAGCCCACCGCCCTTCTTTGCCTCGTCGTGTGTCGCAACCCAGTACCGAGCTTCCGTCTCGGCCACAGCCTGAATGCCATTCAGGGCTCCCAAGTTTAGCTGCTTCGTCATCCAAATACGGACGTCGTGAAGGCCATGCAGTAGAGCCAGCGTCGAGAATCCAGAGTTGCGAATGCACTCCAAGTCTGATGCTTTTATACCGTGAGGAGAGTATAGTATGGTCTCTGGATTGCCCAAGTCAAAGGCGATTATGATTGCTGAGTGATAGTACAAGGCGTTTCCTGCTGTGATGACGCGTCCAATGCCCACCCATGGCGGGAGGTTGGAAATGCTGAGTTCAGACTTCCAATCTTTGGTTGCCGACGAGAACCCAGGAGTGGTGGTGACGGAGGAAAAATGACTCCATGACCGGATCAGCTCAGCTGCTTTGTCCGTGGCAAACACTGGCGTGGACTTGGGGAGTTCTTCTAGAGTTGCCTGGTGGCAATGATCGGTGAACTCGTGGGATATGGTGACGACGTCAATGTAGGACTTATCTGTGGTCTTTGGCTGGTCCGAACCATCTTCAAAACCGGCAAGAATCGAGTTGAGCTGGTCCATAGTTTTCACGCTGGGTTCGACCACATGCCACTGCGTGGAGAACCATGACGCGACGTCGGATTGGGGGCCCTGCAGCCACGGGTCTATGAGGATGTTGAAGCGCTTCCGGCCTGGTGGCGGAGAAGTTGAGGGCGGATATGGTAGTTGGATGAGCCATGTGGTGTCGGCGTTGAGGTGGACAAGGACGGGCCGCTGGGCCTTCAGTGCTTCCAACCATCCGGTCCGATCGCCGACTTTGATCGTCAGCGGTGATTTCGTCGAAGTGTCTTGGATGGCCATGGGAATGTCGCTGGGCTCGAGGTTTCGTAACAGAGATTCGAGAATGAGGTGATCATGGGGCGGGTTCGTTGGGGTTTGCTCCGTGTGCAACGGCGAAATTGATGTTGGATTGATGACCTAAACAGGAAATACCATGACGTAGTCGAGTCGTTCCCGAGCCGGTGGTCCGATTCCTACATTTACCTTACTAGAGGTGCACGGCTATCATTCCTAACTACTCACCACTTCACATTGATTGCGATGCTTCTAATTGAACGCGAAAGGACGAAGAACATCTCCAACTTTCTGAATCTCTGCATGACTTCCACGACGGCCGCACGATTCCTAGGATGAATTACTGTCATCTTCCCCTCGAGTCTGCAATAGACCCGCGGTTCGCAGAAGACTGCGCAATAAGATGCGAATCTTCGTAAGGTAGGAAAGCTAGTGATAATAGAACGCGAGGGTTGTCAATGAGAGACCTCTCACCTTCTCCGGAATCCAATTTCCTGCAATGGCACTGACCCCCTGGGGAACTTATCTCCAGACACCAACCGGGACCACGGGTAACCAACGCCGTGCCTCATTGAGAACAGCCGTCTTGTTCGGCAACGCAGAAAGTCGCTGGGTGTCTAAGTCATCTTCCGACCTCACTTCGCGGATCTCGACTTCGCGGATCTCGACTTCGCGGATCTCGTTGACAAGGCGAGCCAGGTTGTCTGAGTTCCGAAGCAGCAAGTACGTGACGGTTGCCGTGGTCTCGCAGCCAGCGACCACGAACAAGGCGTAGATGTCCCTCTTAGCCTGGCCGTTGATGATGCTCAGTTTCGCCCCCTCAATCCACATAACTCTCCATACTTGGCGCATCGAAAGCTGAGCCAGAGGAGCATCGGCGCATCGCTCCTCTTGTTTGCACCGCCATGTAGGGAATACCTGAGCAGGCGGCATAGGCTGGACCGGAGAATTCGGCCAATTCATGGAACTACGCATTGTGTATAGACTTGGCGATAAACCAAATAGGAACCTGAAACAAGGAACATTAGTCCATGTTCGGCGTCTGCTCGTTGAGCAGATGCCAGACTTGACTAGCAAGAAGCGCTGCTCCCACAAGCAGCTGTATTCCACCAGTATGTGACAGCTTTTCCAACTGCTTGATGGAAGACGCATGCCAAACGGCCAGTATTCCGTCTTCCTGGATGCCGTATGCGATTGTAATGAAATACAGGAAATTTCGTCCGTAGTTTAGATGCAAGGACGTAGTGATGGCCATTTGCACCAGCGTTCTATCAAAGTCGGTGTGGCTCTACTCGAAGTTGAAGGCAAGAAGACTAGCTAAACTATATGATAAAGAAATGCGCGACCAAAAAAATCTGCTGGATCATTTGAGTGTTCCAGCCGCGTATACTGGCATATTCCAACGGCATTGACTAGTACGGACTATTTGAACCAGCCCGCACGATGAATGAAAACCAAAAGTAACATTTTGCCCCCGAGTCCATTCAAAAGCCTCCTCACAGGGTACTCGGAAAACCTGAACCTCTCGGCCGCTCTTCATTCTCCCTGCCTGCCATGGCTTCCAAGAACGACCAGTCATAGGTCTCATGATTGGCAAAATGATCCCGACCGATGCCAATATATGCAAAAGGCGGCACTCCTCTCGACGGCAACGCCTGCGCACACATCTCGGTGTCGACCGGCGTGGTACCCTGGAGGTTCAACGCGCCCTGCGTATTCTCACCGCCTGCCAAGACGTTGTCGACCCGGGCTCGCAGCTTGATGATATACTCGGGAGTCTCTGGCGGGAAACCGGATCTGGTCAGCAGATCCGCCCTCTTCGACCACGCCCGCAGCACGAAATGCGCCAGCGTCGCGCACGACTTCTCGGTAACGTTGTAGATCCCGAACCGGAACCGGTAAAAGATTTCAACATTTTCCCAAGCCCGCTGTACGTCGGGACCCTCGAGTCTTTGTCCCAGTAACACCACGACGTAAAGCAGTACTTCGTACTGGAAGTTGTAATCAGCGAACCAGCTGAACCCATTGTTCTCCGAAGCCGCGTATAGAAACGCTGTATGATCGAGCATTGACACCGCCCACTTGAAAGCATCGTCTGCTTCACTCTGGTCCTCTAGACCGGGTTTGGGTCCGACGCTGATGCTCTTGATCAAGTTTGTTTTCTGCTTGATGAGAGCCGCTATCAGCCCCTGCGCCATGACGTGAACCTGCCCTGCATGGGGGTTGCAACGATTGTCCAAAAGGTGCTGGAGACTTTTCTCTAATAGCTCAAAGTGAGTCACATAGTAGCTCATCTGCTGTTCTCTCGTCCCGCCGGCCACCGGGGAAGCTCCAATTGATTCGTTCATCTCGCCCATCATTTTCACGGGCTCGAGACCGGGCGTTTCCACAAGGAACTTTGTAATCTTGTGCTGGATCATACAGAGAATCATCTCGGACGGGCCGTCGCGGTCCGGTGTTGGTTGCGTAGCGGCCGGAAAGATGTCCGCGTCGTTTAGGTTGCTCGGCTCTCTGGCGTCCCAATCACGAGGGAGCAACGAGTGACCAAAGCCGGAGAAGAGGGCGAACTTTGCGTCGAGTGATACCAGCTGCCACCAGACTCTGCGCCTCATCTCCGACTCAAAGGGCTTGAGGCCAAGCTTGTCTCCGTCCCGGTGGAGACCCATCTTTTGAGCAATCCGTATGACGGTGCCACTGAAGACCCACGAGCTGTGGCGGTCGTATCGGTCTTGCAAGGAATACTGTTGATCATGTCAGCTTATCAAGTCAGCTGTTTGGGGTACAGGATCATAGTTCTCAAACTTACCAAGTACAGACAAAGGGCTTGAAGTATGACAAGGTCGTTGGTCCGCATAAAGTCAAGACGTCGCATCGTTTGGCGGATTCCAACAGAGAACGATGACACGGCAGCTCCTTTGGACTTCTTCATCGCAATGAAGCATTCCTCTTCAGTCATTGCAACAACCGCCATCAGGAAGATCGACAGCAGAAGTGCCACCATGTTTTGTGGCAGACCTTGAGTGCCGTTGGTAGCTTCCACGACGTATCGCTGGACGCTGTGAACATGGATCACCTTTGTAAAGGGGTTCACTCTGTCAAGAAAGGTCTGCCACAGCTTGAAGACAAGCGCGGCACCCGGCCAAGATTGGAAAAGCGAAGCGTCGGCGGCATCATCTCCCAGCAGGAGATCTGCGTTGGGGTCTGAAGGCACGCTCTCAAGCGGACTGTTGCGTTCATTTTCATCCAGGTTGATCAGTTCACCCATGGCTCGAAGCTGTCAGATTCTGGGTCAGTGGCTGATGGCATACGATAGTGTGGTGAGAATGACGTACCTCTTCGTTCACCAGCCCCAGGAGGTAGTTGTCCATGAAAGCGACCTTGCCATTCTGGTCTTCTATCAGCTTCCCTTCCGGGGTCCATTTGGAGACTGGGGATGGGTCCACAGGACTTCGAGATTGCGACTTCTTGGGCGTGGTGACTGTGGTCGGGGAGGCAATCGAGGCTAAAGTTTGACCGCTGAGAAGCTGCTCACACCGGGCCAGGCGTGATTTCAGTGCCTGATTGTAAGGTTTCCTGCCTCGCGGAGGAGCCGGTGTCCCGGGGATACATTCGGTAGAAGTCTGGTAGTTCATCAGCCTTGAGCCCCCCTACGCGCGGAGTGACCCGAGGAAACAGGACGTACCCTAATGCAGTTTGCACAAGGAAACACCCGGCTGCACTTGATTTTCCGCTTCGAGCATGCTATGCAAGCAATGAGACGCCGAGCGCTGCTCGGTTGGTCACTGTCGGGAGACATGGAGTCCGGCCCGGAGGCTCCGGAGGCTCCAGGTAGGAAGGTGGCCATGTTTACCTAGGAGAGACGGGCGGAGATTCCTAGCGGGCCCGAAGGTATAAGCCGGCGCAGTTGAGGAGAAGGGACTCTACACGTGTTCGGAAACGAGGTCTGACGTGGAACGTTTTCGGCAATGGTGCCGCCTCATTTTCATTTGCTCCGTTACAGAGTTTCTGGCCTTCGGTATCAAAAGTTTGTCCGAAGATCCGTAACCCATGTTTATATGTTTACTAACTAGCGCAGTGCGAACCCCCAGTCCCCCCAGTCCCCCCCGCTTTAACACGGCCTCTCAGATAGTGCAACGCGAGTTGTCAGATAAAAAGTCATGGCTGAGAGAGTGCTCGCTCTTATCGATAGTACATTTACAGACGGATTTGTCTGTGGACGCTTCTCTTTTTTCTATATCCTCATCATATTTGCTGCACCCTGTATTCAGATGGCTTTACTGAGTTGCTGTTGCACCTGAGCGTGACCTCTGTGGGGCCTTGACAAAAGGCCTCATGGCGGGAGTTCCATCTCACTCGATGATGGACTTCAGTTCACTCACACATCATGCACACGCACTCATGAAATAGCCGTACATCAATGAAAAGCTGTGCTACTCCCGTCGTAAAACGAGAAGCAATACTCCATTAATTTTAGGAGATAAGGTTAAGAATAAAAGCCCGTACCTAAACTCAATTCATGGCAGGGAAGTAGGGGTTCAACCTTCCGAACTATGCGAGTAGCACATGAGATGAAAGATGCTCGTGCACATTCAAGACGGAACAATATGCTCTGATAGTTGTGACTTGCAGCCAAGCGAGTTGATTGGTCCGGCGATGTAGGCAAACATTGATCCATGCCCACCTACCCGGTTTTCTTTACTTGCCTAATACTACTCAAAACCTGGTGATCCCTTTGAGAAGATAAGCTCGAAGCACTTGCTTGCATTACATGAGTCAGTTCAATAACAAGGACGTTTTGGATCGGTGGTACGGATGGCTATTGTTGCGTGGCTTTCGCTATTTTGAACGAGCCATATGAAGAGACGGTTCACTTTAATTTGTGCAAGCTTGATAAAGAGAAGATAAGATTGATTTGAGCACGGCGGGCTGGAATAACTGAAGGGACTATAAACCGAAAATTACGAGTTCTTAGTACAAACTTAGAAAATTCCATCCTTGTAATTCTCCGGGAGCTCACCGACGAGCATTCAGACTACAAATACCTAAATGAAGGCTAATAAGAGGACCTCATGAAACTCTATAAATTAGTAGAGTAGACGTAATCTGCTCTGCGTGACGTAATCATATTCAAGAGTCGATCGCTGTCAGAAAAAGACTTCGTACCTCATCGTCGGCGGCATTCATTTCGACTGGGACAAGTGATATGGCAAAGAATGTCGTCAACGAGAGAGTGAATTTGGTAAATTTTTACTTCTTTAGAGGAAAAGTCGCTGAAGCTTAATTCATTTTGGCAAAAATATAAACCTTTTGCAATGTATCCTTCATTGTAAAACACCGGATCAGCCAACTTTTCAATCCTCTCAACTACTTCTTGGTAAGCTTAGCCTGCTTAGGGTGGACCTTCCGCTCTTCAATAGCCAACAGCCGCATTTTTTTCACACAGTAACATTCAATATCGAGATCGTCAGTTGTGGCACCGCAATCGCCAACAGGGTGGTCTTCCTCCAATTCGTGAGCGGCGGAAAAGTCCCAGTCCGAGCCAAGGATCTTGTTCAAGGACTCATCTGAAAAGCAACTGCAGGCAGGGTGGCAGTAAGCGCAGAGCTTCTTGAAGATTCGATCCTCTACCTTCTTTTCTGGGCACTTTGGATCAGATTGTGATGCATTTTTGCAGCTGACGATATTTTGCTTGAGACGGCTGATCTCCTTGCCGCACTCGGCGCAGATACGGACGACGTAGATTGTGACACACATGGCGCACTGCTGAGAACCTTTCCGTCGTTTGTGGTGAATTGGCAAACTTGGCAAGGAAGGAGTAAATAAGACTTCAAGTCCCCTCGAAGAAGCTGCAAAAGATAATGACGCTCGAGGCAAAGTCCTGGAAGCACTTCCGGAACCCGGGGCTATATGCCATTTGAGCGGGTGAAGACTATACTGACATTACATTGTGACTGATCCTTTGAGTCTAATGAGACTCGGTACTTCGTTCATGAACTATGACAACGGCAATTCCTTTCACCGGGATTGTTTCCATAGCTCATGTGGGTCATGCCAATTGAGATTGAGCACTATTGTTGTAGTAACACAAGGAAGTTTTTGTTTGATTGAGGGGTATCAATTCGCAGGCAAAGGCTATATGCAGCTAGAAAGAAAAGTGTATGTACAGCACTCATATGGTATCATTTACGTCATGCGAATCAAGCGAATAGATCCCCCTCAATATCCTGACTTCACAACTAGCACCTATTGAGCGCTTAAGAGTACCAGTTGTTGGGAGTCCACTTGACCTGTTTGAGGTTGTGAGTGTTTATTCTTCGTTGTTGAACATGAAGGATAAAAATTGCAACTTACGTAGCTGGCATCAATCTTCTTCAGATCAGGGACACCGAGGTTGCCGGCGTCGATGGCAATCTCGTGCTTGAGGATCTTGATGGCCTTCTCAACACCCTCCTGGCCGAAAATGTTGGAGAACATGATGGGGCGGCCGAGACCGACAGCCTTGACACCGAGAGAGAGAAGCTTGAGGACATCAGCGCCATAGCGGACACCACCATCAGCGTAGACCTCAATCCTCTTGAAGATCTCGGGGTCCTTCTCGTAGATCTCGAGGGCGACCTCGAGGGAGGAAGGGGATCCGTCCAGCTGGCGACCGCCGTGGTTGGAGAGGACGATGGCGGGGACCTTGTTCTCGATGGCGGCCTCGGCGTCCTCGACAGTCATGATGCCCTTGATGATGATGGGGAGGTCGGTCATGCTGGACAGCTTGCGGTACTCGTCCCAGGTGATGAGGGAGTAGTCCGAATCGGCGGAGCCGACGGCGAAGCGAGCAGCGCGGTGGCGGTTGCCATCGGCGGCGGAGTCGACGGTGTAGACGATGCCGTTGGCGCCGGAGGCCTTGATGCGGTCAAAGAGGACCTGGGTGGCGGTGTCGTTGGTGGTGAGGTACACCTGCTGGAAGGCGACCTGACCCTCGGCCTTGACCTCAGCGATCTGCTCAATGGTCTTGCCGGCGTAGAGGGCGGGCATGTAGAGGATGTTCTGGGCGGCGGCGGCCTTCATCAGGTTCAGCTCGGCGTCGGGATGACCGTAGTCGGCACGGGCAGCGGGGCTGATGAAGATGGGAGCAGAGAAGTTGTGTCCCAGGATGGTGGTGCTGTGCGAGTTTAGTGATCTGCAACAAGGCCAAGACCAAACGAAGGGGGTTCGTCTGAATAGGAAGCTCGGACTCACTTGAAGGTGGACTCGATGTTGGTGATGTCAACCATGGTACGGGGGCGGAGGCGGTAGCGGCCAAAGACCTCGAGGTTATTGCGGTAAGACCATTCACCAGCAGCGCCGTTGCGGTAGTAGGTGTAGTTCTTGACGGGGAGGTAGTTGCGAGCAGCATACTCGAAGTCAGGGAGGCCGACCATCTGGTCGAGCTTGGGCAGAGCGCCAACAGCGAGGTCGCCGAGGGCAAGCTCGATACCGGTATCCGGCTCGTTGAGGAACGGTCGGGTGGCAGCAGCGCCGGCCGCGAGAGCAGAGATGAGAGCAGCACGCATGTTGTCAGATAGTGAGCGAATGTAAATGAGCGATGACGGTGAGCACGTGTGTGATGAACATCAAGGTCAAATTACATGCTGAAGGGACGGCCCTACGAGTCTATTTATCATGGCCACGACAATACCACTAGACGTCAAGTTCTTCCTCTAAGCTTCCCCCCCTCCCCTATACTGCATTGTTCTTGGCATCATTCCGAGCCTCCTTGCTCATATCCGCAGTCGCGTCGACGAGCGGGCCAAGCGGTTGCTACCCAAGGTCTACATGTCCAGAGGTATTCCCAACGGGCTCCATGACGTGCGCCATGGGTGTCGGTGAGCAACCAGGCGACGTCCGCAGAAACGGAGACGGCGGCCCCGTTTCCAATGCTGAGATGCAAGTGGGAGCTCTACACTACCCAAAATCTCTGGGCATGATGCCCCCCGACGCTGAGGAATGGCTGCATCCAGGGAAGGTCGGTCTTGGCGGACGGGCTGTCTTAATTCTTTCGGAAAGTCGGGTGGCACTCGGTGTCGTCCCAGGAAACTTGGACAGGCGGGTCAGAGTCAACCCAGGCCCCCAAATCCGGAAGCTTGACTTTGGGCCTGTCATGAGAGAATGATGGATGGATAGCAACGATGGTTCAAACTCAGATAGAGGACGCCGACCCGCTGCCAAGCTTAATGGTGCTGCAAAGCCTCCCTGATCCGGGGAGAAGCCCGTTATCAGATCTTGTAGGGTGGACCAGCGAGTGCCGTTAACGACCCAAGAATTGACGTATCAACTTGACGCAAGGCACGCGGGATGGAGCTAGTTTCACGTTTTTTTTTATTCTCTTCCTCTAGTCCGTACAATGTGCCTGCCTGTCTGTCCCTCCCCCGTCGGTTCCCCCTCTGCAGACTCCAGAAATATTTCAGCCACTGGCAGTTGACTGCAAGGGTGAGGCGGGTCAATGACTCGCCCTGGAAGGAGATTTGGTAGCTTAATAAGGCGGTACTTTGGCTGAATAATAACGGAGCCAAGGTAATGAGCCAAGTCGTCGCACAGGGGGCCGATGCTCCTAGCCTTCTAGCGAGCACATGACAGCAGTCCAGCCGGCGCGATGGGGCTTGGACAAGCGCGCGGGTGGTGACATTGACTACAACGCGTGGGAAGCGAGGTCCCAGAGGTTTGGATTGCGACTGTTGACCCAGTCTTGGAAGAGGATCCCATGCCACGGAGAGACTCCTGTCCCCGATCGAGGGATATTTGGGGCTTCACACTTCCAGAAGTTCGGTCGACTTCCGACTTTCAGTCATCGCGAGGAATAGGAAGTTGGCAAGCTTGGGGGGAAAAAAGGTTCCCAGCTTCCTCATTTGCATCCGATGTCAACATGAAGTCGCCTATCTGCTGTTCATGTAGATTTCCGAGTGTTAGTCCCGTGTTCCTGGGGCATTAGCTCTGTGAGCATTGTTTTACGTCTCTGATCTCCCTTAATTGTTTATTTGTTGTTTGCGGTTGAAAGCGCACTATCCTTGAATCGTCCGTTGTCTGGAAAACATTTGTTCGCTTTCTTCTTCAAAAACAGGGATAAGCTTCCCGCTAGAGACACAAAAAGGGAGGTCGCATCTCCCGTAACATTCCAATGTTACCTACCACATTTGCACATGACGTATCTAGGAAGCGAGATTTTCCTCGATGGCTCCATTCAGTCTTTTCTCTTATTTTTCTTGAACCAGGCCCCGACCCGAAGTTGAGATTGACAAGGCGTTGTGAGAAAATCCTGACCCTCAACTTCCCGAGGTTTGCATCGCGAAAAGTTCCGATACCTGGACCAGGGGTCCAATTCAGGCGTTTTCGAGGGGGGCCAGCCGTCCCTCGGACTTATGACCGGCCATAATCACAAAGTCTCGGACCCGTGCGGGAGCCCCCTCTCGACCTTCCAGATAGAGTTTGCTGCCGGTGGTGGCAAGGAAGGCAACCGAACACAACGTAACCTGTGGCGGAGCCGTAAGACGTGGAAAACCCCCCTTCACACCCCCAGGGAAGAGGGGG